TCATACCTACAATTTATTTTAGATTTACATATTGGTCCAATGTTTATATTTCACTTGAATCCATGAATCCAATCCACCAATCTTTTTGAACCAATTAAATCCAATCCACCATAACATAAAAGTATAAATTTAGTTTGTATAATACAAGATGTTGTATCACTCAACCGTAGGAGAAGATTCGACCATTTTATATTTGCTAATTACGCGAATCATTAAATAAATGATTAAAGAGAGACGACTCTAAAATATTAAAAGAGCGAATTTATAAAATCATTTAGTACATTTACGGGGTACTAAACAAACTTCTATTAACTAGATGTAGAGACGACATTTGCAACCCTTTTAAGTTTAAGCCTGTTCCACTTACCCATAGTTTGTGTTGGGCTCACACATAGTATACAAAAATAAAATCTATACATGACGGGCTTCTGCCACAATTGTCGTTTGGGCCGCCAATTTTTACAAAAAAAAAACGGCACCCTAGCCGCTTATTCTTCCTCTTCTAGGTTTAACCCTAGACAATGACTCTAACACACATACTTGACAAAATACAAAAAAAGAAAAAAAAAACAATTACCAAAATAATTAAAAACTGAACACAAACGAAGAATGAACACAAATTGGCGTTGTGACTAAGGCTTGAAGTTTGGTACCGGTATTTGTGATATACCGAATACCGTACCGAATGTATCACTATTTGGTATTATCGAATACCAGCTTATTTTTTAGAGATTGGGATTGGGATTCATTTTGGAGTGCTATTCGGTATTCGGGATTATGAGATTGAGATCGGTATATACCGAAATGCTGAGAAATACCGAAAATTAAAAATTAATGAAATATAACACACAAACTTTAGTAATTCCTCACACTTCACAACTTAGAAGCCCCCTATTCAACTCAATTTTGACTTTCTAGTTTAAGTCACTCTCGTTTCTCACATAATCTCTTGTTATTTTTATAACACCAAAAGCAAACAATAGTATAAGTCGTCTCTCAACCTCCAATTCGTCAAATTAAGGATTACCAATGACAAGAATTTGAGATGCCACCTCTCCTTCATTCTCATTATCCATATCCTAGTTCTAGTCAAACTCAAGACTCTTTGCCCTAACTTAAACTATTAAATCTAATTTATATATTTAATTATTACTTGCAAAGATAATTAATTTTGTATTCGATAATACCGATTGGAACATCGAAGTACCGATTGGTATACCAAAATATTTAGGGATTGGGATACCGAAATTATTTAGAGATTGGGATTGTGATTGACTTTAGAGTGTAATTTGGTATTCGGGATTTCAGTATTTAGTATTACGATATCGATACACCGATTTCCACCCCTAGTTGTGACAGACTGGCAACCAAATTTTGAGGGAATTTAGCGCCCTCAGGGCTGGCCGAGAGTATGTGATGGCCCGCCCTACGGTACAGAGTCTCTAAATTATGGGGGCCTTCGGACTTCCATTGTGTATATGAATCATTATTATTATAGATGATAAGTTTCGACTATGAATTTAAAATGATAAAAAATTTATGAATTGATTTTTTATTATGGGTCTAAAACAATAATAAAAAAATTTAAGTACGAAAGCTAAAGGAACGAATGGATTTCATGAGGAGAATACTTGGTTTCTTATTAGACTTTCTCCAATCCATATAACACAACTTTTTTTTTTTTGTCCTGTGTTTCCTAAATAGAATGAAAGAGATAAGATTGTTGATGCCTCGTTATTAGCATTATTATATTTACTAGCCTATTACCCGGCCCGTTGGCCGGATTAGTGTATGTTACCCACTTGTGGAATAGGAGAAAAAGCAAGTGAGAGTAGAAGGAATAGGGATTCCACTTGCTTAGGACCGACCCACTAATCTGATTCTTCCCGACCCGCCCCAACCTAAAGGGTCAGAAAGAGTCAATAAGAAAATACGAACGGAGAGGATTAGTCATATATCTTGAATCTTCATAAGTGGGTCAAACAGGATCAAGGTTGGGTGAGGGGAATTTTTAGCGCTAAGCAGAGTTCTGGTTGAATAACTTTACTTAGGCCTAGAAATTGGTGCTGATGCAGACTGCAGTTTTTATTATACCATCATCAATCATCATTGACTTAGTCCTGGGCATCCCTCCCCGTTGTCGGTCTGAATTCTAATGATGGCTTCGTTCCTTGAACCAGCCATATCGGCGAGTTGTCATCTCGAGCATGATTTGCCTATGTACAAATGATACAATTAGAGTATGAAACTGAATTCAAAGAAAGGAAAAGAGAATTCTATCACATGCCAATAAATACACGCATAATAGTGAAGCTAAGTGAAAGTCATTACTCGCAAATCAATTCTCAAAAATTACAGACTAAACAATGGCTAGAATGGCACTGAAACTACCAAGAATCATGGACGAAACAACTTGTCAAATTAAATAATCCTTATACTCAAAACTACCTTCTAACTTGAAATAGGACATGATCTCAGTTCATAGCTCTCTTCTCACTATGAATTGGTTGCAACTCGTCCTTATCACTGCCTCCCAAGCTCAATTCCAACAGAATAGAGACAGTTATGTAAGAAAACCATATCCTTACTGATCATAATTCCTTTCTTCACTCCATTTTTGTCAGAGAAAAAAGTTAATCCCCTCTCCTGCATTTCCCTTTCCCCCTCTCTTCTCCCTCTTCTTCACAAACCGATCCCTAAACCAGCAACAACAACACAAAAATAGCCTTCGCCTCTGCCATCTCCATCTACTGAACGCGTTGGTGGCAAGACAGGACTGCAGAAGCAAAATTTTCTAAAATCAAACTAAATTTTTTGAAGGAGACCTAACCACGAATAAAGAGTAAAGCAACAATGCTAATAGTTCAGATGGTTGGTTTTGATGTTATACATTGCTTTTGTTCTGGTCTCCAGTATATCAACTGCACGATTTAGAAGCAAGTCCTCCTGTTTGTGTCAAACGGAAACATTCATGGGTTCTTAACTCCCCTGTTAGTGTAAAAGCAGCAGCGGCAAAGAAGTTTGACAACACAGCAAGCACCCAGGCAAAATGATACAATGCAGTAGGTGATATGTGTCTCGGAGGTTTTGAGTTACTAAAGTTCATGTTAAAAATAAACATGAATTAAAATGGATTATTCTATTAAGCAAACATCCCCTCTAATCATACAAAGATCATATATCCAATTCACAAACAATTAAGCGATAAAAAATATCATACATCCACCACCTTTGATTGCCTAAATTTGGTTTTTCGCAAAGTTATGGACTCTTAAGGGTAACGTTCATGGGTAGTCTGTTTCATAACTCTAGAGAGCACAGTAAGCAGCCACCAGCCAGACACAGTGCGGTAGGCGAATATGATTCTCAACTCACAATTTCTCACCACCGGAAGTAAGAACAGACCATAATAAGCGTAACATTCATGGGTGGTCTGTTTCATAGCACTACCACACAATTTGTTAAAAAAGAAAGAAAGGTATTTAGCACCACGGTGGAACAACTTTTACAGGCCAACAACGACAACATGCTGCAACCACCAGAACTGGTATCACAACTCATAGGGAAAATCAAAAGAGCAATCGTCAAGCACATACACCATCACAAAAGTCACGGAACCTGATTCACAAAGCATTCAAACATTTGAGGACATTTCTGCAAAGGTACAACTTATATGTCTTTTTTCCAAGCCATTTCCATCAACATGCTAATAAATTTGCAATGCATAAAACAAACGGACCAAAACTTGAAATTCAGCCTGTTCGATCGACCCATGCCAAATTCTAATTATTCTTTACTTTTAAACTTTCTATTTGAAAATAAAAAAAAATAGTGAAAGAAAAGAGACGACTACAATTCGCCATTTGCACATCACTTAATCGAGATTAAAACCATGGAAATTCAAAAGGAACTGAAAATGTTTAGGATCGTCATAATGTTTAAAATAACCAAATAGATCGTTATGTTTAGTTTTTTACTAACAAATACCAAACGATTCCCTATAAAATACACTATAATTTGATCATTATGATATCAAATAATTATAAAATATATATTTGAAATGATAAAAATTGGACTAATTGTGTTGGTCGAGGTTGAACCATTGAATAATTTTAAAATACATTATATTTTAGCCACTAAGATATAAAACAATAGCATAATAGAAAATAGCTTGTTTTAGAATGACAAACCAATGATGTTCATTTGTTTTACTTGATGGCCAAATCTCATGTAGGTCAGGCCCATTCAACTCTTTTATTTTATGGTTAGCGGTTAGCCCATTAGATACCATGCATTAGTTTATTGTTAAATTTTTTATTTTTAGCAATAAAAAGGAGTATAAGTTTTTCCTTTTCATATATATTTTATCACCACGGAGAAATAAAAGGGTTTAAAGAAAAAAAATTGACACTCCTGGACCCGTTTAAATTCGCATGTGTACGGTAAGTTGGCCCGTTCCACAGAGGAAAGAGAAAAAAATTGACACTTCCTATTCTACCCTTCCTACAAACACTCATGGAGCAGGGAGAAATGGGGGAAGGGTTTTTTCCTCCCTGCTATTATATGTTTTTAATTTAAAAAGATACAACAAATGTGCTTAGTGTGATTGGTTATTATCCTTGCTTTTCTTTAAAATGGTCATGGTTCGAATCCCAGTACGTGTCTTTTTAATGAATAAAAAAAGTAATTGTGAAGACCAAAATGTCCTTCCTACTTTCACTCTCGTTGCAGGAAATTTGAAATGGAGCTCCCGTTTTTCCCTTTGGCGTATTATATTATGTGTAGATTGCTTTAATTTCTTCATTTTTAGCTTTACAAGGGGGAAAATAATTCAATTTGGTCAATTAATATGTTTGTACTAGCAAGCCAGTAATGCTAAATTAATTCAATAATCCGCATTGATTTATTAAATGTTAACCGGGATAATTAGGTACAAGCCACCAATAGTAGAAAGAAAAAATAACTAAATCAATTATAAATAGTTTTTACCATACTTAACTTTAGACTAAAAAAATTATCAATTTCTCCTATCTAATTTATTTTACTTATTTTCTATTATACAATTCGATTGTTCTAAAATCATTTTCATTTATACTCAATTAAGTTCTCATTACCTATTCAGTCGAGTCTAGCTAGTTCATTGATTCATTGTCATTTTAGTTACTATTTGGATTTTTTTATTTGGTCTCTCAAATAATCATTTTTAACTACATCTTACTATTTAAACCATTGTCACTCTTTATTTCAAATCATATTAGACAGTATTATTTTAAATAATGTTAATTTTTTTATTTATTGAATGATGTTGTGTTTATATTTTATTATATATTAAAAAAATAATTTATGCCACATTTTGTTTACGGAACAGGGCCTCCAAAATCTTAGGGTCGGCCCTGAGTGCCCTAGTCGTCGGTGCTATTCTTTCTGAGTTTGGCTCTAAAATGTGGACTAGAACATAGACTAAAAAAATACGAAAAAAAATAAAATAAAAAAGATGAAATTAAACAAAAAAAAAATAAAAATAAAATAACAAATACTCTATACGAACAGAAATAAAAAAAGGCGCTAGCACAAAGACAAAAGTAAAACAGATCATATACCTCATTTCCCTTTCTGGCGGTTGTGAGAGTCCTCGACAATGGTGGCAAAATTTGATCGCGCATAATTTTACCTGGTCCTAAGACTAGGATCATATTCCTTAGAGTCTCTCGCAACCACTTACTCGGGTGCTGAGGGACATGTGTTATGAGGATTTTAAAGCGAATGTGGAGGTTAAGGTGCCTCCGAGGAAAGTAAGTCTACGCTACTGCTGCTGAAGTAAACAAGAGGCTGAGGCGTTGTATAGGATAGCACACTCTATATAGCTCCTTTGACTAAAAGCTCTTATCCTGGCAGCATATGAGCAACTTCATCCATGTGAGATCTACTACTCCTACCTGGTGTCACGACATTTACCCAATCTAGTAGGCCACAAGTACCCTATGAATGTCTTCTTTGAAGTATCACACAATCCAATTGATTGATGATTGAACGTGAGGGATAGTCGTGTTCGGCCTCGTCCGACTCATAATCATATTACGAAGTACACAACACAAAGGGATGTGCAGCTTCGTAGAAGCATGCAATCAACTCAAAATCTAAACCACAATGAATCCAACATAAGGAGAAGATGAAACAAAGTTCGTATTTATACCAAAATCGAAAGTTTACATAGTCAAAGAACCTTTACGGTTCGCCAACCTACACAACCAAGGACCTAGATGCTCATGTGGACAGGTTCTGGGAGGATATTAGTCAAAACGAGACCACCAAAAAGACCAAGAAATCATAGGCCACAACATGGAATGGCAACTAAGCCACCAATTTTGGTGTCGATTTTCCTCTCAAGTTTGGCTTCGCTCTAAAACAAGAGCCACTTTGCTAGTAGAGTAATGTCCCTCCAATGCGTCCTATCACTGGCTCCCAAATTTATACCGTTAGGGGTTTGTTAATAAGCTTATGTATTAGCTTTCTAGGAGGAAAAGTCCGCCTAAAACACCTCTAGGCATATTCCTTACAAGTTTGGGCTCGATATGGCGACTCCCAGAAATGGCGTCTAGGCAGTCAATTTGGGCTCAGATCGACTAAATCCACGTCATTTTCTTGACCTCAAACCAATCTCGAATTCTAACACTCAATAGCTGATCCTTGATGCCCCCCACTTGTACAAGATGGTCCACTAGGATACTTTCGGTTGAAAGCAGATGAAACACTATCAAAAGCATATAACATATCAAGAGTAATCCTAGAGTTACTAAAACACACATTTAGCAATCATCAAGCAAATGCAAGTTAGTGTGACACTAAAGTCGTGAAAACCATATAATTCTAGCCATAATAAAGGTGTATCAAATAATATTTATCTATGTGTAATCAACCACCCAGTATGACACTAAATATGTGAAAACCATATAATTGTAGCCATAATAAAGAGTATAAAATAATACTTTCTACGTGTGGTTAACCGGTATCAATCTGTACCACCTTCGATTTCACTCAAATTTAGAAATGGTAAATGATGGTTAGTATATTCTTCATATCATGTATGCAATCATTCTACACAATATCAATAACACCTTGGTATAAACTTACTACCAAACATTAACACCATGGTAGACTAGTAAATTTTTTTTTTGTTAAAAATATATAATTTTGAGAATAAAATTAATATAATTTTTCGATGAAAAATTTTTTAACTACGAATTCTAATGAAAAAATTATAACCCCTTGAATTAGATTGGGGAAAAATTAATTGTCTTCTATAAATGATAAGTGAGAGTTATGCATGTTACTAATGGGTAAGTTACTAATGGAATTTGTTCCTGTTTCTCTGTGGATTTAAAAGAATTATGCTTCTTAAATGCAAAATGTCTCTCGAAACATATTACTAATTGGGTTAATATTTAACGATATTTATCATATTGTTTTTTTTTTAGTATTTTATGAAAAATTCGCATGCGGCGAACTCTGCGCCGTCGTCCCACTCGTGGTGGGCTTGCTGTTGGCAGGATGATCCGTTAATTAAATATTAGAGAGCCCACACCGCCGGTGTTAGCCCGGTGGACCACACACCCGCCCGTGGGCCCGCATGTGCCCAGCACGGTAATAACGAAGCCGGCTCGTTCCTCCCACGCAGCATCGGACGACTCCTCGTTTCCGTCCTTCGGTTCTTCACTTCTCCTCCTCCGTCCTCGTCACCGGAAACTGCGCATGTGGCACGCCACGTCCGTCGCTATCGTCTTTCCCGTCCACGTAATTTAACCGTTGGCTTTTAGAATCGTTTTTCTGTGATCTGTTTCACACTCGTAAAAGTCCAGAACATTCGTAGAGAGAAAAACGAGTACATATTTATTTTCTTTCTAATCCAGAGCATTTCCTTCTTAATGGATCCATTATTTTCTAATTGAATGACCTTGTTTTCCCCAATTTATGAAGCAACTAAGTGGAAAGAGGAAAGAGCTGGCGGGGGATTAGGAAAAGATTAGGGGTGGTTTGGACGAGGAATTGTAACGGATTAATTTGATATAATTGTCTCGTTTTGAGATAATTATACCAAATTTCCTCGTTTGCCAGCAAAAAATTTGGATGGATCAATCTGCCTGAGGTTATTTTGAATTGATCCGTTTTGAGTCAATTTCAATTACCTTGGGTGGGGCAGGTAATTCGAATTGACTCGTTTTAATTGCCTCGAGACAATTGACTTATTTCTAGATTGATCCATGGTTGTCATGTCGGTGGCATGCCACACGGTTGAGCCTGGTTCAACCTGTGCCGGTCTTAAAACCGGCATGACACCACCGGTATGACCGGTATGATCGATTTACGCATTCTAAGTAAAATGACATCATTTTAATGAACTTAATGAATAAAAAAATTAATTTATTATTCATTTTATGAATGTAATAGCTAAAAGTTGATGATATTTGTTGAATTGTAACTAAATTGTCCACAAATACGTTTTATATATGATTAAATACATTAGATATTAATTGTTTTCATATTTTTTTTTGACCGGCATGAACCAGCACAAACTAGTTATACCACCGGTCGTACCATTCCACTTGCCAAACCGGCACAATGGTATAAACCGGTTTGACAACTTTGATCCAAACTATTCCTAGAAGACGAGATAGATGGACTGGCGCAGCCACTGGCTGATGGATAAATAGATCGAACATCTCTGTCTCTTACTCTCTTTCAATTTCCCATAGCTCCTCTGTCTTTTTTCTATCTTCTTCTCGTCCTCTTCTCATCTACGACTAACAAACAAGCAGCCGATAAGACTACTTATATACCACGCCCCATCGGCCACCACCACCATTCGTCCTTCGCCCGAGGATAAAAAGCTGAAAAGGTGAAACCATCCTCCACTCCAAATTACTGAATTTACACTCCCTTTCCTTCCTACTTCACTCACCCGCTACTCCGAGCTTCTATTTGAGGAAAGTGTCCGCCATGGCTCCCCCGCCGCAGGATCACCGGCGGCCCCTGCTCGCCGGCGAGGAGCCGGACGAGCGGGAAGAAACGGCGTACGAATCCTCCGAGAGAATCCACATAGTCGGGATTGATTCCGACTCCGACGCGTCCGATTCCGCGCCGCCCTTCTCGTGGAGGAAGCTCTGGCTCTTCACTGGGCCTGGATTCCTGATGTCCATAGCGTTTCTTGATCCGGGGAATTTGGAAGGCGATCTTCAGTCCGGTGCGATTGCTGGCTACTCCTTGCTCTGGCTGCTTATGTGGGCAACCGCGGTTGGGCTTCTCATTCAGATGCTCTCGGCTCGGCTCGGCGTGGCGACCGGCAGGCATTTGGCCGAGCTCTGCCGGTCGGAGTACCCGACTTGGGCCCGGATGCTGCTCTGGATTATGGCTGAGCTGGCTCTCATCGGAGCTGATATTCAGGAGGTTATTGGGAGTGCTATTGCGATTAAGATTCTGAGTAATGGGTATTTGCCCTTGTGGGCTGGCGTTGTCATCACCGCTCTTGATTGGTAACTTTCTAATCATCTTCCATTTTTCCAATTGGGTTCACTTTTCTGTTCTGGATTTTGACTAGAGGTTCATGGATGTTTTGGCTGTCTGTTGGGCTCTCAAAATTTGCTGATGGAGGATTTGGCGTTAGTGCAGTTTCGTGTTCCTGTTTCTCGAGAACTATGGTGTGAGGAAATTGGAAGCGTTCTTTGCTGTTTTAATCGCTGTGATGGCAATTTCTTTTGCTTGGATGTTTGGTGACACGAAACCGAATGGAACGGAACTTCTTCTGGGTGAGTTGTGGTTCTGTTTCCTATTCCATCAAGGACTTCTCTTTTTCGTTACCATGGTTGGTCATGTTAAAACTTGTGTGTGTACCTGAAATCTGCAGGCATCTTGATCCCTAAACTCAGCTCAAAAACCATAAAACAAGCCGTTGGAGTTGTGGGTTGCATCATCATGCCCCACAACGTGTTCTTGCACTCTGCTCTAGTACAATCAAGGGATGTCGATCGAAGCAAGAAGGGTCGTGTCGACGAAGCTCTTCGATACTATGGAATCGAGTCCACTGCTGCACTAGCTGTATCGTTTTTCATCAATTTATGCGTCACCACTGTGTTTGCAAAGGCGTTCTATGGCACTGAAGTAGCCAACAGCATTGGCCTTGTAAATGCAGGGCAGCTTCTTCAAGATAAATATGGGGGTGGCATCTTTCCAATTCTGTACATATGGGCTATTGGATTGTTGGCAGCGGGCCAGAGTAGCACAATCACTGGCACTTATGCCGGCCAGTTTATAATGGGAGGTTTCCTGAACTTGAGATTGAAGAAATGGGTTAGGGCCATGATCACTCGGAGCTGTGCCATCATCCCAACTATAATTGTTGCACTTATCTTTGATTCCTCTGAGGACTCCCTGGATAAACTGAATGAGTGGCTGAATGTCCTTCAGTCAGTTCAGATCCCTTTTGCACTTATACCCCTTTTATGCTTGGTCGCCAAGGAAGAGATCATGGGCACTTTTCAGATTGGTCCCGTTCTTAAGGTATCCTTCTTCTCCTGCCCTTCTTTGCTTTCTGCAATCTATCTCTCTTTATAGCCATTGAAATGGGCGTGTGATCAGAGTGCTGCTGTTTTCAATAGTCTATTGTGATCATGCCAATCTTGTCTTCTTTGCGACTCCAATGGGCTAGAGAAGTCAGTTGTTTGATTGAAACTTGATAACATTTTTCACCTCAGCACTTTCATCCTTCTCAAACAATCACCCCACTTAGAGAATGGACCCTCCTCTTACATGAACTATGTTAATGTGTTGTGCTTATCTTCTTGCTATTGTACACGTTTCTTTTACTGCACCTACATCCATTCTAGACTGCACTAAACGAGATTCTACTGCGTTTACTAGAGTTCCCTAATTTGTCTCCTTTACTTAAACAACAAAAATCTTCACTTTTGCAGACAATTTCATGGATTGTGGCTGTATTGGTTATATTGATCAATGGCTACCTACTGTTGGACTTCTTCATGAACGTGGTAGATGGATTGACAGTTGCAGTAGTGGTCTGCGCATTCACAGTTGGATATGTATCATTCATACTCTACCTGGTGTCCCGAAACTTTAAATTTGCGTCGTGGAGCCGCCGTCAGTCTAAGCAGTTAGATCTAAATTGAGTGAAGAAAGAAACACCAATTGGCCAGATATGTAAGGCATGAATCATGCTGTGTTCTGCTTGCTGCCTCCGGGGCTTCATACTACGGTTGTGACTTCTGACCAGAGAACCGCTTTATGTGCATGAACTTCTCTGGGTAGCATCTAATACAGCTCCATAGTCTGTGCGGCTTCTTCTATATGCCTTGTGCAGAAAGGGTCAAGGAAGATATCGAAGACCCACAACGCAACGAAGTGGATTTTGAATCCAGCACTTGGTACTTTGCGAAGTAGTTTTTCTAGCTTTGCAGGCCAGATTGCTGGATGGATCAACATTGATCAGTGTGTGATGAAGTTGAACCTCCAATGCAATCGGCTTTAATCTTCATGTATCTCGTCGTCTTTCGAGTATGACAATGAAATGGCAATGCAATGTATCTTGTAAGATTATTCCCTCCCACTATTTGCTGTAGTATAGATCATCATCAGAAGATAGATCTCTTTGAACAAGAGCAGATAACGAAGAGATGATCTCTTAACTCTGTTGCATTGTTGGAGAGTGGGCAATTGTTTGTTGCTGAAGGATTCCAACTAGTAATCTTATCCAGAGTATGAATTATGTCAAAATAATTAGCCACTGAACAATTTATTTCCTATCATGGCTCTCAAAAAAAAAAAAAAAGTATAGATTTCCCCCCTTTATCTACTCTTATTGAAAGCCAGTTCTTAGTACTTTGCAACTTGCAAGGTTGTTAAACCGGTTTATACTGTTGTGTCGGTTTGGCAAGTGGAACGGTACGACCAGTGGTATAACCAGTGTGTATCGGTTCATGCCGGTTTAAAAAAAGTGAAAACAATTAATATCCAACGTATTTAATCATATATAAAACATATTTGTGGACAATTTAGTTACAATCCAACAAATATCATCAACTTTTAACTATTACATTCATAAAATGAATAATAAACTAATTTTTTTATTCATTAAATTCATTAAAATGATGTCATTTTACTTAGAATGCGTAAGTCGATCATACCGGTGATGTCATGCCGGTTTTATGACCGGCACAGGTTGAACCAGGTTCAACCGGGTGGCATGCCACCGGCATGACAACCATGATACTTTGTTTCAAAATTTGTAGCTTGTTGGATGGAGTGACCTACTTAAGCATTGAGACAGGGTCTTGAGCCTAAAAAGTCTTTCATAGTTCTATATTTTTAATCCACTCCCCATCCTTGAGTTTCACCCAACAATTTCCAATCAAAATAGGCAAATCGCCCTATCTTTTGTCGAAACTGAAAAAGGATTAAAATAATAAGGTTAACTTTGTAATTACATGATTTTTGGACGGAATTAGCGCCTAATTACCTTGCTCATTGAGTAGTTGAGTCCCCGTTGAACAATCTTTTGAACAACAAGAGGCACAACGTACAAGAAGAAAATGTTAATATTTGAAAGACTATATACAGAAGCTGATTTCTCTCCTTCTTGTTCTAATTAAAATGCGAGTATATTTCATTCCTCTCCACAGATTCGAAAGGCGGCCATTTACTTTAGGCAGTAGGCCTTGCCCTTTTGTTCGACAGGAAAGTAAAGTCGTAAGAAGTAAGTTTTTTGCGCTATTAGAGATGGAATACTGCTTTCGATGGAAGAGCAGGTGCTTTATTTCTCTTATCACGGAATCTTATTATACGTTGAGCTTGATCTGATCTTTCTTATGTCTGCTCCTGTCTTGTCGCCTCCTATTATACCGGTGGGCCACTCCTGCTTGGGCAGCAGAAAAAATGGTAATGGTTGGTTGTACTGGTGCAGGTGGTGATAATATAGGGGTTAACTCTTTATAAAACCATTAAAAAATCCGTAACAGAAAAAAATGGGAATTTTTGCCAAAAAAAAACCCCCCCGAGATAGTAGGCCATCTTTATGGATCTTGAAATAATGTTATTTTTGTGAATCAGTCTAAAACTTGATGAAAAAAAAACTTAAAAAGAGGCTGAAAATGCCATTAATAAAAAAAAAAACTATTAATTAACACTGTTATTAATAGCAAAATAACCAGTTTTTTTTTTTGCAAGCAATTCAGTTCATACCATCTCCGGCCAAACCAACCCAAAACATCCCTCCATCCTTCTTCTTCTTCTCCGCTAGTAACTACTCTTCAAATCTGAGCCCTGTTTCTGTCGTGTTGCCCGAGCCAAATTCGTCCCCTGTGATAATGGCTTGGGCTCGACCACATCTACATTCTCTTCTACTACCGTTCCTCGTCGTCGTCTTCTTCTTCTTCTACTCTTGTGCTGCCAATCCCACGGCACGAGCACCTTTAAGTAGTACTACAGTAATCTTTGATTCCGATCACCGGCCCTACTCTGCCAATGGTAGCACCGTTCTCGTCGGACCCGCTGGTCCGGCGATGATACTGCCGCTCTTCCACCACATTACCAAAAAATCACAATCAGCTTCTTCTTCTTCTTCTGGCACGTTGTCAAATGCTAAGCACCGCAAGAATCTTCGGAAATCACCAATTGCTCACTCCCTTCCTCATGCTCGTATGGGACTCTACGACGATCTCCTCCTTGATGGGTAATTTGGCATCCTTTTGCAACTCTGTCTCTTTATTTATTTTTCTTCGAAAGTTTTATGAAAGTGTGTAAAAAAAAAAAGAGCGGACATACGAATTTTTATAATCTTTACTGGTTTTGCTAGTAACATGGTTGCTCGTTTGGTGACAAAAAAGATCTATTTTTCACACGGGCTTGATTGGATTTTATGTTGGTTTTTCGGACTGCTAAATGTGGTGTATTGTGAATTTGTGATCTATGACATGTATTTATATTTGTGCAATGTATGAATGGATTTGATGTAACAAAACAAAATGTACTTTTTAAATGATAAAAGTAGAACAAACCAAACCAGGTATTTGAGTACTCTTTCTCTAAACAATATATCTTTTGGGGGTTAAAAACCAACCTGAAAATTTTCTTTTATCTTATAAGGAATTTTTGCAATTGTGATCTTGATTTGTCATCCTCACTTCATATTGGTTTTTTATTAATTTTTATGTGTCGAAATCGGGCTGGTTAATCAGTACGATATTGTCCGCTTTGGGCCAAACCCACACAGTTTTACTTTTGGGTATCTTTCCCAAAAGGCCTCGTAATAATTAGTTTGGTGGACAATAATATACATGGATTCCTTCTCTTATATTTCCGTTGTTATGATATTTGGATTTTCTCATAACATTTTGCAAACAAACATATTAGTTAAAATCCCTCCTTTTTTTTCTCTCGAAGGTATTATACCACTCAACTTTGGATTGGAACGCCACCCCAGAAATTCTCCTTGATCGTTGACACAGGTAGCACCGTCACCTACGTCCCCTGCTCCACTTGTGAGCAATGTGGCAACCATGAGGTACGTAACAACGTACTAATTGCTTCAAACTCTACTATTATTATTATTATTATTATTATTATTATTATTATTATTATTATACATCCAATTCAATAATAAAAGTGTTTAGAAAAAAATAATAAAAGCTTTACCGGAAACAAAACCAGGATCCCAAGTTTGCGCCAGAACTGTCGCTCACTTACGAGCCCATGAAGTGCACCATGGAATGCAACTGCGACGTCGAGAACGTGTTCTGCACCTACGAGCGGCAGTACGCCGAGATGAGCACCAGCAGCGGCGTCCTCGGCGGCGACCTCTTCTCCTTCGGCAACGACAGCGGCCTCGACCCGCAGCGAGCCGTCTTCGGCTGCGAGAACGTCGAGACCGGCGACCTCTACACCCAGCACGCCGACGGCATCATGGGCCTGGGCCGAGGCGACCTCAGCGTCGTGGACCAGCTGGTCGACAAGGGCGTCATCAACGATTCCTTCGCCCTCTGCTACGGTGGGATGGAGGTTGGAGGCGGCGCCATGGTCCTCGGCTCCGTATCTCCGCCTCCTGATATGGTGTTCACCGCCTCCGACCCTCTGCGGAGGTGAGTTGAAACCGCAGCCTCTGGTTATTCTGCTAACTTGAAAATTCGTTAGTAATATACTAAACTAATATCCAAAATGTATGAACTAATATCAAAGTATTTAGATAGCGCAGACTAGTATTCAAAACATCACAAACTAGTATCCCGATAGCAGATACCAACTAATATACCAAAATCAACCAACTAGTATTCAATATGGATACTCTTATGTGTTATCTGGATACTAATTATGTGTTGTATGGATACTATTATGTGTTGTCTAGATATTAGTTTCTGAATTTGGGATGTCAGTTAGCAAACTTTGAATACTAATATGTGCTCTCTAGTTACTTTAGTACTTGGATACTAGTTCATGTATTTTGGATATCAGTTAGTATCTGCTAACGAATCTTCAAGTTAGCAGATTAACTTTTCCCAGTTGAAACGAGAACGATGATGAGTTTTCTCTTGCGCGTTGTTGTTGTGTGTGTCGTCGGTCGTTTTTGAGCTTTCTAAGACACATTTACTCTTAGTTTCGGGATGGCCACAGTCCATACTACAATGTTGATTTGAAGGAGATCCATGTCGCCGGCAAGAAGCTGCAGCTGGATCCCAAGATATTCAACGGGAAATATGGAACCGTCTTGGACAGCGGCACCACGTACGCTTACCTTCCGGAGCAAGCATTTGCTGTGTTTAAGGATGCTGTAAGCTGCTACTGCTTCTGTTGTCCATGTGTTTAATTAATTCAACGATGATCGATGGTGAAATAATTATTTGGTGGTGGTGAATCTTTGGAATCAGATTGTGAAGGAACTTCATTCCTTGAAGCGAATTCATGGTCCCGATCCTAATTATAACGATATTTGTTTTGCTGGAGCGAGCAGGTATTTCATTTATTCATTCGTTAAACTAATGTGTATATTATGCGGATTGTCACTAACAACGAAAAATGTTGATGTCTAAACAGTAATGTCTCGGACTTGTCACGTACTTTCCCAAAGGTCGAGCTGGCGTTTGAAAAGGGACAGAAGATATTGTTGTCGCCCGAAAACTACTTATTTCGGGTGAGTGTGTGAACGTTATATATTATATAGCCAATTATTCAAATGATTTCTCTATGCATGAGGAGCGTTAGTTGGATTTAATTTGTTGTGCATATCTAATGCTCTACCATTGCGTTATTGTAGCTAGTTATTAATATTATTTTTTTTCACAAATTTTGTTAATATTTTTTTTTTTACAGCACTCAAAAGTGAATGGTGCTTACTGCCTTGGGGTGTTCCAAAATGGAAAGGATCCAACAACACTACTTGGAGGTGCATTATTCATCATTCTTCCACAATTTTTTTTTTTGGGATAGTTTTTTAATGATAAATAATAATTTTTTCTTAATTACTAGGTATCATTGCTCGAAATACTCTTGTCGTATATGACCGTGAGAATGCAAAAGTGGGATTTTGGAAGACCAACTGCTCGGAGTTATGGGAAAGACTTCAATTAGCTACTTCTTCTCCAGCTCCTTCACCACAACCTTCACATCAAAACAACCATACCGAAGAAGCTTCATCTGTTTTGGCTCCGAGTCCAAGTGATTTACCGCACTATGCTCTTCGAGGTATAACTTAGCTTTATAGGTCATATTTTTCATGCAATTTTCCCCCTAATATAATCTCACATCTCCCTCCTGATCATATATGCTTCTGTGAATTTTTTTTGTTTACAGGCGGGATCTACATTGGCCGTATCGAGTTTGAAATGTCATTCAGTGTTAACTACCATGATCTGAAGAAAAATCTCCACAACTTAACAAAACACATTGCTCAAGAGTTGAAAATTAACGTTACACAGGTGATCAGTCGAATATACTTTGAAATTGTCGTCTTCGTAATTGGGTAAATTTTTTCTTTTTGAGAAGATAACATTCTTTATCTACAAGCGTATCTCTAGGTCCACGTGGAGAGCCTTTCACCGGAAGGGAACGATTCACTCGTAGGCCTGTCCATAGTTCCTTTGGAATCTACTCACTACATCTCCAATGGCACTGCTCTTGTAAGTTATTCATCATTGTGCATGACTACGAAGAATACCATCCAGAGCACTTCTACTATACTTTAAAGTACAACTTGAAATTATACCATTACGTTGAAAGGTACAAATTGAAGTTGCACCATAACTGAATTTACCATTTATGTTATGGTACAACTTGAAGTCGCAAAGTTGTATCATAACATAACAGTACAACTTTAGTTTGTACTATAAAAAGATTTCACAAAGAGTATAGGACTATAGGTACATACAACCCGAAGTTGTACCAAAACATTAAAGGTACAACTTCAAGTTATACCATAAATGTAAAAACTAAAACACCATTACTTTAAAGCATTGTAAAATTCCTCTACCATCCACGGAAAATTGTTTGTTTGATTTGGTGAAATTGTGTACAGAGTATAATTGCTCGAGTGGTGAAGCACCAAATGACTCTTCCTGATAGCTTTGGAACTTATAAGTTGGTCCAATGGAAAGTTCAGCCACCACCACAACAGTGAGTCTTTTTTGTTATAAGACTCTCTTCTTATATTTCGTGATTGAGTTGAGCCCATACAAAAGATAGTATTTTTTTTCCATGATTGGTGTTGAAAAATGTTACTTTTTGTAGGGCGTGGTGGGAGACGCACTATCTAGTGATTCTCATAGCTGCAATAAGCACACTCATCGTTGGATTGTTCGGCATAGGATTATGGTTAGTTTTGCGGCGTAGGCAAAATGCATTGACGACATATAAATCTGTCGATGAGGATGATGATGCTCCTGAGCAGGAATTGCAACCCTTACAATGAAAACACACCAATATTTTTGAACATCAATGGTTATGGATTGGTAATTTGAGTACTCCAGCGTCCATTTGATGATTTTTCATATAAAGTGTTCATATTGAGGAAGAAGGAGGTGGGAAAAAAAAACCAAGCAAATGTGCCAAATGAGAAGATTTTATATTTCAACAATGAAGAGTGACTCAAGAATTTAGTTTATACAAGATTTCGATTATTGATGCTTGATGCCTATTGATAAGGTAGTCTATCTACACGGTCAGTCGGTCACTTTGTCAAGTGTACGAATCTCAACTTTCAGTATTATTAAGGTCTCTATGTTGTATTCCATGGGGTAGTAGCTTAACTAATTGACAGCTACAACTACTTGAATTAAACTACTAAGGCAAGCAAATGCTATCAAGAGGTATTCCTTTGAATGAGAAAAGTAGTTGGTTAGATTTCAAACAACCAACTCAATACCTGCTTAGGGTTTTAAAGCATGAACAGAGTGAGTCAAACTAACTTAATTATCAGTTTTGTCACTCCGTACTCTACAAAAAACTTCACTTTTTGTGACAAAAAATGTGTCACAGAAAGCCTCAAATCCGTCGTATAAAGGTTTATGCGACGAGAAAACAAGGTTCGTTGCAAAAACCTTGATTTGTCGCTGAAGGATTTAAGTTTTGGCGACGTACATGTCGTTGCAAAAAATGATCATTTGGCGACGACAATGGCTCCTCTGTCGGAGAAAAGGTAGTTATGCGATGAACTTGAAAGTGAATATTTAGCGACAGTGACTTTTTTTTTTTGGAAATATTCACTATTTATTTTTCTGGTTCAATTATTTTTCTAGTTCAATTTAATATATGTATATCACAATTCAATTTTTTGTATCATTTTTGGAGTTGCTCCCAATTTAAGCTATAACTCACTATTAATGCAATTGGAGCTCTATTGACCAAGAAGAGGAACTTGATTACTCACAAACACCACTACCCAATCAATGCATTAATGCTTCATGGATTCCACTAATGAGATAATCCCCAATATGGAAGAACTTTGTGGTGTTATTTCTAATCACCCACTCAATCCTTCTTCTATCTATTTTGATCAACTCTATAAATTCAGGATTTTCTCCTACAATACTTAGAATCCTAAATCACACAATTGGGTCCATAATTCATACAATAAAACTTGACAATCATATAAAAAATTCAATCAACACCAATGCTTACAAATAAGCCCCTAGCAAGTATCTATTTAGTGCCCTACATCTAACCAAAGCAAAAAGGTTTAGTCCGTAAAGAAAGAGAAAATGTATCTACACCAACAGGGAAACTTAAGCATGCGCATGACCCAAATATTTTTCTCCTTCTTAACCATCACTTCTTATCTCCAATCTTGAGCCTTCAAGGATCGAATTTGAAGGAATTACCCTCCAAGAACACTCCAATATCACATTTTCTCTCTTGGATTCGTCAAAGCATAGGAATGCTCAGCTGGTATGGAGAAGTTAGAGCACCGAGGTTATGAGCTAGCTAACTAGGCACGTGTCAATATTAGTGATACAACACTTATATAAAAGTTTGTTTACAATTAATATCATACGGAGCAAAAGTATAAAATAGCATCATTAAAAAATATTTGAAACCTCTAAGTTCCACGAACCTAAACAATTATTGAACTACCCACTCATGGAGACAGAAACAACCATAAACATAGAATCGGTAGCAAAAAAAACCTTACTGTGGAGTTTGGGCAACCTCTATGCTTTTGGGATGAATCTAGGAGATAGTGTAAACTGTACTGTCCCAATCCCCTCCTTCAAGGTTTCAGATTGATTGGAAGTCTGGAGGACTTCTGGGAGTTAAATAACCTTTTAGTAAACCTTATATGCAATTGTTTACTTGAAGGACAATTGCCTTGGAAATCAGGGTTTCACGATGTTTTCTATAAAAAAAATCTCTCATCTTTGAATATTTGTCCAAAAGGAATCAAATGCACGTTTGAGTCAATACGAAGCAAAACAAAGCCAAAATGGATAAAGATATATGAAAACATTGTAAAACTTTTCATAAAATGAGGTAGAAAAATAGTATATTTTAGGTGTCATCATAGTACCCCCAAACTTTAGATTTATTCTTGTCCTCAAGCAAATCACATTGAAAATTTGACATGTGTGCGGGTCAAGCTTTATATTTTTAAAGTCGAAGTGCACCTACTCTATGTTCATGAAGGTGGGGATCGACTCAATGCATGCAATCGGTCTCCCTCCTAGCTAGGTGAACCAATCCAATGTCACCTCAAGCGGTCTACCCAACTAGGAATTTGGTTCTACCTCCTCTAAACGGATTATATACGTCCGCACACAAGTCGGGTAAGTCGATGGTCATGCACTTACCCGAAAGGATCAACTAGGTGAGAATCTAACTAGAAGGGGGTGTTCACCTCGACCTCTAGCTAGATCTCTAAATCAACCAATCATGGTAAGAAGCATTCACACACATCTAAACCCTAATTAGAAGTATTAAGAACTCTAGTTAAACCCTAGGTTGCAAACAAGCAAATGGGATATAGACAATCCCACACTAATTGGTGTATGCCCCAATCTAAATCTAAGAGGATGTTTATCTCTCCTAGGTCAAGAACAAGTCAATCACAATAAAGTAAAAGATTCTCATGCACAAAGATCAATTAGACATAGATTATAGGTTCATAATCATTCATACACATGACCCATAAGCTAGGGTTCATCTTCCCAAAACAAACATAGGGATTCAAGTCATAGAGAGAAAGAAAATACAAAATAAAAAGAGGAGAAATGCTTGGAATCATCTTGTTCTCCTTGCATTGCACCTTCTCGTTGATCCTTGGACGGATTGGACCTTTCCCAAGCTCTCTCAAGGTGTTTCCCTCTCTAAAAACTACCCAACAACTCTAATTTCTCACTCTAGGCCAACTCTCCTTCGTCAAGTGCAGAAAATGTGTGTTTATAAATTATACAGTCAGATCACAACCTCAAGGGTGTGACTCGATGGTCACATACATGACCTAGGCGTGACCAGGTCGTGACTAGGCTAAAACAGAGCTGAATCGCCCAAAAATTCGTGTATTGTCATCGTCTTCAAGTTCTGATATCGCAACCTCCAACATGAATCACGATCGCAATCTTTTTCGCGGTCGAAAAGCCCCTTGCCCACGATTTGAGTGTCGAAACTTTATGCCCTCTTTGTTGGCTGCTTGCTGAAGTTCGCGACTACTGTTCAAGACCGCGAACATAGTCACTACGAATGTATTCAAAAGCGCGTTTCTACATAGAAGCATTTTGGTGCTCTAAAAGTGTAAAACCGTAAGCTTTTAAAGTTTAAAGCGCGTTTTTAACTACATTAGTTATAAAAACTGTGATTTTGCATAGAAGTGTTTTGGCGACCTAGACGCATAAACATATAAGTTTTTAAGCTTTAAAGTGCGATTTTGACTGCATTAGTCACTACCTGGTCACGGTCGTGATGTGGCTGTGATCTGTGTTTTTTCTCCCTTCTTGCTCCTAAGCTTCGCAATCGTGCTTGGATGAACTCTAATCAATTCCCGATTAAGGATGGCAATGTGGGGACTTTGGGGCGGTTTTGTCTAAACCATCCCCACCCTCGCTTTCAAATATCCAAATACATATCCACCCAATACTCATGTGGGGGAAGGTTTTGCAAACTTATCCCCATAACCGTGGGTTTCGGGTACCCATTGGTAATATATGCCACGTACATCCAATAGTATAATACCTAAAAATTTACATGTAAGTAAAAAATTATAACACTAAATGCACCTACTATATCATGAAGTCTACAAAGAGACAATCGTTCTTAATACGGTTCAAAACACCTTATCCTAAAACCTCCATTAATCCATAAGAGAGTACAAAACAATCCACATCATTATTTTGGCTATGATACATCTACTAAGTAATAACTAACTAAAATAATCTTGTTAACACGAGGAAAAAAGTGAAAGAGTGAATGGAGAGTTGAGGAAAAGGTATTAGGTTTTGATTTGGGTGACCGCTCATTTACATTTCTACTATTTATTTTCTTGAGTTACACTCACTATCATTGATAGGTTACAATTTTATCCATGTATTATTTATATGTGAAGAAATGCTTTTGATGGGGCGGGTATGAGTTATGGGTATGTGGTGGGGAGGCTAAAACCATACTCGCCCCCATACCCATCAAATATTTTGAGGGTTTTACCCATATCCGCCTCATACCCATTCAATGCTGGGATTCCCCGCTTTGACCGGGTCGGGGGCGGTTGGGTACCCGCGGCTATGGGTGTCATTACCATCCCTATTCCCAATCAATCCTAGATGAATATAAGACTTGGAATTTCATGACAAACACTGAAAAAATCATAAAATACAACAAAGTTTGGTCGATTTCCCCATAAAACCTTCATATCAAGCTAACCCATGCCAAAATGGATGTTTTGCAAATAGGACAAAAATAGGCCTAAACTAGCTTGACATGTGTCCTTGGGTCGATTTCCCCATAAAACCTTCATATCAAGCTAACCCATGCCAAAATGGATGTTTTGCAAATAGGACAAAAATAGGCCTAAACTAGCTTGACATGTGTCCTAGACACTGTAATTCAGCACGCAAACACCTTGAGAATGAGGGCTAAATATTACCTATTTTAGGTGTATCAACTCTCCCACACTTACACCGTTTTCTTGCCCCCAAGAAAACATACGATTAAATCATGCAACTCGAGGCGTCTAAATTCCCCACACATGATGTGTTTTGTAGGAGTCTGGTTTCTAGTGGCTAAGGTCATCCCACTTCTACATTATCTTGCTTGATTTACTCGGGAAAGGTCACCATAAATGTTCTAAAATGATGGTGATAGGCGCAAGGTGCAAAACAAAACTCTTCAGGGCAGGTGAAAGGACCGCTACTCTTTCGGATTTTTTCTACACTTTCTCGAAAACCTTTATTTCTATTTAGAATTTTGGCTTGAGGGATTTAGTAGTCATTCATCTGTTGTTGAGTATGTGCACTTTAATGGTACTTTTTTTTGTGCTTGTTCGCCGGGCAAGTAGGAGTAGTTTCTCCTACACATACCTCAGCCCATGGGGGAGGTACACGAGAGGATGGAAATAGTGAAAAGGGTGAAGTTTGGATGCGGCAAAAATATCTGAATCTCTTATGTACATTATCCCAAAAGGCACTCACATTAATCTGAACGGGTTGCCACAACATGTTGCATTAGACGCTGCACCCAAAGTTTTTTTTTTGTGTACGCATGTTGCGAGAAAGCACAGAACCAAGCACCTTTCTAATGGCCTAACCAAGAGAAATAGGGTTTTCTCACATGCAAACCTAACACTAATCATTCTTCAAACATTCTCATACCCACCTACATCAAGAAATCAAACAAAACCACTTTGACTTAAGACATCCCATGCACTACAATCCTCAACATTGGTCAGGACGTGGGGTGCAAGATTCACTGATCCAAAGCAAGTAATCGCATTGCAAGCAAAGAAGGCAACTTGGAGCCCTCAAAATTGAAAAAAAATTGGCCATGCATGCAAGTTTCTAAGTGGTCGAATTATACTAAATCATCATCCATAATCACTATGCAAGGCACACTTTCTCTCGTTCAATAATTCACACATTCATAACACAAGTGGTCGATAGCAAACCTTCTACACAAGCATTTATGCACAACCTCCCCCCCCCCCCCCCCCCCAACACACACTCACTTAAGGAACACACTATCCCCAATGTGAGCAAGGGTGAAGGATAGGGGAACGAGATTACCGATTTGTCAAAGTTGAGTGATTTTTGGGTTGAAGGGTAAGGTGGGTGCGTTCGATTTTTGTGAAACATCCACGAGAAAGGAGCTAAGAAAATACAAAATTCACATCCATAAAATAAAACTTAAACAATACAAGTATTAATTAATATAAGTAGAAAATTATACTAAGTACTCAAATAAAAAGTAAGGACAAGCACACAATACTAACATTCTACAAAGTATATTATTCAAATGGAAAGATAAAAAAGAAAGGGGTAGAGAAATGGCTCTCCCAAAGTTGAGCATTCGCCTTTTGGACTCAATCTCTCGTCCTTCTAGATGGCACTTATAGTTTTTAGTGTTGTTCTTCTTGTGGTTGCTCCTCGACTAGAGGTTATGGTTCTTCTTCTGATATTTGTGGTTTTTCTCGTTGAGGGGGGTTCTTGTTTCTTTCTATATAATGCTCAGGGCTAAGGTCCTCTACAAACCCCTTACTCTTTGTGGAATCGCCTATATAAGATAAAAATCACAATACATGTCCAAACATACTATTAAGCAACACACTTGATCAATTGAAACAACTAAAAATCTGTCCTTAGGTCCAACTTTACACACCCCCACACATAAGTGTTACCGTGTGTAGAAACTAGATGTGCATAGGTGGAAATGCATGTTTTAATGACTAGGGGCGAGGTCTAAATGCATGAAAAAGGGAATCATGTCCTTCTGGAGGTTTCTATACCTTAAAATCTAGAATCAACTCATTAGACAACAACCAACAGCTGAACTCACGGCTCTAGAAGCATGCCAAAGCCCAAAATATAAAATTAGCCAAAGTAGCAAACTCAAGGATCGTGCATCAATGATTCAATCTGAAGTCATAAACACACTTCTAAGGGTCTATATTAATCAATCAAGTTCATTTGATAAGCAATGGATCCAGATAAACAAGTTTTATGTGGTTTGGGAATTCCATCGTACACTTGGTGAGCGACATTAAAACTTCATAAACTCATTCAATTCAAACCCAACAAGGCCTACAAATGCACATACACATTTATAAACGTACACTCTATGATCCCATTGTACTAGCCATGTCATTCCCTTAACCTAAGTAACTTAGTTGGTAGGCTAGCACACATGTGTAACAACAACAACATTTCTCAAGCAACTATATAGATTCCAAACAATCATTCATGTAATTCTTCGCATGGCAAGGTAGTCATTCACTATCCAAGAGTATAAACATTCCAAAAAACAAGATCAAGCATGAAAGTTTTATTTTTGAAGAAGGTAAAAGAAATGCAAACCGATTGTTGGGGTACCTACCAACGAGAGCGTCTTTCAAGTATTATCGCCGGATGCTTGCCTTCAAGTTCTCGATCCAACTTACAACTTCTTTGGAGTTAAGGTTTTCATTGGTGAAGTCGAGTCTCAAGTCTTGATCGGTCTCCCGATCATTTGGTGAAGGCTCATGTGGACAAGAATGCTTGAGACACCTCCAATGAAACCTCTCTTCAACCCTTTTCTTCTTCTCTTTGCCTCGAACCAAATGGAGTAGTTTTGAAGGTTCATCACCACATCCACCAAGAGGAATTAATGATGAGTTGGCCTCATTTTGACAAAGACATTTCAAAAAAGGATCCAGCACTAGAAGCCTCTCGATGTCGGGTGACCTTCCTTGGTCAAAATGAATTACCTCTTCGAGAACACCAACCCAGATTAACCCTAGACAATCATCATCTTATTCTTCAACCACCTCTCTCTCGTATATTGAGTGACGTCTTCCCCATGTGGAATCTCAAGCTCATCCTCTTCATTACTTCCTTCTTCACCCATCATAGCTTCATCATTGCTCTCTTCCTCCTTTAATGCTTCTTTTTGTCCGATGAGAGCATTCTTCAGCAAGGTCTTCATTAGATTTAACATTGCTCTCTTCTTGATCTTTCACCATTTTTTGCCTCTCCTCTCCACTTCATGTTCAAATCTTATGTGGAAACACCCCAAAGGAAGAATAGGATCACTAATATCTATATGCTCGTATCTTATGTTGAAGCATTCCACGACTAAGTCTGCCGTGCTTTTGGCTTTCGATGGTGGTGTGGGATGAAGCACCTCTTCATCATTGGAGAATACAAGAAAGAAAGTAACACATAACAAACACACTACATCAACACAATATTCACAAAACAAGATACAAACACACAAAAACGATAAATGACACCTAGAACATGGCGCAAAACACACAAAGATTATAACAAAATGATTAAATTAGTAGTTCTCAACTTTTACTAATAACCTAAGACTCTCCAGCAACAGCGCCAAAAACTTGGTCGATGCTCCGTGCTCGTTAAGAATTGGTTGCACGACTTGAACTAACTATCCCATCTTGAGCCAAGTATAATTCAAGATGGCATTGTCAGTATACCGGTTGACCAAGGTCGTATTCCACGGGTCTCGATAGCTTAGGCTACTTCTCACTCGGTTGTTATTTAGTCGATCATGTTTTAGGGTGGCTTGGAGGACAAATGGAAATAACTGGTGACAAAAGCATAGATAAAAAGCTGGTACTCGGGGCATCAGCCTCACCCTAGCTAATAGCCTATCATGCAAAAGGATAAATTTTTCGGTTTGTGGGGAACAAAGTACGGTAATCACTAATGTGAGAACTAGCTCAATGGTCATGCAACTAGATCCCTTCCTAATCTGATCCGCTGACCCAATCTCACACACAATCAGGTTCACGAACTAGGGCTACAATTTAATTCCTTTCAAGAGGTTGCACCTATCTGCACACGAGTTCGATATGTAAATGGTCACGCACGTACCACCCTAGCATTACCTAGGTTGGCATCCTAATTGGCAGGGGATGGTCACCTCGACCACCAATTAGACCCCTAAATCATTCATCTACACTAACATGCAAACTTCTCAGATCCACAACCTCCTCAATCAAACCCCAACTAGGCAAACATAAAAAGCATGTGGAAAGAAAATTTCAAAGCATAATCAACACAGGTAAAATCTTATAAACCCTCGGTAAACACATTCCATTCACAAATCCTAACAAAATTTCTTCTAAATAAGAAAACCTAGAGGTTGGCAACGGGATGGAATTGGGTACCCGTCCCGTTTGAAATGGGTATCCAATCTCATTTGGAAATAAAACTCCATCCCATGTCCCAAACCGATATGAGTTAACAGGCACCCATTACCCGTACGGGACTAATAACGGGTGCCCAAACTACACATATATACCCGTCCAACATGGGAAGTAACAAAATTAGAAAAACTAAAAAAGTGAAGCCGCCACATAGAACCAGAATATCCTTTTTAGCGAGTAACTCGTGGGCATCCAATGTAAAAACTCATGGGTATCCAATGTAAAAACTCTAAATTCATAGTCCAATCCCGTAATCAATATTAAGGGTATTTGAGTACCCGTAATCCTAAAAAAAAGGGAGAAGTATGGGTATACCCAAATGCCCATTTTCTGTTTCCCACCCCTGATAAAACCTGAAGCTAGGATTTGGGGATCAAACCCCTAGTACCTTGAGTACATACTCCATAAATGGGGGAAGAAGAAACATGAAAGAATGGGGAAGAAAACTAGTGGGCGATTGATGGACAATCCCTTCCTTCTTTGCTCCTCCTTCCTTCAACTTCTCTCTCTAATATCTCTCTAAAATCATAAATTTATCCAAGTTTTTTCGCTAATTTTGCAAAGGAGAAAGGTTCCCTATTAATATACTTCACAAAGATGGACAAGTTCGCGGTTGAGGGTTGAGAGATCGCAGGCGTGCACTTCGGGAGTGAGACCGCGATCTTCAAATGTAGCGTTTTTGCACTTGATGGCTCGGGAGTTCTCTGCCTGACTTCACGGTTGCGATCCGTAAGTCACGGCCACGATCGTTCTCGAGGTCTTGGACAACTGAAGCTGTGAGTCGACTATCGAATCCTTCTTTCCATTCCTTGCTGCTGCTTCCTCAAGTTCACGGCTGGCACCTCCCAGATCGCGGACGCAATCTTTGCTCCAAAGGCCGCGATCTTTTGCTTGACTTTGCGGCTTCTCTTCCCGGTAGTGATCTTTTTGTTCCTTTTCCTACACTTATGACCCATTCTTGTGCATAAAACGCAAGTACCATCTAATACACCTTAAAATTATATGAAATAATGCGAGGAACAAATTTGAGATGCATTTGATGATTTATCAACCATTGAGACCATGAATGACCTGAAAATGCCTAAATATAGAGGCTAAATAACATCATTTTGGGTTTTATCACTTGGTCACTTTTATGGTTAGTAAAGGCTCCTCACAGTTGGTAATGAGAATTTATCATTTGAACTTCAGTTCATGTTTCCTAGTTTGATGGTCAAAATTAGATAACACCAAAATATTCTCATATGGAAATGTTAGGTTTATGACCAAAATCATTTGTAAAAAGGAGGAGAAAGCTCAATTTATTTTCATAAGCAAATTGATGTTTGATTGGATAACCATCAAAATGTATCCACTATTAGAAAACAAATCTCGTAAACACTGGGTTGCGGTATGAAAAGTGTGACCATAGAGTTTATGTATGATTTAAATCATAAAATTACTAAATGGTCCACATGATGGTTGTATTTTTTCGCATAGAAGTCCCATAAACTATACATGATCCACTCTTACTTCACCAAGTGATAGTAAAATAGTAACTTTTCTTTGGGAACAAGCTACTCATAATAAATCTTTCAGTTGAGGATTCTTTATGTTCACATGAATTCTCAATGATTTTCACATCTCGATCTGAAAATGGTAATTTGACCTGTCAAACTACTAAGTTATCAATTCTTGTAAACTTCTAGTTCACACTTTCATGTGTAATGATATCCATGTAATACATATTTGAGATGCAAATATTAGTTTCACTATTTTCTTAATATTATATTCCTTTATGTGAATATCTTTTTAATTAGGTAATTCATCATCAATAAATAGTTTTGTTCCTTCCGGGCGTTTTATGATTTTATGCATTCTTAGTGAATATCATCACAAATTGTTACCTTGACTACATGTTTTAGTTATTTCAAGCAACCAAATTGACTCGCATCAAAATACACCACAAATTAATCCCAACTAGAGTCCAAGTTTTTAAACACTAGCCGGGTGCAGTATAGAGAAAGTATTTAAATATCGACTCGAGCCGATCCATGTACCCCTACTTCAATCGCTTAACCGATTTGCTTAATTCAACATTGAGGGTTGCCCTAAATTAACCTAGTTAGGTGGCTTAAAAAGCTGAAGGAAAACCAACTCGATTGAGTCTCCCTTGGGAGGGGGATTTTCCTCTCTAAGTTAGGTTAAGGTGGCTAATTAGATTGCTAGCACCAACATGCACAAATCTAAGGATGCTAAGCACAAAACATGCACAACCCTTAGATTTCTAAGCACAAGCATGCACAATCAACATGAATAATACCTCAATCATTGAATTAAACAATGTCCAATGACAATCATTCAATCTAAACAAGTAATTACAAAATATTAGTTAGGGATCTACAACACCCAAGAGAAAAGAGTGAGTTTCTAGAGAGAGAGAGAGAGATTACAAATTTGAGCTCAAGATCTTCTTCTTCTTCTTCTTCTTCTTCTAGGCTTGAATCTTCCACCCAAGCCTCGAATGATGCTCCAAGATCACTCTAGCACTCTCTCTCTCTCTCTCTCTCTCACACACTAGAACTCCCCTTTGGTATTTAGGTTGAAACCCTAGAGAAAGAAAGTGTTTCTTCTCCAAAAACCCGCTCCCATTTCTCTCTCCCCACTGATGTCTTCATATTTGCCCGAAAGTGACCAATTCACGGACGCGTTGGCCAGTTCACGGCCGTGAACACCTAAACGCATTCGTGAAATCAGCGTCGTCCAAAACGCACCGCTTAACTGTCTTGGGTTCACGGTCAATGGCCACAGTTCACGGTCTTAGAGACCGTGAACTGCCTTGTCGTTAGTAACTTCAGGAACCTCACTGGACGTCTCGGTATTCACGGTTTGTGGTCGAAGTTCACGGTCTTAGGAGACCGTGAACTGCCTCGTCCGGCCGTGAATTGCGGCTGTTTCCTGGGACGCCTTCACTTCACTGTTACGAGGCAATTGTCACGGTCGACTTTTCTTCGGTTTTTGGGCTTTTTGACCTCCAAATATCCCAAAAATCGTCATCGACCCTTCCAAACGTGCTAGGACCTGAAATGTATCTAAACAAGTACAACCTAGCGTGAAATATGTCGCGGAACGATGAAATTCTAAGCTAAACGAATAAGAAATGAGGGGTAAAATGTGTACATTTGGGCCCGAATCACTAACATAAGCTCTCTGTAAGGTTTTACTTATTTTGTATAATAAGTGAATTTTGCCAATATTATACTTTATAAATACATATTAAAAAGAACAATGAGAGTATGTCAAATTAAGACAAATGATGATGAAATTATCACATTAAATTATGCATCAATAAAATGAAAGAATTAAACGACATAATAAAAAATAATAAAAGAAACAATAATTAATTTGTAAATCATAAGACTGCTATTTTGAAAATTAAATAAAATTTATTTGTAATACGATTATCACTAACTAGGGGATTAATATTACCTTTAGTAAAAAAATAATAATATATGTGTTTCATTACACATTTCAATGTACGACGAGTGTGATACCATATTGTAACTTTGATAGTGTAATTGTCTTGTCATCATTATTTATAATTCTATTTTTTCCTCTTCTCTCACTTCTAGTGAAAAGTCCAAACAATACAATGTTTTTTATCCATTCACTTATGGGAATAGTTTGTTTCATTCACTTATAGGATTGCAAAAAACTTCTCTTGAAACCAAATTAATTTATTTCTTTTTTTTTAAGTACAATATTGTTGAGGGATAAGATATAAACTTATAATACATATTTGTTTGGAATTTTTATTTAAATATCAACCAAAAATTCAAAAAATAGCGCCATTTTCCAAAATTTTCTATCAATACCACCCTTTCCCAAAGGACCGTAGGCCTTATGACGGTTTATACGAAAAACCATAGGGGTTGCTGCGGTTTTCATTTTTTAAAATAATCGCAGGCGGTAGCCGCTATTATCTGGCAGACCGCCGCACCCCGGCACCGCGGTTTGCATAATTTTTTTCTGATGAATGTCTTACCTAGGTGAAACTTCAAACGAACGTAACTTTGAGCTCGGATATCTGATTGTAGCGAATTTTTTTATTCCGCATAGTTGTTTGAGATCTTGCAAGCTCTAAACTATGTGGAATAAAAAAAGTTTTTGCTACAATCGGATAACCGAGCACAAAGTTACGTTCGTTTGAAGTTTCGGCCTGGGTAAGGCATTTAGGTGAGCGCAAACTATTAGGAAATATCAAATTCTGTTGGGCTTTTATACTTTTTTTTAGGTTCATTAGGTTTTTGGGGGGTTGATTTTTCGAGTTATCTTGCCATGGAAAAAAATATTCGAAGCAAACCTCGGAGGGTGCGGCGGTTTGCTCCGGATAGCTAAGGTGGCGCACGGTCAATCTGACTGTGGCAACCCAATGATGTTGTTGGCGGTAGAAACGAAAACTGCAGCAGCCCCTTGCGGTCCTTGTATAAACAACATAGGGGATGCGATTTTGGGAAAGGTGGTATAGATGAAAATTTTCGTGAATGAGTGGTATTTCTGGAATTTTTTTGGTAGTATTTCTAGAAAAATTCCAAATTTTTTTTTCCATAGTATTGCTACTGTATGAGCACATTTGAATTTCTTTTCTCTTTGATTCTTAGTAGAATAAAGTCGTTTGCGTACAATGAGTACAAGACAAACGCATTTTTCTTTACCGTTTGTAACATACATTTCTGGTATTCTTTTTACAATGTCAACTTCTTTTCTTGCCTTACTTTCTTCAATTTTCACTTTTAGGGAATATATGAGCTCTTGGAACTTGCATTTTTTACATATCAATGCATGATTGATAATAATTGGATAATGCATAGAATTGAGAAATTAAATTATCACTTATATTACTTTTCTAGTTATTGCTACTACATGAGTAGTTCTTACTTTCTGATAATGTCAAAACATATATTTAATTTAAGAAATCAATATATATTAAAAATTTACAAAATAATATTAATCAAATTACACACCAAAAATATTAATCCAAATAGATGTGTTTGCTAAAATATCAATGGATGATCTACTACGAGAAAAAAGTAGCATCCATTTTAATATATTGGGATGAGATAATCTCAACACCAATAAAACGATTGAGACATTAAATTTACTATAAAGATTAGCAAAATATTGACACTTATATAACTAAAAGAAACGTTAGATTGATAAAGTGTTAAGAAACCGATTGAGAATATAAACAAATACAAGAGAAGACTAGAGAGGAAATACACGAATAGAAGAGGAGAAGACTAGAGAGGAAATACTAGAATATGAGAAATGGGGAATAGTGCTTTCTTATTCATGTTCTCTTTTAAGACAATAATGTGCTTTATTTATAGGCACAATTTGGTAACTATTACATTCTAATATTAATACATATAAATGAGAGATAATGAGACATAAAAGACATTTCAAATGTGTAAAAAGGATTACATAATTTGTAATTCTCAAGTGATCATCTAATGTAATCATCTAATAAGGTCAATAATCATCCATAATCAGTATTTACATGATATGTCTTAAATATTTTGCGTTTGATTAGCTTTCAGAGTTCTTAGGTGTTCTTGCTATGTTTTAAAGTGTTTGACATAATACAGGGGAAGGTTTGATCGAAATTGTAAAAAAAAAAAATACACGCTACAATGTGTTAAGATGTACTATAAGTATAAAAAAAAAGGGCCGGGCTACCTTGTATCACTCCTACGCTATCTATGAAAAAAATGGGTCGGTCTAGTACTACAATTGAGCTTACAAAATCATACATCGCTAGAACTAACTTGTTCCCACAACAATAAACTTTTCTATCGTAAGAAGAGTTCAGGGTAAATCTTACTCTCTCGACCCGCACAAATATGAGATGGATATTCTGAAATAGATATGAGTTTAGCGAAACATGCTCCGTTACCATCATTTAAAAACTAGAAAGTCTAACATTTGCACATAGTATACTATGATGATAAAATAAAAAATAATAATAGTAACCGGCCATGATTTTGGTGACTATTTCCGAAGTCAATTCCACAAAATAAGAATAAAAGACTGCTTAACCAATAATTAATGAAATATATTCCAAAACACCACACTACTACCAAAGGATAAATATATAACGACATTCAACGAAGAGAAAAATATATGAAGACGAGAATGTCTAGTGAGTCTCCACACCTAACTCCCACTATTTCAAATAAATAATTATTAAAAGAAATTAATAAGAAAAAAGATGGGAAATGACAGGCAGTCGGCCGGGTCGGCCCGGGTCGGGCAGACTCGGGGCAAGCAGGCACAGAGAATAAAGCGAAATCTGGGTGGTTGGTCTTTCCACAAGAGTTTTTTTTTTTTTTTTTTTTTTTGTTGACAAGTTCAAAAGAGGTTTTGGGAGAGACCTCGAAACGAACTCTCGCTGACTCTCTATGCCGTGATTTTCTTCATAAAGTTCCCTCCATTGAAGGTACCGTTTCTTTCTCCTTCGAGCTTCGATCTGTCTAGGGTCTTGCCGCTCTATCTTTTCTCATAATTTCGCGGCTTCGTTTCATCTTTAACTGAATTTCCTTGTTAAAAAAAAAAAAACTGAATTTCCTTGTGCTTTTGTCATTTCTTGGCCGGCTGGAGAATCAGTCGTTCTGGGGGGGGAGCTGAAATCGAGAAAAATGAGACTTTTACTTCTTTCTGACTTCCATCTTCGAGGTTTTAACTTTGTTTAGTTTCGATTTCCCCTGTATTTCGATGACCGAGTAGAATCTTACCCATTTTCGGGCTGCCTTTCGTGAAGGTAGAGTTCAGCTAGTTGACTGTTTTTAGGATTTGGGTGTTCTTTAATTGGTTGTGCTGGTTCTGGGACTTGGTGATTGTTCTCGTGATTGGTTCATTAATGGGTCGATAGGTTGATGAAGCTTTCCTGTTTTTGTGTCTGAACAAGTTGGTTCTAGTTGGGTTTCTCTTCATCTGAATCTATCTCGTGTTTCTTTCTGAAGTATGCTTAACATGGCGATGCTACTTTAGGAAGGATTTGAATTTCGGGAGTTGGCATGTAGACATGAGATGCTAGGCTAGCATTTTACCATTAGTTGATCCTTGTTTGCTGACTGGTGAGGGCAATATTTCTGTGCATAAGCTACTCTGTAGAACGGTATGTGAAATCAATGCATCTTTTGTAAGATCAAATTCATTGATATTCGATGCTGAGTTCCAAAAATAGGAAAATGAATGAAAGAAGAAATGCATCCGATATATCATATTGTGCACCTCTCTATCAGAGTTGTGGATACGCTAGAATTATAGTTGTGGATTATTGTTGCACATTGTCCATGGTGAAGTTGGTGGAGAAAACAATTGAACAAGTGGAACATGTTTTCTGTTATGTCTAAAGTATGGATTTTGGAACAACCAATGTCTTCTTATATTACAAGTTATGTGTTTTATGACCCATTAAGACCCTGCGGTTATCTATCCTATGCACACTCAGCTAGCTTTACCATATGGCTAATTGATTCAAGGTTTCGTCTCTCATTAGTATCTAACATTAACCCGTTGGTTTTGTGCCTGTGTGCTGCAAACGTTTTTTTAGCTGCTAATTGATTTCAGTGTCATCAGTTTGACAAATTACCAACTAGAATCGTCCCTACCCCCTCTCCCAAACTCTTTCTCTGTGCGGGTCTTTTGTTTATTTGAGTTCTATATTGTCTCGATGTTTGAAGTTTGTGGGTTAGGGGATTTGTGAACATTGTTTCTCAGGTATTTGTTGGTTTGTCCTGCATTTACAGAAGACCCGTCTTCTCTGTCAGAACAAGGAGCGTTGATGGTAGCTCTTCTTGTGCACTAACTTACAAGCTTGTGGGGTTTGGTCAAGGAAGGTAAATCCATAATGTTATTATGATCTGACAATCACCTTCTGTGCGAACTATAGATGCTAATTATGGCATTCATGGGAAAAACTTTATCTATGCTTTCCCTATATTCTCCTTGTACGCGCTGATGCCTCATGAGGCGATTCTGCATTAGGATGTAAGAGTTCACCGTTGTACCATATTATCATACTCGTTTTCAGCATGTGGAATTATTTGTACCAAGTACGGCATGCTACCGTCGTCAACATTCAATTCCTCTTGAGGTTCACCCTATATTTATGCTAATTAATCTGTTTTGTTTCTTTGTTAGATACTCTGTGATTGTTCCAGTGACTTGTGGTTCTGATGGAGATATCTCTGTTAAAAGTGCTTCTCAATAATATCTCCTCCTTTTCTCATCTATCATCATTTGAGAATGTAATCTCTGGTCTGGTCCAGAAGTATTTTCAGAAGACAGAAGAGATACTGAAGCTTCTAAAGCCCATACTTGATTCTGTTGTTGATTGTGAAATAGCTTCCAATGAGATGCTTAATAAAGCCTTTGCAGAACTGAGTCAATCTATCGATGAACTCAGGGAGCTCTTCGTAAACTGGCAGCCATTGTCAAGCAAAGTCTTTCTGGTGAGTTCCAATGCCTTCTCTTCTGTATTGAATAAATGGAAAATGGTCTCTTGAAATCGTTAAGTGGAGTAACTAAGCTGGTGTTGTAAATGATAACATCCTCATGGTTACTGCTGATAGCATGCTCATGGATAGTGCATCTTCAACTGAGATGTTTGATGTTAGTTTGTCTGAGACTTTTTTTATCACTCTCTAATTGTGATATGTCCGAAGGGAAAATGTAGTCTTTTGTGCTCCTATGTCAAGGGGTGTGTATGTCGGCTTGGGTGGGGTAGTGTTCGTACCATCGCCATATTTTCTTGTTTCTTCCTTTTATTACATGTGCAATGGAGTTACTTACATGTGCTTGTGTGGGGGAGTATTCTTGTTTTGCAGTGATCTTCTCTATTTTCTTTTGCATCTCCTCATATCCTCTAATTATAATTTATTAAAATTAATGCGCCAACTGTTGTATTGTACCCTATCTTACTAATTACTTATACTCATCATACAGGGAAGAAAATCACTGACCATCTGCCTATTCATCTTTGTGCTTTGTTGTGTAGGTTCTTCAAACTGAACCATTGTTGTCAAAGATCCGAAGTTTGGGCCTGGAAATATTTCAGTTCTTGAAATCTGCCAATGAACATCTTCCTGAAGAATTGAGTTCATCGTCTCTTGAGGTACCTTTCTCTTGTAACCCTCATCCAATCTCTTATTTTTTAAAATACTAGTTAGATGATATGGTTCGTCAGGTTGCAGTATACATCATGGATTTTTTCTGCCATTGAGATGACAAGATTAAGTGCTTTGTTTCCTCATGATGTCCAATAACCTGGCACAACTCTCTGCAGTATTGCATACAAAAATTGAAGCAAATGGGAGTGGAAAATACGTCATCTACCGTTAAGGAGGGCTTAAAGGATCAAGAGGAAGGTGCTGGAACATCTGGCTCTGATATCTTAGTCAGAATTGCTGAGAGTCTCAGCTTAAGAACCAATCAGGAGATTCTTATCGAAGCAGTGGCACTTGAAAAATTGAAAGAGACTGCTGACCAGGCTGAAAAGAACGGGGAAGTTGAGTTTTTCGATCAACTCATTGCTCTTGTAACCAGGATGCACGATCGGCTTCTCCTCATCAAACAGTCCGAAACCAGCAGCCCAGTCCCTATACCACCTGATTTCTGCTGCCCTCTCTCACTTGAATTGATGACTGATCCAGTTATTGTGGCATCAGGGCAGACCTATGAACGGGCGTTTATCAAAAACTGGATTGAACTTGGACTCACTGTGTGCCCCAAGACACGGCATACTCTGGCTCACACTAATCTCATACCTAATTACACCGTGAAGGCCTTGATTGCAAATTGGTGTGAATTGAACAATGTTAAGCTGCCAGTTCATGTGAAGTCTGTGCATCCCTCATCAGCAGAACCACCTCGTTCTCTGAGCTCGCCTGGCCCAATTTTGGTGCCGTCTAGTGGATTTCATAGAGATGGAAGTTCTCTGTTACATCCACGTTCAACTTCCGAGAGTTCTTTATCAGGCATAGTCGCAAATGGCCAGGATATAGATATTGCTCGTATATCACTGACCGGTTCTGAAGAAAGGTTTGCTAACTCAGAGGAAAGGATCATAGATTCTATTGCATCACCATCTAGAATGGAGGAAGTTTCAGATTCTGTTGTTGCAGCTGACGACTCCCCCCTTTCGAGGAGGAGCCATGGTAGAAGTGCCTCTGCTGCAAATGCAACTTCTCCTAGAAGATCATCTGGAGATGATGCTAGTGAGTCTTTGGAGGTGCCCAATCATCTTATTGCTTCATACAATAGCGACACATCTGGGGAAGTAAAATCTGAAATGCCACGGGTGGTTTCTTCTGCTGCTGCATCAAACAGCTCTCTTCACAGGGAACCCGAATTCTCGCCTCGTTTTGTTGAGACTCGTTCTCGAAGTCAACCATTTTGGCGCCGCCCGTCTGATAGGCTTCTCCCGCGGATAGTTTCTTCTCCTACGACTGAAACAAGAGCTGATCTCTCTGGCCTCGAAACCCAAGTAAAAAAGTTGGTTGAAGATTTGAATAGTGATTCTATTGATACGCAGAGAGAAGCAACAGGTCAGCTCAGATTACTTGCGAAACACAATATGGATAACCGGATTGTGATCTCCAACTGTGGGGCCATTACCTTGTTGGTCAACTTGCTCCGGTCAACTGACTTGAAGATTCAGGAAAATGCTGTCACAGCGCTTTTAAACTTGTCGATCAACGATAACAATAAAACTGCGATTGCTAATGCTGAAGCCATTGAGCCTTTGATATATGTTCTTGAAACTGGAAGCCATGAAGCTAAAGAGAACTCAGCTGCTACACTCTTCAGCCTGTCAGTGATAGAGGAAAACAAGGTCAGGATTGGAAGGTCTGGAGCAATTGGACCACTGGTGGATTTGTTGGGGAATGGTACTCCGAGAGGGAAGAAGGACGCCGCAACAGCATTGTTTAATTTATCAATATTTCATGAGAACAAGGCTCGGATTGTTGCGGCTGGTGCCGTAAAGCATCTGGTGGAGTTGATGGACCCAGCAGCTGGAATGGTGGACAAAGCAGTCGCTGTTTTGGCGAACCTTGCAACGATCCCCGAGGGGAGAAATGCCATTGGTCAGCAAGGAGGGATCCCTGTTTTGGTGGAAGTTGTTGAGTTGGGTTCTGCCAGAGGGAAAGAGAACGCAGCTGCTGCTCTTTTGCAGCTTTGCACGAACAGTAACAGGTTCTGCAACAATGTGCTCCAAGAAGGTGCCGTGCCGCCATTAGTGGCGTTGTCACAGAATGGCACTCCCAGAGCTAAAGAGAAGGTAAACATTTTTTGGTGGGTGTGTTGGGCTTAAAAGCTAAAATAAGCAGACTGTTTTCATATAACTTCTGAAAGCAAATATTCACAACTAGCAATATACTGCTAAGTTATATTCATATTAGTCGTTTCTCAAAACTCACCCATTTTTATATTCCGAATGCTCAACTGTTTCTAAATGCAACCAAACACACTTGGTGTCTTATGTCGATTGCCTAGGGATGCTTTTTAACATGATTTAGGGTTTTGGGATGATGGTTTGCAGGCGCAGTCACTCCTTAGCCACTTCAGGAACCAACGGCATGGAAACCCGGGCAGGAACTGATATATTGAGTACAAAGAGACTAAAGGTGCCATTGGTCAATGATGAGGTTTTTATTCTGGAAAAAAACCATATACATAGTTGTGTGTACATTTGTTGTCATGAAGGTGCAAATAACGCATATTAAGATTGAGGATCATCTACGTGATTTTGATTAGTTGTTTGTAGAGAGTAAACAAAATGGATATTTGGCTGGTGCTGACTAACGAAAAAGCTAGCTTTTATCCTAGGATTAAAAACCCGAACCATGCCAGCGGTTCAACCGCTACAAACTGGTAATGATCAACAGAAGCACAAAAAAACCCAGGCCAGTCGCTTTCTAGCGGATGAACCGTTGTACTATGATATTTCGACTGGCATCCCGGAACCTAAAAAAAAATAAATAAAAAATCATTCTCCAAACGTCTCCAGCGCACCAGTGGGAAACGGCCCCCCAAAGGATTCTGATCATAGTCGTTCAGCGCGTCAAGTTGACACTATAGCTACAGGCAAGTGTTTAAGGTCGTGATTTCTCATTCAATGGCCTCACAATTTTCATTCCCATGTACAATATGACATCGGGGATTTCACCCGCAGGCTATACTGCAAGCAAGGAAGGCGACCTCAAAGACTGGCGGCTAATTCGGGTGACGAAAAGCTAGGTTTTATTCCATCTGCCTAATTCTGGAAGAGGGGGTGAGTTGATATTAAGGTGTCAAGGCGGTCGAAGAAGGCCACAAGTGGAAGCAACCGATGCTTTGGTCATTCAGTTGACTCCTTGCTCTCAATCTGGATCTTTAGCAGGGGTTTCGGCCGGTTTTACCTACTATTGGATTTGAACCAATGACTCTCGCCGCATGTAACGGATCATCTAATTCTGCCATCATGTCGAAGATCTTTCTTTTTAATTTCGCGGTTTTTTTCGCTTGTTCGAACAGTGATTCGAATTCGGAGGATATTTTCCCTTTAATCTCTGGTAAATATGATTTTCCATCAGGCCTTGTAACTGGTAAGACAACTCGCTTCATCCGTATCAAACTCTACACCGGCAGCATGACATCTGTTGTAGATCCTTATCTTGTCAAGAGGACTGGCGGACGATGGAGCACAAACCATGTCGGTGCAGGCCTTGCCTATGAAATCGTCTATATTTATTTTGACGAACAGGATGTGACATCGGAGCCAGACCTTGTCTTTGAGTGCCGGGCCTTAGACTCCGCCGTTTTGATTTAGTCTACATCTACACAATATATAATAGTAATAGTAGGAAGAGGAAAACTGTAGCTCCATTTCAAATTGGTCTTCACAATTATTTTCTTTTATTCATTAAGAAAATACGTACTAGGATTCGAACCATGACCACTTTAAAGAAAGCAAAGATCATAACAAATCACACTAAGTACATTTGTTGTATCTTTTTAAATTAAAAACATATAATAGCAGAGAGGAAAAAATATTTTCCCCATTTCAAATTCCCTGCTCCATGAACGTTGTAGGAAAGGTAGAATTAAGACTAGGGAGTGACAATTTTTTTTCTTTTTCATTTGTGGAACGGGCCAACTTACCGTACACATGCGGATTTAAACGGGTCCAGGAGTGTCAATTTTTTCTTTAAGACCTTTTATTTCTCCGTGGTGGTAAAATACATATGAAAAGAAAAAAACAATACTCATTTTTATTGCTAAAAAGAAAAAAAATTTAACAATAAACTAATGCATGGATTCTAATGGGCTAACCGCTAACCATAAAATAAAAGAGTTGAATGGGCCTGACCTACATGGGATTTGGCCATCAAGTAAAACACATGAACATCATGGGTTTCTCATTCTAAAACAAGCTATTTTTTCTAGCATAATATATATTATGCTATTATTTTATATCTTAGTGGCTAAAATATTATGTATTTAAAAGTTATTCAATGGTCCAACCTCGACCAACCCAATTAGTCCAATTTTTATCATTTCAAATATATATTAAGTAATTATTTGATATCATAATGATTAAATTATAGTGTATTTATAGGGAATCGTTTGGTATTTGTTAGTAAAAAACTAAACAAAAAGATCTATTTGATTATTTTTAACATTAAAACGATCCTAAACTTTTCAGTTTCCTTTCGAATTTCTATGGTTTTATTCTCGAATCAGTGATGTGCAAATGGCGAATTGCAGTCATCTCTTTTCTTTCACTATTTTTTATTTTCAAATCAAAAGTTTAAAAGTAAAGAATAATTAGAGTTTGGCATGGGTCGGTCAAACAAGCTGAATTCCAAGTTTTTGCCCGTTTTGATCAAGTCTAATTTATAATCACATGGTTCCCTGATACCTGATAAAAATCTCAATCCAAACCAGTTTGGCAGGTGAGTCCGTGTTTACCACCATTTTCTAGGGATACAGGAACGACGGTTCCTATCCCAAATCGTGTTGTTCATTCTTGATTTCTTTAGATTTTACCATGACCTAGCAAAAACCAGAAAACACAATGACGACAAGATGAAAGTTTTATAAAGAAAATTAATCGGTCAACGGGCCGAGTAAAAGCTAGCAATGATTGTGAGATGCTCATTTCCCAATTGCCGGCGAGATAGGTGATATTTATTCGATTTTATGAAATTCGGTTTTTATAAAGCTTACTCCACCTCATCTTATTACCAGAAACAATATTGTTTCACAAGGTAACAAGTATTTTATTTTGGTTCATGAGACTGAATTTTGTTTCGTTGCATCATTCATGTCTCTTTCCTACTAAAATTCACTATTTTTATCACGTGCTTCCAAAAAAAAAAACTATACAACAATAAACTATACACGTCATTACATTATCAAATTTAATACCTCACCTTCATCCGGCCCACTGACGGGATCCCACGCTAGTTAGAGATAATAGGCGAACAATAATCGTCTACAGCTGCTCTGTCAGCCCACCAACCTATATGTTGTATGTAGTATGTAGTTAGGTACAACAATGTTGATTTGGGTGGGATGAGAGAGAATGGTTGGTGTAAATGAAACTACAACTTTTACTGGAGTCTAATACTTTGAATGTTGTAAGTACTTTGTTGATTGGTTTGTTATTCTAATCTTTGTTATTTCTCTATTTATTGTTAGGTATAATTACATTATAATTTCAGTATTAATCGGTAGTATTTGGGTAATTTGATTTGATTTAGTTGGTTTGGTTTGATTTCAGATACTTCTAATCAATCTAACCAAATTAACCAGTTAAGTAATTATCCATATATATAATATATGTGATAAACACATACTTACTACTTGACATAACCACTCAAAACCTAAAAATTCCTTTTTTAGGCTCATCAACAATAAAACTCAATATTGTTCCTATACTGTATATTTGTATTTGTAGAGTGTAGACCATGATATATGAACGCCCAATTTAAATAAAAATCATACAGTATATTAGATGAAAATTTGAAAGGAAAGTCTTTTTGAACTTATGATAATTGCTAATATACTAATTCAATTCACACAATCACAACAATTACTTAACTCCATACTATTGACATATATTTTTGTTAGGTGAATACTTCTATTGAATGTAAGATAATTGTATTAGTTAACTATAACTATGTGTTCATTGTAATGTTTTATTCGTCATTTAAATTGTGAATTGATGCATTAACCGAAAATTTCCTCACTGAATTATAATGTGATGTTATATTGGTTAATCTGGTTAACCAATTAACCAAACTGATTAAACTTTAGTTTGGTTAATTTGGTTGTTGTATTAGTTTTGACATTTTGGTTATGATATCGTATTCCACGATTAACATAATTTTGACTTATTTGGTTTGGTAATTAACATGGTAACCATTTGAACACCCTTAAGGTACCAAATGAATCGAGAATTGATTTCATTGTAAAATAAATTACCGTATAGAATTCATTATCAAATGAAATTTTGTGTTTGATATGTCATACTCAAATCTTTAAAAATAAAATGAATTGCCGTGTAGAATTCATTCTCAAAGGAATTACTTTGTTTTATATGTCATATATATAAGTAATTTAGTTAATAAAAGAGGATACTTATATCATATTATTATAATTAGTAAATACTTGCGGAATTCATTTGGAAATTCTATCTCAATTCCTCGGAATTGCTATAACTAGTTCCAATTTCATAAAATTCAAAATTTAGAATTGAAAATGAATTATTTTAAATATCAAATATAAAAATATTTCATTTCAAAATGAATTTATCAAAACTTATAGAATTAATTTAATAACAAGTATTTATGATCAGTAGATTTCGTGAGGAAAAAATCCCAACAGAAAAGCGTGAACCCAATTGTTTAGAAGGTTCGAAAAATGGGGAAAGGCGAAATGAAATAAGGAAAACAAAAACAATTATCAAAATAAAGGGAAAGAAGTACAAGAAAAAAGAAAAGTTCCACAGAAAAAAAAAAAGAAAAAAATAATAAGGAAAGTTCCAACCGCGGAACCGACCAAAATAAATTGCTCTCTCTGGCCTAGCACGGCTTTTCTGGTCTCGCTCCTCGGCTCCTGATATCACGTTTCGTACTCCACAAGTCTCTCTCTCTCCGACGCTCGACCACCGTGCTGGCTGAAGTGCAGCAATCGGACTCCGGCAGTTCAGCAGCCCCGCCGTCGATGAAGTTCTCCGTCGAATTCCGCCAGCTAAATGACCGCTGCAAGCCCTAGACTCTGCTAGGTATTCAAAATTGGTTCTCGTTTTCTGGTTTCTCTTGCATTACGGCTCGTGATAGTTTGAAAAGGGAGTACCTTTTCCCTTCGAGTATCGCCGAATCTAACTTCGAGAGTCGTCAAGTTTTAACTTCTCTGCTCGCGTTTCTGTCGAGAGTCCCTTCGATTTGAGAACTGTTCTAGAGGTTTTTTGTTTCTCTAAATCTTACTGTTGCTTCGATAAAGGTTTGGGGCTCCTGCTTCTTTTCATCGTCGAAAGAATCGAAGTTGAATGAGAAATTCTTTTCCATCAATCTTTCTTCCCACTAATAAGAAATTAACTTTTCTTGTTCCTTCTTGTACAACTTAGAATGCGCAACATGTTAGCTGTTTGGTAATTGGATTCTTCCGCTGCAATATCGTCCCTTCTCAATTGAGTTAGTATAGAAGTTGTTTCCTTTGTTTGGTGGGTGTGTAATTTCCTGATTGTTCTGATACTGCTGATTTGCTAGACAGTGAGTGGATCCTGTGGGCATGGACCCAGATTTGGAGATGAAAGATCAAATGAAGGTGGGAATGGAAGGCTTGCCTCGGAAAGAGTCTGGAAGTCTTCCGCAGCATGACAATGAAAATTCTGTGCCTTGCTCAGATAAACTTGATGATGGATGCTTTCCCAAAGAAGATTTGTCCAAACATAAAGCCGAGGTGCAGCAGACAACTGAGGATTTGGAAGTTAATATAGTTGATTGTTTGAATTCTCATGATCTTGGAGATGTGGAAACTGAAAACGATGACACCAGCGAGAGCATGAGTTCATTCAGCAGCACGTCTGATACAGAAAATGGCTTGAGGTTGACTGATACTGAGGTTGAATCGTATATGTGCAGTGGTCGTCACTCAACTTCATTATTTGATAGCTATGGTGCAGAATCTCAATCTAGGTACTTACTATTAGAAAATCTTCAGTTCTCTGCTGATTTAGTTTTCAACAGTTGTCAGAAAGGAAAGTATTTGACATGAGTCACTGTTTTTAGATTTTATAGCTTCCTCAGTTCGTATTATTATGAGATTTATTGATTAGGATATAGCTGGGGAAAGATACTAGCATTGTTTCATCATTTTCTGACTACTTTTAAGAAGTTTAATTTCAATGGTGTATATGTTGACGAAATACATTATACAGGGATGCTTCATGCATCATGTTGCTATGTTGAAGTTTCGAGGTGGGACTTTTCAGTTGCTCAGTTAGCTTGATGCATAGTCTTGGTTACTTCGCTTCAAAACTTGATAATGCCACTCGAATTTATGTTTTCCTTTCGAATTTTCCAGGAGGAAACGGTTAACCGAACATTGGAGGAGATTCATTCGTCCTCTTATGTGGCGATGTAAGTGGTTAGAATTGCAACTTAAGGAATATCAATCACAGGCACTGAAGTATGATAGAGAACTTGGAGAAATCGAACAAAGGAAGGCATATGATCATGAGACATTAGTAGCAGAAGGTCATGAAGCAAAGTCAAAACCTTTTTCTTCTTCGAACCCAAGGATGAAAGTTTTGAAGAGAAAGAAAAGAAAGAGATATGAAGAGATGAATGATATGACATCGTTTATGTTGCAGAATAACATGCTCTCCTATTATGGTGCGAACTAATTTCCTGTTCGTGATTTTGTAGTCTCTTGATCGTTTTTGTTGTTTTGGAAAGTAATATTCTACTGCATTTAATTTTGCTTTATCCAGAACATAAGAAGGCAGCCAATGATGGTGCTTCTATGAACAGTGATCCCACTCTTCGAGGTGAGAAGTCAAATCATTGGTTCAACTTACTGCTGGTTATTCTCTCAGAGATAGTGTACCAAGGGCATGTTGTGGATTGTCTAGTGAATTGAGGATGTAAAAAGTGAGAAGAATTATTGTTTCAACAATCTTAACTGTGAAAGAGGCTTGCAGGACCTTGTTGTTCTTAAATAAGTTCTTCCCCTTTTTGCAGAGAGGGCAAGCAAAGGGAATCCAAAGTCTGCATTTCATCAGGATGGATGGGCACCTCTACACTCTAAAGATGGGATTAGCAGGGATGAAGACATCCTTATGAAAATTGGAACCCTACAGTCCCAAGTCCATAAGTTGAGGTCCCGAATCGATGTGGTGATGAGGGACAATCCAGGAAAGTTCTCTTATGTAACTAGGTTGAGCTCGCCCGAGCCAGATAAAATGTTGGCCCGTTCTGAAAACCCGGGTTCCTTGATTGAAAATGGAGATAGAGAGCTTAATTCTCTATACCCTATGGACGATCTTATACCTGGAATTCCAGTTTCAAGGCTGGGTGAGGCAGCCCCTTGTCCTGATATGCCAGAAACCCTAGTTCAGCCTTCTGTTGGAGTTCCTTGTGAAATTGTAAGTTCTTCTGTTACAAAATGATTTCCTTGTCTTATCTGTCACAAATAAATGTTTGTTTAGGCTAAAACAAATTGGGTAAAAATAAGCTAAAAGATGTACACAGACATTACTTAAATTTAAATATACACACAGACATTACTTAAATCTGAATATCAACTCACTAATAAATTCATTTCCAGCTTTGTCCCTTCGAAATACAAATATATTCCTTTTTTTAAGTAACTTCTTTTAAACAATCATTTCCTTTTAGACAAGCTATACCATCAGTAACTTCTTTTACTAATAAAACATATTTCATACCCTATCAACTCACCAACTTTTCCCCAGACCTAACCGCAACATAACTTGTAAAGTCTTGTAAAACAAAGTTAATTGTTATTGCATCCTTAGAAAGGGTGCTTTTGTGAATCCATATTTCTTATTTGTCACTCTCAATTTGCATGGGGGCTACCACAAGAAACGGACTCTATGATTTGCTACTGATTCGCTCTTCCCTATTTGCAGATGAACGACGCTTTTGTGACTGGTAATCAGCCAGCAAAGAAAGAAATTGCAGAAGTTGTAGCAGATTTTGGGAGTCAGGCCAAGCAGAAGCCTGATTTACCAACCGATGTGCAGTCAGCAAGCAACCCGAGTCAAGCAAGGGCTCCATTACTTCAGATGCACTACCCTGGGAAATCACTTCCAAAATCTAGGTCCAGGGTGATTACCAGTAACAAGCGAAAACGTGGTAAGAGGAGGTCTGGACGAGGTGGATGGAACCGGAAACCATCAATTGAAAGGTGAAGAAGAAATCTGTTTTTTACTCGGTGCATATTCTAATTGGTATATATGTTGAAAATGAGGCTTTTTACCAAGAGGAGAACTGCTCAAAAACCGCACTCTTCCCATCTGTTGATTTTGTATATGCTAGCAGCTGCATATTCTTTCTCTCATGTCTCTCGTCCCTTGCTTGGTTCTCTGTGTACTGCAACAAAGCAGCAACGTATATATAGTATAGCTTACATTTCTGTTCTGTGGATCTGTTTATTCTTTCTTAGATATTTCTAACGTAGTGCTGAAAGCCGTGATGTAAACCGAATGGTGTATCATTCTGAGACGTTAATTCTTTAGCTTCTCATTTTGTCTGATGGTTATCGATTCCTTACTCATTTTGGAACATGATGAAACACACAAGTATATGGATATATGAATTTAGAGTCTTTTATTTAGGGTTAAAGACACATTTGGTCACTGAGATTATAAAATCGGGACATATTTAGTCACTAGAAAAAGTTAATATCAAATTTGGTCACTACAATTACTAAAACTGGACACATTTAGTCACTCGCCGTTAGTCTCCGTCCAACTCCGTTAATGAAGTCCGTTAAGTGCTGATGTGGCAAACATAATTGTCTAATCAGCCGGATATAACACAACAAAAATAAAACCCGACCCGCCACGTCATTATAACTCGCCACATCATTAAAACCAACCCAACCCAGCCCAACCCATGACCCAACCTCACCCAACCCTTCTTCCTCCTACCTCTGCACCTCCCACCTCCTTCTTTCCCCAAAACCACCGCCGCCGCCGCTCTCCTCCTTCCTCCCACCTCCTCCCGCAAACCTGTTCGACCTAACCACTGAAACTATCCCCGCCCACTGAAACGTCCAGCAGATCAATTCCCCCCTCGAAAAATGCCAGCTGACAAGACAATGGAAGCGGTGAAAGGCCTCGACGTCCCGCGGTACATGGATCGGTGGTACGAGATCGCCTGCTTCCCGTCCCGATTCCAACCCAGAGACGGCGAGAACACCCGAGCGACCTACACACTGAAGGAAGACGGCGTCACCGTCGGCGTGCTGAACGAGACGTGGAGCGGCGGGAAACGGAGCTACATCGAAGAGACGGCGTACAAGGCCGATCCCAACAGCGACGAGGCGAAGCTGAAGGTGAAGTTCTGGGTCCCGTCGTCGCTGCTCTGTTCTCGTCATCGGCGATTCTCCGCTTCGCCGCCGGCCATGGCGATGACAATTCCTCCTTAATTGCAGACGACGTCGTTTCAATAATCAATTTTGTCGTCTCCGTTGCCCTCCTCGCCGTCGCCTTGAGAGGTTTCACTGGGGTAGGAGTTGAATCAGGAATCACATTAGAAAAACCCCTTTTGGAAGAAGAAGGGGATTCGTTAGATAGCGCTTTTGCTTCAGCCTCCATAATCTCCAAGGCGTTCTAGTTTTGGATGAACCCACTTTTGGGGAAAGGCTACAAAACCCCATTGAAGCTCGAAGACGTCCCCAGCCTCGCCCCACACGACAGAGCCGCCACCATCTCCAATCTCTGGGACGCCTCCTGGCCGACGGAGAAGAAATGCCAGAACCCAGTTCGCACCACCATCCTCCGCATGTTCTGGAAGGATATCGCCTTCACGGCGTTTCAATGGTTAGGTCGAACAGGTTTGCGGGAGGAGGTGGGAGGAAGGAGGAGAGCGGCGGCGGCGGCGGTTTTGGGGAAAGAAGGAGGTGGGAGGTGCCGAGGTAGGAGGAAGAAGGGTTGGGTGGGGTTGGGTCATGGGTTGGGTTGGGTTGGTTTTAATGATGTGGCGGGTTATAATGACGTGACGGGTCGGATTTTATTTTTGTTGGGTTATATCCGGCTGATTAGGCAATTCTGTTTACCACATCAGCACTTAACGGACTTCATTAACGGAGTTGGACGGAGACTAACGGCGAGTGACTAAATGTGTCCAGTTTTAGTAATTGTAGTGACCAAATTTGATATTAACTTTTTCTAATGACTAAATATGTCCCGATTTTGTAATCTCAGTGACCAAATGTGTCTTTAACTCCTTTTATTTATATATAGAACTCTCCATATACATATAGTTTTTATCTTCAGTGTGGGTGAGTGGGTTTAAGCCTTTAAGGGCACTTCTGCCTGCCCTTATTGTCCTTCATGTCCCTGTAACAAGGGCACTCTGACCTATTCCCGTAGGTCCCTGAAGGCACACAGTGACATTTCCCGCAGCAGATATTGCAGTACTTCAAACACCTCTTCTTCACCCCTGCCTTGGCGCATCTTCCCTCGCACTTGGAATCGCATGTTCCTGCCGTAAAAATACCCACAAAATCCACTGAAATAACCCAGAAAATCTAACGAACTCAATTCCATACATTTGATTAGCACTTACCGGGTGGAGAGGCAGGGGGCGAATCAGGGGAAAAGGCACCGTCAATATCGAGGGCAAGTGAGAGCTGAAGGAAAGAGGAGGCCGCCATAACCATGGAAATTATGAGCAGCAGAGTAATTGGTAGGAGGAGTTTCATTCTGCTTGCATTTTAATTTACTGGGTATTTTCTGAAACGAACGAAGGGATCGAGTTGCTGGGAAGACGGAGGCTACAACAAACGGGCCAAGCTTTGAAGGAGAAAGTATACTACAAATAATTTGTAGTTGCGCTTCTAGAGATGGCACTTGGTCGAATTAAGGAGTCTGGGTCTCCTTGGGGAAACCAGATGAGAGAAGTTTGGCGGTAACTCCCTTCTAGCAGGAAGTGTACACACGCAGCCGTTCCTTGTTCATGCCATCACGAAGCTGCAGCTAGCCAGTATTGTTGGCCCCATAGAGCAGTGTTGGGCTTAAAGCTCATAGGGAGACGACCAGGCAGGGCCCGAAGAAGGGACCGAGTCATAACGAGAAGCCCAAAAGAGTGGACATGGGGAAAGGAGAATGGCAGGCGGACACCCTATGACGGGACAGGGAGTAGGCCGCCCGACACAAAGTATAGTTGGTGTCAGGAAGAGAAGATCCTCCTAGGATACTTACCTCGAATACTGCAGGACTAAGCATTAAATGCCCGCCGCGGGCGGTCTAGATAAAACAAGGCGCATCTAGGTCGCCTGACATGGCATTTAATGCCTCATACTCAAGCTAGCCGACTATAAATACATTGGTATATGCATTAATAGTAACTCAACTACTCTCTCTCTCTCTGTAAACATAAACAAAAACACTTATTCTATCTCTAACTTTAGCATCGGAGGGTGTCCAAGGTAACCGCCCACGGACCCTTGTTTTGCAGGAGTTTGGAGTACACCCACCATCTGGAATAGACGCCTTGTTCGTTCTTCACAAACAGTCTGGAACATTCCAGGCTCAAACAAGTATGTTTATGTCCTGTTGTTGTTTGTCGCTTTTGATCCCCTGAATGTACCGAGGAGGTTAACGGTTTACTTGCAATGAGCAAAACTCAACGGTACAGTTAGTGGTGAATGAATCCAATATCGGTTGACAGCTTCTGTTGCCCATAGGATCTATGACGACTTCTGTTTGATGGCTATTATCGTTTTCATTTCTTGGAAAAAATCCAAAACTACCAGTGTTTTAAAACAAAATTACAAAAATACCACCAATTCTTAAGAATTTCCAAAAATACCACCCTTCCCCATAAACCGCACCTCGAAGGCGCGGTTCTCAGTCAAACCGCGCAGGCAAGGGGCGGTTTGACCCTTAGTAGCTGTCAAAACGCGCCTCCACGTGGCGGCCAATGCAACCGCGCGATGGGCAGGCGATCTGACGGCCTAATCGCTTGCCAGCGCAGCGATCCGCGTCACTCACGAAAATCGTTGCCCTGAAGCGCGGTTTGCGCATTGGGAAACGTAAACCGCGTGCTGGAGGCGCGGTTTTGCGTGGGATAAAAAGACCAAACCGCCCGTCTATCACGCGATTTAGTCCCTATAAAAACCCACCACTTCCTCCCATTTTCTGCACACCAAACCCCATCCTCCTCTCTCTCTCTCTCTCTCTCTCTCTCTCTCTAAGTTCCTCACTCTACCCATCCCCCTCCCCACCCAAAAACTTTGGAAGTAGTTGTTTTGTTGGTCGCGGCTAAGTCTGATCTGCCTTCAAAAAACTTTTTCTTTGGTTTTCACTAAAAAACCTTCGAATCTCTGCGCGTATTCTGAAAAAATGGTTGATTTTATCCAAGAAGAGGGTATTTACTATGATGATTATCAAGCGGTACGTACTCCTTTTACCCAATTTTTGTTGTTGTTATAATGGTTTATTTAATTTATATACTAATTGATTTATGTTGTTGTTTATGCTATCGTAGGTTGGGCCGGATGTTGATATATACAATCAACGATATTATGTTGATCAAGGACCGATTGATCTGACTATTTTATACGATCAAGACAATCATCATTCAAGAGACGTTTGGAACGACCACAAGGTACATATTATTTATCATCACTTATAATTTTTATTTGGTTAACGTAATTTGTTTGTTTGTACAACAAATTACTTAATTGTTAATCATATTGATTATTTTTAATAATTTAAATCAATACAATACAACACCTATTTAGACTCTTTATAAAGAAATGCATGTCGATCATCATGATCCTCCCATGACCTGGGAAAATCGGGTTCTAAGCGATCCTCGGATCCCCTCTTTTTCTGTCAAAAAGATTGTGTTTCTAAGGAGATGTATACCTCTCCTAAGAGTCTTACGAGTGTAACCATTCCACTGCAACCCAAGCGTGAACATTTGGAATGCCATCTGCAATAAAACTGTAATTAAGTTACTAACATAAAAATTAAGAAGGACAATGAAAAGTAATACAAAACAAACTTACGAATTAACGTTAATCGCAAAAACTAAATAATTTAAAGGTGCACAAATGAAATTTGAAGAAGGAGGATTGGAGTGAAGATTTTTAGTTTTCTGGACTAGCCTTTTATAGGCGAATTTTACATTACAAACCGCAGGGGGGAGCGGTTTTAGTTTGGCATGCAGACCCCAACCCTGCAACCTCCTGCATGTCGACATGTCGGATGTCGGGTGACCAGGCACAAACCGCTGGTGGGGACAGCGGTTTATGTGTCGACATGGTAAACCGCTTCTCTGTGGAGCTTTTTACCATGTCGACATATAATCGCTCCCTGAGGAAGCGTTTTTTCGTAGGGCAGCCATAAAACCCACTCTTTCGAAGAGCGGTTTTACCTGAAAAGGCAGACTGCATGTTGACCAGGCGGTTCTAAGGTAAACTGCGGCCTGGTTGTGCGGTTTCTATTTAACCGCCCCTTAGTGGAGCGGTTTTTAATAAACGGTGGTATTTTTGGAAATTCTTGGGAATGGATGGTATTTTTGTAATTTTTTTTAAAACTGTGGTAGTTTTGGATTTTTTTCTCATTTCTTGTTATGCTTCAAATCAAACATAGTGCAGCACGTGAATCGGTTCTCAATCGATTTTCGAAGAACATGAGATCTAAAACATTCAGGAACACACAAAATCGAGCACACAAATTAAAATATGATGATAAAATTTACAAAATTATTCATAATTTTTTTTGCCACGATTAGGGTTGTGATTCGGTTTCCCGGTTAACGGGTTAACTGGTAACCGTACCGATAACCACAATTACCGGTTAAACCGTTAACCGGGTGGTAACGGTTGTCGGAATGGGAATTTGGGACGGCGGTATACCGACACCCCGAAGCTAGCTAATCGACGGAAATCCGGTTTTCCGATACCGGAATTTCAGGATGCAGTGCGACAATAGTATTCTCTCATTTACAAACTTGCAATTGGTTCTCTATTAGGAAAATGAATTAGTTATTACAGATTAATAATTCCCCTCCCCTCTCTCGCAGTCTTGCTCTCTGCCTGCCTAACCCAGCCGCCAACTCTCACGATCACGAATCCCGCCGCCGAATTGGAACCCCAATCGAGACACCGGCGCACTCAGATGGACGAACCGCAACATAGCAACCCACTCCAGCACCGCAACCTCTCTGTCGAACCCGCGCCGAGTCCTCTCCGTCGACCCTAGTGCTCGACCGCATCGCCGACACCGGTGCGGCATCCCCGTCAGTTTCCGTTGACGGTGCACTCTCCGTCAGTTTCAGGTTTGTTGTCATGTTCCCTCGTTGCAGCAGCTATTGTTGTTTGTTGGTTTTTTACTTTGTTTGTTTAATTTAATTACACTGCCGGTGCGTGCAGCTTCCCCCGCCGCAGAAGCTATTTTCATGTTTTGAATGGAACAACTTAACCTGGACCTGGACGTGTTGTTGTGAAGAAGAAGACAATGTTTTTCATCATCTGGTGACTTCCATAGTTCCATTAATCCATTTACCATTGGATATTAAGTTAATAATCGGGTCCCCACTCAATTCCCCACCATTTGTCATTATTACCATTCACCTGTCCGGCTGTCCCCAGTGCCCAGGCTATTCACATTTGGTAATCGGGATACCGAAATAAAACCGCCACCGAAAGGATTCGATAATCGGTATACCGACACCAATACAGTATCGAAAAACGGTGGGGCTGCTCAGCTATCCGGTGTACCGGAAACCGGTTTAACCGTTTACCGACCATTTACCACCCCTAGCCACGATCAAACACCTAACAGAAGCATCTATAAATCGTGATAAACATTTATGACATTAGATCGTCAATGGCAATGCATCATAGTATAACATTATAGATAGTGATTGCAATTTGAATCCGTCCCTTGGGTATTACCCGACTTGACTCTTGATGGGGCGGGTATTATCCGATCCGCAGTAGAATGGAGCGGGGCATAGTATCTACTTCTGATCCGTCCGGCCCGGTCTAGACTCATTTTCTTCAACTAGTTATAGTCGATATTTCAACTTGTAAGACTCAATTATCCATTGTATTATCAACCCTTCCCGCCCCGACCCGTAGTAGTGTGTGGCGGCGCATGGGAATTAAGGTGCTCGCCCGCCCCATTGCCATCCCTAATTATTGAGAGATCCATCATAGGTAAGAAAATGGTTGGAAAAGCTCTATTAAATCTTTATTTCAATTGGATAAGAGATGAGTGATGTTACTATCTTTATTTCTAATTTGCCTTGTAGAGTTTGTTCTCCCTGTCCTTCATTGAGACCATCCAGATCAACGAAATACCATTTCTATTTCATATGTGGTCCCTACCGCCACATCAACAACTTTTCTCATTTCACTTTATATCAATTCCATTTCCTCCACATCAATGACATACACTTTCTATTTCATATAGTGGGTCCAATTGATTATTTTAATACAATTCTATATTTTATCTAAAAAATAAAAATAAAGAGATGAGGCAAAATCGTGAAAAGGGGCCCACATCTACCCCACTTGTTATTCCATTGAGACTTCCATTAAGTGGAAGCTGTCACTTTATGGGATAACCTCTCCAACCATGAAATGGTTTATTAAAAAAAACTATGAAATGATAAATGGAAGTGTCATGTCATCAATGGAATGGCTGCAAAACATCTTATGCAGCTGCTCTGACAAAGCAGATGGCACACACTTTGGACCATTGACCGACACTTAATTTGCTAACTACTGTAGAGTTAGGACCCTAACTCATCCCACCATTCACATCTCACTGGACCCTTATATCAAACAACCGTTATTTATAAAATAATAATAAATAATAATAATAATAATTTAGGGACCTCCTACAATAATTTGGGTATAATTTCAAGTTAGATAACTTGCATAGATCTAAACCGTTAAAATCGATCACTTATTTTAAATCATTGATTAAAAATATAAAAAATAGAAAAATAAGTAAAAAAAACATTGGCAACAAGGGTTGTCGGTCACCCTTGTGAGTTACCTGTATTGTTTTTTTCTTTCCTTTTTCACATTTATTTGTTTTTCCTTATTTTAATTCTTACTAAACTAGAAGCGTTACGTAAAACTTCCGTAATAACTAACCATTTTACGTAACGTGAGATTAATACTAATTACGTAAAGAGACCTTCCATTACGCAAATGTTACAGAATGATAGTTATTTCTTACATAACAGTGAAATCGGAAGCGTTACGTAAACCTTCTGTAATGACTTAGCTTTTTACGTAACACGCATTAATACTCATTACGTAAAGAGACCTTCCATTAGGTAAGGCTTCCGTAATGACAATTTACAACTGTTACGTAAAATACACATTCATTACGTAAAAGTTACGAAACGATAGGTATTTCTTACGTAACAATTAAATCGGAAGCGTTACGTAAGACTTCCGTAATGACTTAGCACTTTACGTAACGCGAGGTTAATACTCATTACGTAAAGGTTATGGAACGACAGTTATTTCTTACGTAACTGTTAAATAAGTAGTGTTACGTAAGACTTTCGTAATGGCTTAGCATTTTACGTAACGCGAGGTTAATACTCATTACGTAAAGCCACATTCTATTACGTAAGGCTTCCGTAATGATCTTTTACAAATATTACGTAAGATAACCATATGTTACCTAACCATTACATAATGACTATTGTATTTTACGTAATGCGACCTGTGAAACCTGATATAGCAAGTACCTTACTTCAAGTTCTCATAGGAAATTCCTAATAATTTATTGAAAGGGCATATTATGTATGTAACCTTATAAAAACAGAAATCGGTGAGCATAAGAAAAGAAATATGTATACATAAATAGGCGTCCAAATTACAATGGTACAAAGGAATCGTGACCACAAAGAAAAGAAATAATAAAGCTACGTAAATACAACCAGTTTACCATACCCGACTCAAAATCAAAAAGCTCTGCCTGTCTCTCAAAAGAAATGGTGGGGGGAGATTGAAATATGCCAACAGAGTGAAAAAAATGTCCGGAACGAATTTTGACTTTGAGACGGGGTGGGTAAACCAAATCCTCCGTGAAAAGAGGATTAGATTAGAGTTGACCACAGATTAAAAAACAAATTGAATGAAATATTTTGAACCAAAACAAACTCGATCGGCTCCGCTCTAAAATGCAACAGCCATAGCAACCAGTGCGGCCATTCCACCGGCGACCATCATCTTCTGCACACTCCTCATGCTCTCTGCTCCACTCTGCAACACAAGCATAAACCCCCCCATTTTTATATTAAATATTAATTACTGAGTCATAATTCAAGATCTCCATGAATGAATCTACAAAGCAGCAGTGTTCATAATTAATCATCGGATTCAAGGCGCGTGGATCACAACCGCCAGCGATCTCGCGTTTCCCCGTCCGGGAGCGAGGGTAAATTAACAGAGTCAACACTCCCCCACACAACAAAAAACGGAGAGATTCTTGCCTAATCCCTAATCCTCACTACTAGATCTGATCTCAGATTCGCCGGCATTTAAAAAAAAAATTTGAGGACGCCGACGAATTCTACACTATCTACTGCTCCTATTTCCAGATCTGAAAGTGTGCAATGCATTTTAACCAAGGCGCTTTCAATTTCGAATGGCTTACCTCATCGGCAACGACAGGGCCAGGGGCGTTGGCTTCGGCGGCGCTAGGTCCGGGAGCCCCGACAGGAGGAGCGGGAGGGCTGGACAATGAAGGTGAGGGAGCCGGAGATCCGCTCTTCTTCTTGGACTTCTTGCTGGGAGCCGGCGCGGGGACGTCGGCGGCGGGAGGAGAGGCGGTAGGCGTAGTAGCGGCGACGGGAGCAGGTGTAGGAGGAGCGGTAGCTGCTGCGGGCGGCGGAGAGCTGACGGGAACGGCAGCAGGTGGAGGGGAGCTGACTGGAGTCACCGCTGCTGCCGGCGGAGTAGCGACCGGTGCTGCGGTTGGGGTGGCGGCCGGTGGAGAGGATACGGGAGCTGGTGATTTAGGGCTGCTAGCGGCGGGGGCGGTGGCGGGAGCAGCGGGAGTGGCTGGTGGAGTAGTTGTCGGTGCGGCTGCCGGGGCTTGGCCACCGACACCGGCGACGACTACGCACACCAATGCGAGAACGAGCATACTCTTCTTGCCCTCCATTTTCTGTTTTTCTCGAGAGAGAGAGAGAGTAGGAAATTAGAGAGCAGGAATCGAGATAAGAGATAGGAGTGAAGAAGATGGTTGAGTGTGGGAGGGTGAAGGTGGAGACTGGAGAGTGTAATTTATAGGAGGGGAGAAAATCATTTGCAACGGACAGATGTCTGATCGATCTAGACCGTTGATTTGGGAGAGGAGGAAAAAAAGGAACCCGCAGTACAGCCGTTCGATGGATGGCCCACTCGGGTTTGGTTTAGCGGTGGATTTGGCTGTTTGGGGAATCAAAAGAAGAGAGAGAGAGGAAGGCTCCAACGGGAAGGCCTCGCCGCTTCTTCTCTGTAATGTTGGCCGCGACTATGGTTGTCACGCCGGCCGGCGTGCCACTGGTTCAACGTGGTTCAACCTGTACCGGTCATAAAATTGGCATGACATCACCGATATGACCAGCATGATCGATATACGAATCTCCAAATAAAATGATCTTATCTTAGTGAATTTAATCGATAAAAAGTAATTTAATATTTATTTTATGTGTTAAAAAGTTAAATGTTGATGTTATTTGTTGGATTCAAGTACAAATATTTAAATATTGACATTAAATGTTGTGTTTAAATATGAGAATTTATAAATTATTTATAATATGAACCGGCACAAACCGGTATGTACCACCGATTGAACCATTACACTTGCTAAACCGACACACTGGCATAAATCAGTTTGACAACCTTGGTCGCGACATAGACACGGGCCGGGCCGGGCACAGGTCTTAGCTGGCTGGGCCCCACCGTAGGGTGAGGGCCGGCGGCGATTGTGTGCATCAACGCATGTGGTAATCAAGTGGGTGTTGATCATGCCATGTGGGATTGCCACGTCGGCTCAAACAACCTTTTCTTTTTGTCTTCAATAAATGGATCGATCAAATCACATCTAAACTAGCCGTTATACCAGTATTTTACAACTCAACATAATCCTTCCTTTCATGATACCATTATCATAATTTTTACAGTTTACGGTGAACTTAAAAACAAGAAAGAGGTAAATATTGGTGTAAAGAATATAGAGAGAGGAACGGAAGTGGATTTTGGTTGGTTAGGCGTAACGGAAACGCGAAGGGAGGGGGAAGGGGAGACTTGCTTGCATTGTCGATAACAGTTGGCTTGGATTCAGCGTTTTGCGGGTGATGACGGGGCGCGGAGATACAGGGTGAAGAATATACAGCTGTGACCAAAAAGAAGGAGAAGAAGAAGAGAGAGGATGGCAGTTTGTGAATTGTGAGAAAGCAACAAGTACCAATGGGGATGTTCCGTGCGGCGAATCGGACATAGGATTGCGAGTGAAGCGAAGTCTTCCCCGGCCGGTTCACTTTTAAAAGCCACCACTGTGCTCTACAGCTTTCGCATTTCAGAAACGTGTGGGACCAAGGGAAAAGGCCTGTTCACGGCCACAGACCAATCTTCTTCACTTTTCTTAGGTAAAGGGGTAAGGTAAGGAGGAATGTTGTTAAACCTAGGGGTGTTCAAACGGTTTGGTTACAATGGTAACCGTTTTAACCGGTACTATTTGGATAATTTGGTTTGGTTAATTTGGATAATTGGTTTGGTTTGGTTAAAGTTTTTAGCTTGTTTGGTTTAGGTGGTTTGGTTTGGTTCCAGACACTCCTAACCAGTCAAACCAAATTAACCAGTTAAGTAATTAGTCATATATCTAACACATATTATATATACATACTTAATACTTTGCATAACCACTCAAGAGTTAACGTTCATCCCTTTTAGACTCGTAAAATATAAAGCTCAATATTGCTCATATAGTGTATATTTGTATATGTAAAATGTAGACCACAACATATGGACGCCTAATTTATATAAATTTCATACATTATGATGGATGAAAACTTGAAAGGAAGGTCATTTCCAGCCTATGATAATTGCTAAGAGACTAAGTCAATTTATACAAACACAACAATTCATTAACACATACCATTGTCATAAATTTGTGTTAGGTGAATACTTCTATACTAATCATAAGATAATTATCTTAGTTGCATGTATTTTTGTTAAGGGTCAACTATAACTGTTGGTTGTTATGTTTTATTCATTATATAAATTGCGAATTGTTGCATTAACCGGAAAATTTTCATCGTCAATGATAATGTGATTTTATATTGGTTAATCTGGTTAACCAATTAACCAAACCGATTAAACTTTAGTTTGGTTAATTTGGTTGTTGTATTAGTTCAGACGGTTTGGTTATGATATTGTATTCCATGGTTAATAGAATTTAGCCTTATTTGGTTTGGTTATAACCATGGTAACCATTTGAACACCCCTAGTTAAACCGGTTTATATAGTAAACAAATAGATTAATAGCATTTTGTATCATTTATTATCACAAATTAATCAACATATTTCTTTACGAATTTTTTTACAAATATATTCTTTTAATATTAAAACTTAACAAGTTTACATTTCTATCTAATTGTCTATTAAATGGTTGTCAAAAGAACGCTAGAATGATTCGATTCCCTCTCATTTACTCTAAACCGTCCATATTCTAGGTTTTAATTATTTTATGTTCCATTAATAAAAAAAATCAAACGCTAAACTAATTCACACCTACTCGACCAAAAAGGCGGAAACCATTCGTCTCCCCTAGTGATTGGAGAGAATTGTTTCAATACAGGGGAGGATGCAATCCACACCAAACCCTCGAGCCGCACAACGGCGGAGTCTCCTCACCCTCCTCTAACTCACTGGTATTTGAGGCCGCTGTTGGAGCTTTGAACACCGTCGTTTTTGCCAGTCCCCCCCCCCCCACCCCACGACAAATCTTGTCGCTATCACCATCCGATCTGGATCCAAACCGGGGACCCTCTCCCCGAGACGGGTCCGGAGTGCTGATCTTCGCAGTTGTCTAATTGTCAATCTTGGTGATCGGAAACGCGAGCTTGCCGGCTATTGTACGGAAGGACCAGAGCTAAGTGATGGCCATCATCCAAAACACCATTGGGAACCTCCTTAGCTTGCCAGAGACATCCAGGCCTCGTTCAGCACATACGAATCAACTCCTTGAGGAACTAATTGCTAGGGAGACGGAGGGTTTCTAAATTAGTTTAGGCATTTGATTTTTTTTAATTAATTGATTTGGGGCATAAAATGATTAAAATCCAAAATTAGGAGTGTTTTTTTTTACAGGAACCTTGTGGATATTTTATTAATTAGACTGAGCGTTTACATTATCCAATAAAAGCTGATCAATAAGGAAAATCGGTGGTCTCTCAACCCATACCACTCTCTCGTTCCATCTGGTTTCTGAATGTGCCATCAAATGAGCTGCACAGTTTGCCGTTCGAGGACAGTGTCTCCAGGATCCTTGTCCCATTGTCTCCAAAAGACGCCTAATGTTCCGGTAGATAGGGCCTATCTCCGTCTGGGTCAAATGCACCTCGTCCAAACATTTAACCAGGGACAGACAGTCTGTTTCAAGAACTGCATTTGTTACCTGCAGTTGGTGGGCAACCTGAAGGCCAAGTTCCGCTGCCAGGGCCTCTGCCATCTCCACATCTACAACATCTTTGACTTTCTTTGCTACCACAAAAATACAGCTGCCCGCAGCATCTCTCGCCACCGCACCAAGTTTAGCGCCACCTCCTGCAAGTAGTCCCGCATCCGAGTTGAACTTTATGCGGTTTGGCTCGGCTTAGTCCATCCCTTTGCTACCTGCTCCCGTTCGCCATCATGTTCCTTCTTATGACGATTCTGGTATTCGGCCAAATAAGCTTCAGCTCGGTTCACTATTTCTTGCTCCGACAGCTTGTTTCCGTTAAATAGATGTGCGTTGCGCTCCTTCCAGAAAAATCAGAGCAGAACTATCCATCGTTCAAGAATGTTATCATCAACAGCCTCCATTACCTTCTCTGCACAGGAGTAGCTATCGCCATCACCTCTCATCGTGAAGCATTGAGATAAAGAAGATGCCCACCAAAGCCTCGACGTCCAGCCACATTCATCAAAGAAGTGAACTTGGGTTTCCCGACAATTGCAGAAAGCACACCTGTCTCCCCAACCTTACTTTTCATGCTAATGTGGTCCCTAGTTGGCAAGATATCCCTCGCGAAGCGCCACATAAAATGCTTAATTTTTGGAGGGACCTTTATTCCCCAAATCTTCTTCCAGACCGCTTCTTCCCCTGCCTTTGGGAGATCTCCCTGTTCCATGCGCTTTCGAACCCATTGATAGTAGCCTTCCGTTACTGAATAATTACCCTCCCTGTTACCAGCCCAGATCAACTTATCCTGCTCCCCAAGATCCCGAAGCGCAATCTGCCTGATCATGGACGCAATATCACTAGGAAAGCAGCTTTCAAGCAGGTTATCATCTCACTTCTCCTCTTCCTGCGAGATCAATTCCCGGACTGTGGAGTCCACGGGGAGTCCCATTGGCCTAGAAGTAATGTAGTTGTCCCCTTCATTCGGAAGCCATTTATCCCCCCAGATTTTCAAACTCGATCCATTACCGATCCTCCATCGTAGCCCATCGTTCAAGAAGTCCTGCGAGCTTATGATGCTTCGCCAGATGAAGCTAGGCCTATGGCCTACTCTCGCGTCCAATACAGAGGTGTTCCTATGATATTTGGCACGCAAGATACGAGCAATGAGGGACCCCTCTCGCTGGTGTAACCGCCACAGTGGCTTGGCGAGCAAAGCAGTATTAAAGCCTTCCAAATCTCGGAATCCCAAGCCTCCATCTTCCTTTGCCACTACCACACCTTCTCGGCTCACCCAATGCACTCGCTTCTCCGAACCTCTCTGTCCCCAATAGAAGTTTTGAATCATACTGTGAACTGAGCTTGTGCAACTACTTTTATAAGAGTTTCCCGTCCTGCAACAGATAAAGTTTTTTCTTTCCAGTCCTTCAGCTTTTCCTTACTCTCTCCTTCAGATCCTGGAAAATGTCTTTCTTTGATCTCCCCACCAAAGTCGGGAGGCCTAGGTACTTGTTGTGTTTCACAACCTCCTTCATTCCAAGGATTCCCGCTGGTGAGGCTTGACCTTACCACTAAAAGAGACCTCGGACTTCTGGAGATTTACCATTTGTCCTGATTCTCTCTCATACGCCTGCAGAATGTGTTTCAGAGTCGAGCTGTCATGCGCATTGGCCCGGCCAAAGAAAACCGAATCATCAGCGAAAAACAAGTGTGTCACCGTCGGGGCTCCTCTGGCGGGACTGATGCCATAAAAGCGCTTATGCTGCACTGCCGCCTTCGTGTACGCCGACAACCCTTCAGCGCACAGCAAGAACAGGTATGGCGATAGGGTATCGCCTTGTCTCAGACCTCGAATCGGGATAAAGCTGGGAGACTGATGTCCGTTAACTAGCACTGCATAAGTTACCGTCTTCACACACATCATCACAAGGCGACACCACCTTTCTGAGAAACCCATGTGATTCATCACCCCTTCGAGAAAGTGCCATTCCACCCTGTCGTAGGCCTTTGCCATGTCAATTTTCGCTGCAAAAAAACCTTGGCCTCCCTTACGTTTCTGTTTCATTGAGTGGAAACACTCAAAAACCGCCATAATATTATCAGTTATGTACCGACCAGGGACAAAAGCACTTTGTTCCTCCGATATCACTAAATCCAATACCAGTTTCATCCTATTTGCAAGAACCTTGGCCACCAGTTTGTATATCACATTACATAAGCTGATCGGTCTGAATTCCTTTGGGGTTGTCAGGACCTTCACCTTGGGTATCAGAGCAATAAGTGTATGGTTAAGGTTCTCCGGCATTACTCCGATTTCAAGGATCATGAAAACTGTATTGACCACGTCGTCCCCGACAATGTGCCAGTACCTGTGAAAAAAGAGTACAGACATTACATCTGGTCCGGGCGCTTTCCTCTTATCCATCTGCTTCAAAGCTCAGACCACTTCATCTTGTTCAAACGGTCAGGACAAAGACTCATTCTGTTCAGCAGTCACCGAGCGCCGAATGGAGGCTAGGACTGGGAACTCATTCGGAACTTCTCCTGCAGAAAACAAACAACCATAATATCCTGTTAGACAAGCACACAACTGCTCCTGCCCTCTCGCCCAAACTCCCCCTTCGTCCTTCTGCTCTTTGGTGGTGTTCCTCCTGCGCCGCGCCGAGGCTTTTTTATTGAAGAAATTGGTGTTTTGATCACCGCCTTTCAACTAATCTGCCCGGGAGCGTTGCTTCCAGTACACTTCCTCACCATGATCAAGCTTGTCCAGCTCTTTGTCAAGTCGGTTGAGTTGCTCTTCAACAGCTGCTGTTCGCCGAGCACGCATGAGAGCTGATTGAGCTCTCCTGATTTTTGCTCTTTGTCTTCAGAAATTTGGAAACACTTCCCGACTCCATTTCTCCAGGTTCGACCTGCAAAACATTAGCTTTGTTAGAGTCTCTGCCTGGGCATCCTGTCTCCATGCTTCCTCAATGACCTTTGGGCACTGGGCAGTCCACATGATGTGTCCAATGTGGCTCAAATTTAAACGACCACCCCCACCTAGGTTCTTCATCATCCTCCCCATTAGTATCACAGAGGATTGGCCGGTGGTCTGATCGTTCTTTCTCTAGGTTCCTTACCCGGGCTTTCGGGAACTTTCCCGTCCACTCCTCCGTTGTCACGAACCTGTCAATTCGTTCTTCAATAAACCTGCCCCCTGATCTTCTATTGTCCCATGTGAATCGATAACCATTGAAGCCCAGGTCCAAAAGACCCGCTCCGGTAAGGCAGTTTTGAAAATCGATCATTTCGCGCTCCACCGCTACCCGACCTCCTTTTTTCTCGAAAGACGATAGAACTTGGTTAAAGTCCCCTCCACAGATCCATGGCCCCGACCATTGATTTGCTAGTCGCTCAATCAAGTCCCAAGTTCTCCATTTCTCTTGATCATCCGGCCAACCATAAATACCTGTAAATCGCCAGACCTCACCGGATTGCTCCGTTATCTTTGTATCGATGTGGTGAAAGGAGGTTGACATCACTGTTACATTAAGTTCCTCAAGCCACCATAAGCTCAATCCTCCCGCACGTCCTCCTCTTGACCTATCAGTGGGGTAGCTATCATCCTTGTCATAGCTGTATCAACTCTGGTAATATTATTCTCGTCTTGTGTTTACTTAGTTTCCATTAAGAAAACTAGTTGTGGGGAAAAGCGTCGCAAGAGCGACTGAAGTGCATTAACTGCTCGCGTCTTCCCCAACCCGCGGTAGTTATAGCTCATAATCCTCATTTATGACCCGAAGGGGATCGGTTCCCCGCACCATTCTTCATCGTGTTTTGGAAGTATCCAATATTGTAGTATTTAGCTCTCTATTGGTTTCGTTCTTGCACCGTTGTTTGGTCTCCTTCGGTTTTCCTGCCGTGGTCTCTCCCTGGGTCAAGTGTGAACTTCCATCTTTTTCCTTGTGCTCTTCATTTTTGTTCGCTGTTGCTTTGTTTCCAGTTGGATTAACCCTTACTTTATCAGCAATGGACTTCTCATTTTTACTACCACCCGTAGTTTTAGTGGGCTTCTTTTTCTCACCAACGTTTATCCCTCCTTCTTGCCCTGCCTTTTGTTTATTCTGCATCTCTTGCCTCCCATGCACACTTCCTTCCCTGGCCTTTCCCCATCTTGGTTCACGTGAGCATGGACTTGTGAACCCTTTCCTTGCTCTTCATCATGTTGGACCTCAAATGAGTTATGTTTCTCCACTTGGTAACGGGTTTGTGGGTTGAAGGCTGGCCTTGCTTTTTGACATTACGTCTCTCACGGCGTTTCACCGGCATCCACTCGCCATATGCCCTGCCTTTACTTGGATCTTCCACTTGTGTCTCTTCCACCATATCTACCTCATCCGGGTCAGGCACCGGGGCAGTCTCACACTTTAGGCACTTCCCATTTGTTTTTCCATATGATCCGCAATTGCTACAAATGTTTTCTAGCCCCTCAATTGAATCAAGTATTTTATGCCCTCGATTTGATACTTTTCAAGTAAAGGTTTCGTGAGATCAACTTCTACACAGACCCGAGCATACTTGGTACGCGCCCCCATCTCCGTTGCTCTATCCACTCTCACTGGGTTCCCTATCCTTTGTGCTATCATAAGTACTGCTTCCTTATTGTAGAACTCAACCGGCAGACCCGGGAGTTGTACCCAGACCATTGTCGACGTCACCTCTGCTTTCCACGGGTTAAAACCCTTATACCATCTATGCACCGTTAGATAGGTGTCACCCAATAGCCCCCCCCCCCCCCCATAAGAGCATGTTCATAATCTTGTTTTTACCGGAAACGAACCATATCGCAACCATTGAGCATATCATATATCTGTATATCTCCATTACGTGCCCAAAGAGCATTGAGTCGACGAGAGAGAGGGACAAACGACACCTTTCTCCCTAACCCCTGTACCACCAGCGAAGATCGCCACTCCCTCCTCCACTGAATCTTCTGCGCTGCCGTTAAAAGGATTGGTGGGCATGTAGGGTCATAAGTTTCTTCATCCAGTATTTCATCTTCCTCGCGCTCCTGCTGGGCCACATCTTCGGAATCCGAGTCGGCCACGTACCAAGCGTCCCCCACCACCACTTCACTGAAAGATTTGGCAGCATTGTCGAACCAGGCACCTTTCTTCGTCGCTTTCCCGGGGCTATTTGTTCCCATTGGTTGCTTAGCCGTTTCTGTATCCATCCCCGTTGCATCTTCCTTGTCAACCTCTCCAACTCCCTGATCGAAATCCAAAGCCCTTTTTTTCTTTGGTTGGACGGCTTCCCTCTCGCTCTTACCATCAAGCGAGGAAGAAACCATCGCCGGTCTCTTAGCCCCGCTTAGAACTTCCGGAGGCTTAGCCGGAGGAGCCGACTTTTTGGATGGCAAGATCGCCGCCATTGAGAAAAAAGAACCCTAGTCGCCAAGAAATTGCATAGGAAAAAAACCCTCCGATTTTCTAGGAGCAAAAGCGAATTCCACCGGACAAGTTAATCCCAAATTAGGAGTGTTTACAAGTAAATAAGAGGCAATTGGTCATTTCAAAACCTCATTAACAGTCATTTAATAGATAATTAGATGAAATGATAAAATCTTTATATTTTAATATTAGAAGGGTATGCTTGTGCTAACATTTAGTAGAGGGGTACGTTTGTTAATATACCATAGTAGAGGGGTACAAAATGCTATTAACCCTAAACAAATTCAAGCAATTCCACATGATCGTTTAAATCGTTAAAATCCTTCAAATCGTAAGATCTTAAAGATTTTGAGGATTGAAATCATGAAGAGGGCACAAGTGTAGGATGTAGAGCAAAATAGGAAGATTGCGACATAATATTTTTTACTATCGAGGTTAGGACATTTGTGCGCGTGGGCTCTCCCCAAACTTTTTTACTCCATAAAAGTTTGCAAAAATGTGCTCCAATTTGGAGAACATTTTGAAAAAATGAGTGTTCTCATGTGAGAGGCAACGAAGCATAGTGTTTGATTTAGCTGTCAAAGCCTCAAAGGGCTTTTCTCTTGGCCTGGAGTGTCATTTTAGGATGCGTCAGGGGGTCCCATCCTCCTTAGACCTCTCCTCGTGAGACTTGTATGAGAGGAGATAGTGTGCCTCGATGCAAGTCGAGAGACCTCGACTATCGTTCATACCTCACATATGTGGCAACTCATTTGTCGTTGAGATGAGAGTGCAAGATGGAAATTGGTGCTTGAGAGATAATGAATCACATCCGGACGCTTCACCTTATTACCTCCATCCATACTTGCAACCATCACTTTCCCTACATTAGGTCAAAATAGAGAAGTCAATATACTTTTGCTCTTAGCCACGAGGGAGAGAAGCGTTGTTTGCAAAAATGCAGAGTGTGGTGCCATGTTTGGCAAAGTTAAGTTGATGCACAAACTTTCATTCCTCCTTTGAAAATAAGTAGTATGGATTCCATTGCTTTTCACATGTTTTCTTGAGAGTTCCTCAGTGCACAAGTGCAATGTCTATACCTCTTTAGTCGATAAGGTCCTCATCCGAGAGTTTGTTCTGCACATAGAGATGGAAGTAACGCTTTCTAGACTCCGATTATCTTTAAAAGTGATACCGATGAACAATAGTGCATATCATTGTTATTGTCTATCAAGTTGTACCAATTTGAGTAGGTTTACTAGGGGACAAGCACACACCTAAGTGCGGGGAGTCGATAACACCCAAATTGGTGTTGTTTAGCTACCATATTCTAGTTGTTTACATGTCATTCTTTGGTATTCATGGCTAGCATATTGTCATTTGCAATAAAAAGTCGTTACTCAGAGCATTTCATGTCTTATGAGGGTGTATTTAATGATACTTGCATTTTAATCATCAAAACATGGCACAAGTGTAGGATGTGGAACAAAACAGGAAGATCACGATAGAAGGGCAGAGATCACAACCGAGAAGAGGAGCCCACGAACTCCTACCTAATATCGTGACCTCTGGAGAAAGATCACGACCAAAATCTTGGAGGACTCAACGGTGAACTCGGAGAAGAAGCACCCACGGAGGAACAGGAGGTTTCAAAAATCGGCTCGTAACCTTCTTCGTTCGAGACAGAAATAAAGATCACGACCGTTACTTCCAGATCGCGACTGTGAAAGTCAACTCGTGATCTTCGAGCCAGCAGAGCCAGAACGCTGGCGGTTTAAGATTGCGACCGCTGCACTAAAGATCACGCCCCGCGGATCTCTAAAATTGCCCCCAAAGTTGTTTGTGTTTTCTGGATACTATAAAAGCGTTTAGGAAGAGAAGCTTAAGGAAGGAGAAGAGAAGAGAGGAGAAGAAGAAGGAAGGGATTCTCCCCAAGAAGTCCCCTATCTCTATTCTTTTATCCTATTCTCCCCTGTATTTTCTTCCCTCCCTTTATGGGTTAGTCACTCAAAGTAATAGGGATTTTGTCCCCCCAACCCAGACAAAATCCTTAAATACCCTAGTTAAAAAAAAAATTCTCGTAATACCACACTTAAAAAAATTTCCAAAATGTCTAAGTTTGGCGTTGTTCGCTGCACAAGCAAGTGAACGACTGAGGAGATCACCTGCCAAGAGAGCAACCACTTTGTTTGCGACACTTGGGAGTTGTTTAAATGTGGTTCGCTGGAAAAAGAAGTGAACTAAAATGGTTCGCTCATGTAGTAGCGATAGGGACAGAGCCATGAATTTAGTTTAGGGGGGCCAATAAAAAATTTAGGAGTCAAATATATGATATATAAAATTTATCTTTTATCAAATTTTAGTTGAATAAAAGTTTTTATGTCATTAACATTTGAAATACTATGTGAATTTCATTATGCTACTTCTTTTTCAATATAAGTTAACAAACTATTAGTGTAACCTATTTTTTAACATGTAGAAGAGGCTTGCTTTGTTATTTGATCCAAACAAGATTACCGCATCTGGCACCATAGGCGAATTACGAATATAAAAGTTGAAAAGGTACCAAATTCCTAGTGGAGACAGGAGAAATTTGTGAAAAACGCATATTCTCATCCATAATCAAAATGGTAATTCTTATAAAACCAGGAAAATATACACAAAGATAAGAAAGTTAAATTACTAAATTGCAAGGCTTGGGAAATCGGAGATGAGAAATTAAGGCTAAAGACAAAAAAAAATATAAAGAAAGAGAATATGACAAAATAAGAAAGTTTGGTAACCAAATCCTAGAACTTGAGGAAATTGAGGTTCAGATATGCTAAAATGGTAATATATAGGGGGGAATGGACATGTTGCTGTTAGTAATTAAAAACTTATAATGTTTGCAACTCTCTACCATCAAACACATGACCTCCTACTAAGGAGACAAACTCATTGCCCATTGGACTATTGCAACATTTGTGTCCAATGTTGCGCAGCTAAGATTTTATAGTTTAAGTGGGGCCACTGGCTCCATCCTTGGCTAGTGAACCACTATGAATATATCAATCTACCGACATATTTGTAAGTAGTTCGCTTTAGGAGCTAGTGAACCACATGGTTCACTACACTAGGCAGCGAACCACTACCAATAATTTCAATTCCTTTTCCCCGGCATGTCTTAGGGCAGGATGCAGGGATAGGGTTGGCCGTGGATTGCTGGTATAGACAGCGAACCACTACTCAGTGAAACCAAAATAAATGTCAAGTACCCTTTCTTCATTCATCTCTATATTATGCAAAAAAACAAACAACAGAAAGAGCAATGCATTTTCAACAATGAAGAAGAAGGTGTCATTGGAAGTTATGTTTGTTTATATTGGTTGTAAAATGAGTTCTATTATCCTTTGAATGCAAATTATGGTTTAGGTTTAATAATTGGTTGAATATTTAGGTTTAGTTGTATGGGTTGTTATTAGCCTTTAAATGTAGGTTAAATATATTTTGTTGGTTGTAAAATATATTTATGTTTCGAATTATATGTAATTTTTGGTGGGTAAATGCCACATATGGTCACTGAGATTACTAAATTATGTCATGTTTAGTCACTAGAAAAAATTAATATCAATTTTGGTCACTCGAAGTACTGAAACATGCCACATTTAGTCACTCACCTTCTATCATGAATTTAGGACTTCGATTGCGGATTGAAAGTTTCAAATTGCTTGAGAAATGTAGGGACTTCTCTTGCCAATTTTTGGCCTATGCTAGGGACAATCAATGACTATGAATTGATGATGATAGCTTGTATGTTTAGAAATGAGATTGCATTGTGCTTATGATTTTTAATAGATTGAATGCTTGGATGGATTGATGAATTTTAGCAAAGATCATGCCAAATTTTTCACAATTCAAGCATAGCATCTTTCAATTGAGCTTTAAACGTGAAGCTATGCAAAGTTTCAAACTTGATGCTACGAGTCTTGGAAATTGTAGATTTCAAATGGATTAGGGCATTGTAAATTTCATATTTCAATACTAAGTTGGGTCCAACGTCCTGCCATTTTACTTGTGCCAACTTATCAATTGACCTTTGCCAAATCGTATAACTTGGAGCTTCCAAAGTTTTCAAATTATCAAGATAGTTATTTCATGCTACATCTACATTTTGAGCTTAAATACTTCTTGTCTTTGCATGTTCTTAAATTACATATGAAGTTGTATGAGTTACTATCTCAATAATACGTGCTACAGAAGTTATAGAAGAAACTATGCTCTAAAAGTGTGGGGTTATTCCCCTATTTTTCAATTTTGATTTAGGTTTCTTTCTATTGAGCATGAAAATGAATTGAATGACAGGATGGCTAAAGAGGCACAAGAACAAGGGAGATGATGATGCTTCTTCTTCGTCAGGACCACGACATCCCAGTCCCCCTCGAGTGGAGACAAAGTATGCAACACCTAGAAAGTATGCAAGACTCAATAGCAGGGACTGATCACACATATAATTGACTATTATAGACCCTCGTATTATCATCCAATGTGCATTCATTTAGTATCATTATTTTATTGTTATAATACCTTGGATTCGTGCTATGATTGTTTCAAGTGTCTTTTACCAACCATAGGATCGCTTTTGCGGGTTTGATGTGCTTTTGGTAGTGCTTTGTGCATTTTCAACTCAAAGTAGACTAGTGGACCACTTGGTGGACAAAGGGGACATCGAGATCCAGTTGCTGGAGCCGGAACTTGAGGAGGAGACAAAATTAAAGAAATGGCACCCAAAACGGTGGCCCATGATGAAAAATGGCGCCATTGTTGTTGTTTAACAGTGCTCCTTTTCTTTTTCAAAAAGTTACCTGAGAGCTTCCTGATTCGCTAGCCAAAGTTCAAAGAATTTTGATTGGTTGGATGACGTAGTAGCTATCACGAGGTGGAGATGAGAGGTTAAGGAAGGACCGTTGCTCTGCCGACAAAGCGACTCACCAGAATTAGAGCGAAATTAACCTCAAGGGAGGAATCGGCGCCAGAAACGGCATCACTAGCATGTTTCTATTTTGTGGTCGCCGATTCCAGTGGTGTTCTGAGGACTTCTTTTCGACCGATGATCGGCTAGAAGCCCTTCCCCGTGACTGGCTTGTTCCTTTAGTTGCGTAGGTATGTGAACCCTAGAAGTCTATTCATGTAAAAATAGATATTTAGCATAATATGATTGTTTTATTTCATATGTGTTAGTGCTTGATTTCATCTATTTCGTTATTTGTCGATTTGAATGCTTGCTTAGTCAACCTTGCACTCCTTTGAGGTACAAGGATCAAAATCCTAGTTGTGTATAATTAGACCATACATGGCGGTCTTATTCGATCATCATTAGATCGAACAACGTTATGCCTCAAGGGAGAAACTGCATGGTCTTTTTTCCCCATTAGTTCGGGTAAATGATTCGACACAAGGTGAGATCTAACGAAATACAAAATTGGCAGCTCGTATGTTGTCGAAATCGAGGTATATATGACTAGGAGACCTAGGGGGAGCTTGCCTATCCAACACTTCGTTCTCTACTCTCTCATAATCCAAACCCTTTTCTTCAGTCTCCCTGCGGCAGTTCTAGTGCCAAGAAGGTAGAGAGATGGAGAAAGATACTAGTGGATACCCAAGGAGAGCTTAACTGGCCAGACTGCGAACAATACCAAGGATGGGCCGCAACAGTGAGACAGAGACTAGATGATGTCGGTCTCCTGTCCTTATTCAGTATTAGAGGAGAGAGCAATGTCATGCTTACAAGAGAGTTCATGGTCACCTTGATTGTGAGTCCAACAAGGAACTTAAATAAGAAGTGCATCTCCTACAGATTGGCGGGACGACACTTTAACGACAGTTATGATAGTTTCGCCATGAATCTAGGACTCCAGGTCTACCATAGAAGGTGACCACTCTCTAATGCTATCTTTGGAACTTATTGAAAATTACAACATAGACAACTATCTTTCGGAAGCTATAAGTGACGATCATAAGAGATCAGGGTCGAGTTTGCCTTAAAAATATATACTGTGTAAAGGGTAGCATTTCTACTTTATTCTCAAATCTCTCTCGATTAAAAAAGCAGGTTTGTATCACCATCTTGACAATGCTTCTTTTATGTGCTGGTGAAAAAGAAGTGTTTCAGCCCTTCCACGCCTATGCGTGTCATGTTCGAGAAAGGAAATATAATCACCAAAAGCAAAACAGGAAACCAGATCCAAACACAAACTACCGATTGTTTGGAAGTTGCGAATGTTAAATTATTGCATTGTAATGAATCGCAACAAAATAAATACATGTATTGACAGTGGCAGAGCCAGAAAATTGACCAATGGAGTGCTTATTCATATCGTAAAAAATCAACTATATATAATAGAAAAGTCAACATTAAACAAAATAAAAAATCGCCAGCAAAATACTCAATATTTTGACAATTACATAATAATAGTTCGACTCACACCACTTATAATGAACAACGAAGAGATTTCATATTCTGAAAACATTGTAGAACACATTCCTTGTGCAAACTAGCACGCAACTCTTGTTCAATATATGTCACCAACTCATCGTTTATCTGATTTTGAATATAATATTTTGTATATTCATGGGTGAAAATTATCTTCCCACACTTATAATTGCAACATACAGATAATTGTCAACTTGAGAACTAAATAACTAGATAGAGACGGCTTGTGCTTATTTGTTTTCACTTTTTTTCTAACTCGTCAACCCCTTTTTAAATCTGCCATCAAATGGTAGGTAAAATAATACATGAATTCAACTTATGACTGAGAAATATCATAAGATTTGGGGTAATTGGTATGAATCGTACTAGTATCCACAGGAAAAAAACAACCGTTGGGAACTTCTTATGGGAACAATAATAGTTGTAGGTTTAATTTTAGAATTAACTTGTTATTTTATATAAAGAATCGTAAGATTTGTTAGAAACTCATCAAGTGAAGATTGTAAGGAAGATTGTTTAGTATTAGTCGGCCAAGGGTAATTCCCGAAACTTAATTTTTCCTTCGTAAATTTTTGCTGCTCCTCCAAGCCAAGGAGGGCGCAAGCACCCCCAACCTAATGAGTGGCTCCGCCACTGTGTATTGATATAATAGATGCATTTTAATAATACATTGTTTAGTTGATGAGATTATACTTTATGTATTGACTAACATAAAGTTACTTTATGTGAAAATGTCACATTTATCCTCAACTTTTAGTATAAGAAAAAATCTAAAAAATCTAATTGTTTAGTTGAGATTGTATAATACACCATTTTTTGTGATTGTTGGTGGGACCTTCCAAAAACAATACATGCATTGTTTTACACTTTAACACTTCCAAACATTGTACCATAGACAATGAATGTATTGAATAAACACAACTCTAACAATTACAACTACCACACGACTGTACATGGGCGTTGGGCCGTGCTTGGGCCGGCACGGCACGAGCACGCTTCGCGTCCATTTATTTCGTGCCGTGCTTGGCACGACTTGTCAGTTTTCGTTTCGTGCCATGCAAGCCCATTTGTTAACTTTGCTAGGCCCAGGCACGATTCGAATCGTGCCGTGCCTATTCGTGCTCGTGGCATGGTCGTATTCGTGTTTAATGAAAAGGACGAAAACAAAAAGAGAGAATGAAAAAGAAGGTGAAAATTGAACGGAGGAAGATTGTATTAACCGATAATGTTTGAGAAAAGTAACAAATTATGGGGAAAAGAAAATTGGAAGTATAGCGAGTGTGATTTGGCTTTGTTTAATTCTTTGTCCATTTTTACTTATGTTAGTAATTACGTATATGGTCGTGGATTTATCAAAAAAAAAAAGTAATTACGTATATATCTTTATGACACTTCTAACAACAACAAATAATTATTTTCTACTTGTGTTTTGTAATATTTGAACCTATAATTCTTTTTATATTTATATTCTATCAAATAAATATAATTTTCGTGTCATGTTCGTTCTTATACTCAATAAAGACTCGAAAATATTAAGCCCGACAAGGCTCACTTATATACCGTGTTGTGTCCGTGCCCATAAAGTTTAGACCCGACACGGCCCATAAATTATTCGTGCTCGTGCCGGACTGGCCTATTTATTTCGTACTCATGCCGTGCTCTAACAGTGCCGTGTCATGCTAACCCATGGGCGGCACGACCCGGTGCCCACATTCACACGACACCTATATGTGTCAAGAAATTAACTGAACCATGTGGGACTAATGATTGTCTCCAAGCATTTTAGAGGAATTTTGCATATAACGGCCGCTTTTCTTGAAACCAACCCCCGCACTTAACTTCACTTCGCTCTGGTACTTGGAACTACGTACTAACTATGTCCACTAGATTAGGTACTAGATTCTATTATATATGTTTGTGCTTTAGTCCACTTTTTCCTTTTCCTTAACATGCTAGAAACCAACACCGGCTTTTTCCGATGTTAATTACTCCAAAAGTTACCATTTCAGATAGCAAAAACTAATTTTATAGTTAGCTCTATATATGGAGGGGGACAAGCTGAAAGGAAAAGGTATTAGATGGTTGGCCGGAATTAGGGCTCCAAATGAATTAACTTCCATGAGCGGCTCGATTTGAGAAAAATTTGTTCGTAACTCGTCTATTTTGTAAATAGTCGAGTTTTAGTTCGTACTTGTTTGACTAGTGAGCCTCGCGAGCTAGCTCAACTCTGAAACTCATTGAGTTCAACTAGTGAGCTGGCTCATTGAAAGCTAATGAGCTGGCTCGACAGCGTGGCTAGCAAACTAGTTCGCGACTTATGAGCGTATTAATATATAATTCATATGTTCGTTAGATTATATATCTCATAATATATAATGGTTTAAGACTTGGAGTACATAACCAAATATGTCACATTTATAATTTAAAAGATAAATCATGTATTATAGAATTCTTAGTTACTGATTGATATTAAATAACATGATACGAATTAGTTAAAAATTATGAATTAAATTATATTACACCAACATTGTATATAACATGAGATTACAATATGAAATTTTGAATATTATTCTTTTTCATTCACTATATGACATTCAAATATTGTAGTATTCAATTAATAAATTATCTCAGAGTATAATTTATGTGTTGTAACAGGTCTAGACCAGTCAACCCATATGGGTACGTATTGTAACGGACAAACACTTGATACATTGATTTTTCTGCGCTGCCGTTAAAAGGATTGGTGGGCATGTAGGGTCATAAGTTTCTTCATCCAGTATTTCATCTTCCTCGCACTCCTGCTGGGCCACATCTTCGGAATCTGAGTAGGCCACGTACTAAGCGTCCCCCATCACCACTTCACTGAAAGATTTGGCAGCATTGTCGAACCAGGTACCTTTCTTCGTTGCTTTCCCGGGGCTATTTGTTCCCATTGGTTGCTCAGCTGTTTCCGTATCCATTCCCTGTTGCATCTTCCCCGTCAACCTCTCCAACTCCCTGATCGAAATCCAAAGCCCTTTTTTTCTTTGGTTGGACGGCTTCCCTCTCGCTCTTACCATCAGGCGAGGAAGAAACCATCGCAAGTCTCTTAGCCCCGCTTAGAACTTTCGGAGGCTTAGCCGGAGGAGCCGACTTTTTGGACGGCGAGATCGCCGCCATTGAGAAAAAAGAACCCTAGTCGCCGAAAAATCGCACAGGAAAAAAACCCTCCGAGTTTCTAGGAGCAAAAGCGAATTCCACCGGACAAGTTAATCCAAAATTAGGAGTGTTTACAAGTAAATAAGAGGCAATTGATCATTTTAAAACCTCATTAACAGTAATTTAATAGATAATTAGATGAAATGATAAAATCGTTATGTTTTAATATTAGAAGGGTATGCTTGTGCTAACATTTAGTAGAGGGGTACGTTTGCTTTACAAAATAAAAATTAATCTTACACAACACACCCTATAAATTTGCAGTTTGACATTGCATTATTTTAGCCTTTTATAAAATTAGTGATTACTCCTTTTATCATAAACTATTAATAATAAGCATGATGGACTTGTAAAGAAAATTTTGTTATACTAATGTGGGTATAGTAGATTTTGTGGGTTAACCACTATGGTTAGTGGTTAATCACTAATCACACAAATTAAGATTTTACTAACCACATTCAACCCACTAGTCACAAAGTGTTATTAACCACAATGTGGAAAGTTTGTTGCGGTTTATGGGTTAACCAAAATTACAAAACCATAAAACTTCCACCATAGATGTTCCTACCATTTTCCCGAACGTTTTAGTGCTTCTAAGTTAAGAGCCACGGCTGCTGAAAGCTCAATATATATATATATATATAGTACTTTCAAGTTTCAACAAACACTCTCATCTCATTTTACTCCAAAACAACAACCAAAAACTTTACCCCCATTTCTCATCCCTGGGTTCATTTTCAATTATGCACTCGGCAGCAGAATGTCAAAAAGCACTCTGCTTCTTCTGCATCATGAACCACCCAGACCCATTGGTTAGGAGATCCCAAGCATCTCATTTCTTCCAACAGATGCCTCTCACAGGCGACAAAGACCACGTCTTGGTCCTCAGCAGCCTCCGAAACATCGCCATTGCTCAACCTGACGACCCTGAGTTCCCTTCCCTCGGCATCTTCACCTCCATGACCCGCCTCATCCAAAAGGGTATCCACCACAAGCAATGGCTTCTGAAAGACCAGAACATCTACATCCCTTACTACGCTGCCCACATCATCGGCACCTATGCCACGAGCAACCCTCAATCCGCTGCAAAAGCAGCCGAATCGGGAGCAATCCCGGCTCTGTTGGAGCTTCTAAGAGGGAAAATCAGCTGGGTCGAACAGCGCGCCGCGGCTGGAGCACTCTGCCACTTGGCTTCCCACGACGTAGTATTCCGTGCTACCATGTCAGAAACAGAGGACATCGTGGAGCTTGCCATGGAAATCGCTTCGAGCTGCCTCGGAACTGTGTACCGGCAGTTTCTGGCGACGGAAGAGAGGAATCGGTTGAAGTACCACTGCGAATTGCTGACCAGAGGGCTTGGAGGTGTGGAAACAGAGAACAAAAAGGCAGAGGAATGGGGGGTTCAGTTGCAGGAATGGTGTCTTTACCTTCTGACATGCTTCGCTGGAAAAGGGAGTGGTAGATTCCTCGATCGAATCTGCGAATTGGAGTTCCTGACGGAACTATGCGGGATGAGAGGCGGAATCGAGAGCTGCAAAGATTCCCCTGGCGGGCTCGGATTGATCAGAGAGCTCTGCAATTCCGAAATCGGCAGAGACAGAATTAGCAACCGGAGAGAAGTACTTGAGAATTTGTGTGACGTGGCGCGATCTTCGGATTACTGGCACGAAACAGCGATCGAGTGCCTCGTTTTACTTCTGAAAGACCCCGGAACCAGAAACAGAGTGATCGGCTTCTCTGCCGCAGCGATGGCGCAATTGGTCGAGCTTCGGCGAACAGGGGAGACGATAACGCGGGCTCTGCTGCAGGACTACCACAGGATAAAGTACGGTGAGATGAGATTGGGAAGCGCCGAAGCGGAGAAGGCGCTGGAAGAGACGTGGGAACTGAAGGTCGAGAGGAAGAAGAAAGAGAAGGTTATGAATACAGAGGAATTGAAACAGAGGGAATTAATGGCTGGTTTGTTGAAACGGGAAGGGAACGAGAGCTTCTGGCGCGGGGAAGTCGAGAAGGCGGTGAGCGAGTACTCGAAAGCTCTTGAGGTCTGTCCTTTGAAGCTGAGAAGGGAGAGGATCGTGTTGTACAGCAATCGGGCTCAGTGTTGTTTGGTGATGAAGGAAGCTGAACTCGCCATTGGCGATGCGACGAGAGCTATGTGTTTGTCGGGTGGTTCGCGGCCTCACCGTAAGAGCCTGTGGAGGAGAGCGCAGGCGTTCGATATGAAAGGGCTGGGTAGGGAGAGCTTGATGGACGGTTTGAGATTTGTTGAAGTGAGGAGGAGGAAGGACGTTGAGATCCCCTGCTTCGCGGCACGGCTGGTTCAGAAGCAGATGCATGCCACGTGGCCTTTTGCGGCGGCGGTGAAGTCGGAGGTGGCTGCAGGAAAGTGCAAGAAAGTAGAATGTTTGGACCACAGCCGGCGTAGCGAGGAGTAGGGGTGGATCGATTTCAATACGTGGATTAATTACCCACGTGCCCACCCCTAGTGAGGAGTCAGTATATGCAAAGTAAGTGTAACTCGATTTCGCCTGCGTATCTCAATCTCAAGTACATTTATAGATTTCTAAGGTCGAGGCAATGCATTACATTTTCTTTATAAATTGTTATTAATAGTGAGTTTATTAAATTTAACAATCCCTTATAAACTATAGATTGAACGGTTTATAAATGTCTGGCCTGGTTGTCCACGGCTCGGATAGGCATGTGCTTCTTGTCGTGGGTGCTTAGCATTGTGGTATCTCTGCTCCTTATCTTGCAGAACTCCTTGCAGCTAGGGATGCAATCTCTCTTGCAACTTCTAGAAGTTTGTCTCCGGTTATCATCGAAGGCGATGCAGAAGTGGTCATCCGTCAGCTCAAGCTTCGATTGGTGACCTCATTCTTCGAGATTGTTGTTATCTTCTTGAGTCTTGTTCTCTTTGTATAGAATTTAGGGTAGTTCCGCGGACTGTTAACTGGGCTGCTCATAGAGTGGCACGTAAAGCCCTGCTGCTGTCCCGGTTAGAGTTAGTTTCTTTTGACTTTGTTGGTTGGCTTGTAAGTGGGATGGGAAGGGATTGTGGGTAGTGGTTCTTTCTAACTATGTTCTTGACATTTCTCGGGGAAAAAAAGTAGTTAGTAAAATTTTAATCCTCTCCCGAATTACTCGTATGTATCCGTTGGATCGGTTGAATTTTCTTCTCTAAAGCATAGTTAGTAAATACTCCGTTTAATACACGTATATGTACCCGTACGTACTTTATCCGTTTAAAACTTCCGTATCCGTATTATTGTCAAGCCGTTTCATTTTCCCCCATTCATTTGATGACGCCCGTACTAAACACGTATAAAACCCGTATAACACGTTTATTATCCGTATTTTATGAATTAAATTGTTAACTTTAGTATTATTTACATATTTATTTATTTTTAAAATGATTAATTTTATATATTTATGACTATTAACGTACTATTAAACGTAACTTTAGCTTAGAGACCAAGTATAATACCCGTACGTATTTTTTACGTAACTTTCCCGTACCGTATTTTACTAACTATGCTCTAAAGGCCAATGAGTATTTTGCTGATTTTTTTTTTTTACACTGCACCATTTATCCGTTGGATTGAACTCTGTTTGTTCGAGTTTAGAGAAATACTACACATAATCATTCTTATTCATATGCCTTGAATTTAGATATTCTCATTTAGATTTCTAGCTGTGTTATTGTCACGGAGTTAACATTTGTTTTTATTATTTATTTAATTTAAAGTATAGGTTTGGCCACTAATATCTTAAGAAGAAAAGACCATTCCTTCAATCACGACGTAATAAAAGAGGCAAGTGAGGGAAGCTGAAGAAGGTGTGTGCTCAATTTGGCCAAGATCTCAGAATACAGTGAGAAAGGGTGAGTGAGAGAGAGCGATAATTTGTACATAGACATCGACTTTTAGGGTTTAGTCCCTTATGATTAAGACTGGTTATCTAATTAAAGACAAACAACCATATAAGGTAGCGGATCTAAAGTCCAAACAACTCGTCTTTTGGCCTACCTAATCCAGATTTCGATTGAATGATATAATACCTAACTCACTAATTGAGCTTTGCCTTACTATTTCCAATTAATAACTCTAAACTAATCTCTCTATTCCTCTTGTACCCCCCCCCCCCCCCCCTCATACCCGTAGGCCCATGGAAGTAGTGGTGTCAATCGGACAGGTTCCGGTTGGGTTAAATCGGGTTACGGGTACATCATATTTTGGATTGGTTGGTTTCGAATTTTTTAGATTGCGGGTTAGTCGGGTTACAGATTGATCGGGTCGAGGGACAATCAGATTGTGAATCAATCGAATTATGGAACGGGAGAGTTACGATCATATTAGGTTGCGGGTTGTTCGGATCGGCGCATTGTGTTACTTACTCTTAAGTCATTACAACTTACAATAATTTCAAAAAAAAATTACAATTTTTAGAAAATTTATTTCTATCTCGGTACTTATAATTTTTTTTATAGATGTAGTTATAAAAGTTTTAAAACGCAATAGAATGACTTAACAAACCAAACTTAGCCCTCATTTTTGAAACCAAAATGCAACTCGAGCATAACTTAAATGGGCCAAACCTTTACTTTACTGTTGTAAAATAACAATCATGTCGTGCAGGAGTTGCAACAAATGTATAGGTATTAGAAAACAAGTAGACAAATTAAGTGAACTTTTCCAAAAAAATGTTTGTTGAAATGAATTGTTTATTTAGTTATTAAAGTCATAAACAGTGCTAGATATACATATTTTTTAAACTTCAAATTATATAACTTTGTACCATAAAAATAGTCAAATTAGTTCACATAGCTATATAAAGTGTGGTGTTTATCATTAAATTAGTTCATATCATGGGGTGCTAGATTATGTGTACTATAACATAGGTGATTAGTTCATGATGATAAGATGACTGATGATATGTTATGAAATATATTATAATCAATTAGTCATGCCCTATAAGGTTATAACAAAGTTCACTATAGACAATGTCTTAGTTACTAAATGTTAAACTCTTAACTCATTGTCGATAAAGATTGTGATAATCACATTGATAAAGAATTAAGTATATGATATGTAATGTTAAACAGTGCGCATTTGACATAGTTCTGAGTTATGTTATTTAGATAGGATAACTTATGATATGTTCTCAATTATGCTATATCCAATTGGTCATGCCCTATAACTTTATACTAAAGTTTACTATATACAATATCTTAGTCACTAAATGTTATCCTAAACCATCACATGTAAACATTGTGTTAAGTACAACTTTAATACATTCATACATAATTTGCAACATTAATCATTAATTGACTAGAACTTCAAGTCTTGAATGCATCATATATATGTTCTAATTTGCAACATGAAACTATAGTTAAATATTGAACATTTCTCTCAATGCATATGCTAAGATGCCTCTGCAAAATGATTATCCCATACTTAGTAGGGTCGCAATAAAAGTGTTTCAAACAATAGTTACATTTTCAGGGTGCAGATCAATCCAAACAACAGTTGTGGGTAATTAGAGGTACCCAAACTTGTAGCTATAATAGCCTGTTTATTGAGAATTAGGGGTGGGAATTCGATGGCGGTTTTGCGGTTAAACCACTAACTGCACCGAAACCACACGGTTAGTGGTTAACCACAAATCGAAAAAAACAGGCTATTTTGAGGTCGCGATTAGCAATAGTCCTCATCCTCGCCTTTGTCCTCCTCATCCTTTGGGAATCTCTTCCTTGCGGTTTCTTGAAGATAAACTCTGATGCATCTGTCTATGACTCTGGTTGTTTGTCTGCCCACTTGTTCATGGGGACAGACGAACATGTCGTGTTGGCAATTGGGGCCAACACTTTGGAGTCGCTGATCCCTATCTGGCATAACTGCTTGTAGCTAGAGATGCCATTTTGCTAATCGTCTCCAAGTCCCTGGCTCGGGTATTCGTGGAAGGTGATTTTGAAGTGGTTTTCAGCAACTTCGCCAAGGAGTTTACGATGGATTCTGTAGGATGGCATGTGCTACGAGATTGCCTACATGTTTTTGTCTCTATGTCTGTCTGTATAGAGTTTCGGGCGGTTCGTCAAACCGCAAATAGGGCTACCCATAGCGTGACGAGTAAAGCTCTGTTATTGTCGCCTCTTGAGTTAGTTTCTTTCGACTTTGTAAGGTGCCTTCACTGAGATGTTGCTTTGGGAGGGTTCGTGGGTAGATTTTATTGTTTATCTTTCTATTTTGTCATTACTTAAAAAAAAAGATGAAAATCTACTATGTGAAGTAGCAACAAGCTTGTTTTACTTCCTCGTATTTAATTGTTTTGACAAACTCTAATTGTATAGCTCGTTGTATTTGACCATCGGGTAAAATAACTCGGATACCAATTCAGTTTAAGAATTGGTGTAACCATACCACTTAAGTTTGAATAGGGCGTCGGGTACAATTAAAGTCGTTGAAAGGTGTATCCGTCTAGTGTTGCATGCAACCAAAACTTTTAATTATCTTTTGGTACTCAAAACTTTTAAAAATATTCAAAACTATATTTCAACAAGTTTTATCTAATATAAGAATTAGAAACCCTTCTATATTAGAATGGCTAATGAAATTTTGTCAATAAAATAGATAAATTAGTAAAAATAATAAATGAATACCAAGAAGGAATAATAAATTTACCAGAACATAATAATAAATATTAAAAATTCTATTTAAATCCCTACTTCAATTAGAAGCACCACTAAAAATAGTGAAAAATAGAACCTAATCGACGATCAATACATCAAGACCAAATAAGGATAAATGGAACACAATCAGAAAGAATTAAACATATTTCAGTCATTGAAAAAGGTTTAGAACGGAAAGAGACAGAAAGTAACCAAATAATAAGTAAAATATAAAAGCTACAACATTTAGTAACAAATCTAGAAAAAAATATGACTATAAGAAGCGAATTAGAATTAGTGACTTTAACTAATATAGAACATCTACAATATAATATTAGAGGATTACATGGAGATTTAACATGAAAAATTACTTGCATCAGCATGATGTAAGAAAATTAAATATAACATACTCAGATTATTTATAGGATGATATAAGAGAACTAAATATAAAATCCTCAAATAATTTATATCGAGACAAAATTCATAGAATATATTTGCTTCAGAAAATAATTCAATTATTAGAACACATAATGATAATTCATTATAAATTTTCTATTCAAAATTGATTTGATAAGAGTCTGCAAAAGAGAGATTTTAACTAAACAAGAAAAAATAATATTTTTCATAAGTTCAAAGTATTTTTTAGAATAAGAAAAGTAGAAGGACCAATTCTGAAATTTAGAAAATAGAATATTCAAATAATATTCTGTCAAATTTAACGGAATGCACTTAACAGTAAACTTAAATGGTACCAAGTGCACATATAATATAGTTCAGTGGCACGCGATGCTCTATTCGTACTTAAATGGTATAGCTCTCACAATTCTCATACTTTAATGGTACAAAAGATATTTTACCCTTTGACCATCCAATCAGTGTACCGCTATTGTACCGTGCTCATTTTTTTTCTCGTGTCATGAATTACCAGCCCATTTTTTAAATTTGCTAGACCCGATTAAAGCCTACGCGTGGTTCGAAATGTGCAATGCCCTCGTATCGTGCTCATATTTGTTCTCAATGAAAAGGAAGAAAATAAGAGAGTGAAAAGGGAGAAAATTGAAAGGGGAATGAAATTAATTAATTGAGAATATTTGAGAAACTTAACAAATAAGAGGAAGATGAAAATTAAAAGTATATACTATAGTGTAGGGATGGCAACCAAACCCGAATCCATGGGTACCCACCCGACCCAACCCGGTCAATGCGGGTAAAATCCGTGTTGACGGGTTTTGGGTCGGGTTTGGGTTTAAACCCGTTCACTATTCACCGGGTTGGGTTTGGGTTTTGGTAAACCCGACCCGTGGGTACCCGCCCACACATATAATTAATTTTCTCGGTATATTTAATATTTTAAACAACTAATCTTATTTATGTTTGTGGAGACATGTCTAATTTTTTCTTTCTAATTGTGTAGAATGAAGTTTGTGTTATCGAGTGGAGAGTGAAGAAACTTAATTGAAAGGAAGAAGCCTTCAATTAATCATGTTATTTATGGATAATTTATGATTTACTTCAATTTTCTTGAGTTTTCTAGATTGGTGTTGAACAATTTGTATAGTTAATTTGTGATTTGCTTGAATTTTCTAGAATGGTGTTTTAAATATGGATAATTTGTATTGAGAGATTGATATTTGACTTTAATTTTGATAGGAAGTTGTTATTGTAAATTTTTTACGAAAAAAACCCATGGGTACCCATGAACCCGCGGATACCCAGCGGGTTGGGTTGGGTTTGAGTTTTTCAAACCCAGTGGGTTTTACCCCGAGTTTTTTTCACGGATAAACCCATGAGTTTGGGTTTGGGTTTGGCAAAACCCGACCCAACCCGACCCATTGCCATCCCTACTATAGTGGTGTGATTTGACCTCCACATGTTTTTTTAAATTCTTCAACTATGTTATTTATCGTAATTATTACAAATAACGTTTTCAATCACTTCTAACACAAACACATAATTATTATATAGATCATGTTATTTAAAGACATTGACATGCCCGTGATCATGAAATTTAGATCAAGCACAACTCCTATATTATTCGTACCGTGCTCTATGCTAGCACGTGGTAGCTCAATTAGGTGCCCACATAAAGAGTCAAATATACAATAAAATTTCAAGATGTCATTTTGAACTTCAATTCGCCGGTTTGGTGACAGTCTAAACCGTATGATGACTGGTGGCGGTGTTACATATATGAGCATCATCAGACTGCCTCTTTCATATCCTCTTGAATTCCCTAATGGTTCATCAGACCGCCATCAGGAAGAGGAAGATGAACTCAACAAGGGGGACTTGTGATTATGCAAAACAGTGCAGGTGAACGTGAAATAGATGAGACGAATCTCGTGCAGTGACTAACCCGCAATGTTGATTCTAACATCAAATTTACCAAAGGGTACACTGATGAGCCTAGCAACCAAAATTTAGTAGGTCAGGGAGAAGTGGTTCAGGTCTAAAACCCTAAAAAAATTCTGTTATTCAATCAGGTAGTAAGTAATGAACTCTGTCTTCTGCGATCTAAAGCTTTACTGAGACTGAGAATGGATGGGTAACTAATCATCATTCTCCAAAGACATCACTGGGATCCCTTTACTAGAAAAGCTGGTACACGTAACTCGCAATTCATCACCAACTGCATAGTCCGTCTTCCCGTGATCCTGCTTTACAATCACAACAAACATGGTGAACACAACTTCATGCTGAAAGCCGAAGAAACTATCAGATAATTAAATGCCATATTACTTTACCTTAAAGCGATACATTCCACGAACTCCACCTCCTAAATCAAGGACCAGACCGAGCGCACGTATCTGATGAACTTTTGCAGTAACGGTCGTTCCAAGTTTCAGATTTTTCGCACTTATGGGACCCTTGGCTTTTGTTTCATCCTTAACGTCTGGAACGACATTAAAAGTAGATGATGATGAACAGGAATCCTGACTTTGCTTCAATTTGGATGACCACAACTTATTAGAGGTGCTCTTGAATCTTTCTTCCTCCTCGTCACACTCTGCAACACTACGGATCCGAAAATCTGGCGAAGAAGTAGAAGAATCTTCCAATGTGCTGACAGCCTGTGACAACAAATCCGCAACCGATTTTGCATCTAGCTGAGTGGAGTCACTGCTGGCCAAAGACTGAGCATTTGCTGATGTCTCCTTGCTAACAATAAAATCACTGACATTGACCTCTGGTGTAATGGCATCGACTTCTAGTGATGCTGATCTAGGTGACATTCGTTTAAGGGATAATTTTATGTTGCCACGAACATCCTGCTCTATGCACATCACAGAAATCTGCTGGCCGATGGATAATAAATCTGAAATTCGTGTCACCTAGATGACACAAACAACGGATTTAGCATCAAACTGGGAGGGAAAGAAAGAGAAACTAGTGGAACCAATTGAACTGGCAAAAAGGTGACAGATAAGGATTGCCATTAGCCCATTACATACCGGCTCATGTGACAATTCAGAAATATGCAACAAACCATACTGGCCACCACCGAACTCCACAAAGGCGCCATATTCTTTTATTGAAGTTACAACGCCTTTGTATATCCCACCAACTGTGATCTCCCGGCCAATGATGGAATCAACCTGAGAAGCAGAGTAAAGAGGACAAGGCCCTTGACTTATAACATGAAAGATATGTCTAGCCAAAATGCAGCAGCCTGAATGGACATTAGCCGGGAACTAGTGTACTCCTAGGCGAAGTATCAACATGAACATGTATTGAACAGAAGTATCAACTCAATAAACAAGTACCTTTTCTAGCACTTTGTCCATCACATTCTGATTCTTGGCAACTATTGTCAGTGTTTCATCACTAACTGACAGACGTGCACCTTAGTTAAGCAAAAAAAATGCAACATTAAGACATGATAAAGTGTAGGCCTTTTATGTGACAGCTCAGAGTTCCTGGTACAATTTCAAGCAAAAATACCTGTTTCCTCTTCAATCTTTTTCCTAATTGCACCAAGAGGTCCGATCAAGCGACGAAGAGCATCATTGCTATACCTTAAGCTAGCTATGAAACAAACCCAAAATCCAAATTAGCATGCAAACATACCAGTGCAGGGACACAAAAGTGTGACTACATCAGACTTGGTGCAGAAAACTCAACCTAGTCGAGGGGCATTCCTGTCATCCTTAGAACGTGGAGTACTAATTTCTCTTTCCATGTGCTCGAGAATCTGAAGACGACCTTTGCGTGCAGCTTCCAAACTCTCGCAAACAATATCCAATGGGATTCCAGCTGGCTTAATATCCAACTGAATTGCAGTGATGCCACTCCGTGTTCCAGCAATTTTGAAGTCCATATCCCCTAAATGATCTTCCAGGCCCTAGGAAAATCCAATGAAGAGCATAGATGCAAAGACAAAAAATGGAACTGCCCTCAATATCTAAATAATTTAAGAAACCATTTGACAACACTTTGAGATGGAAAAAATAACAATCTTAAGCTGCAACCATTAACAGTAGCATCCACATACAAGTGACTGGTGCAAATAGTAGGCCCAACACAGATAGAAACAAATCACATTGAGTATCTTACCAAAATATCAGTCAATATACGGTAGTCTGTAATTTCCCCAGTCGAGTCAACTTCACTAACAAGACCCACAGAAACACCTGCTACATGCTCTCGTAGAGGAATACCAGCATCCATCAAAGCTATACTGCCTATTCAAAACAAAAGAAACATTTCAGTTTTCATGTCAAAGTTCCAAACTAAGGGCACATCCAAGGATGCAGAAAAAGAATCACACGAGCTGAGAAGCCAATTAATCAAGTACTTAAGCAACAGGACAAAGTTATTTAATCTACTGATTTAGTCAATAGAACAACTGTACATGACATAACATCTGTAAAATGGTCAAATGTACCTCCACAAACAGTTGCCATAGACGTTGACCCATCAGACGCCATGACTTCCGAATTTATGCGAACAGTGTATTTGAACTCATCTTCTGGAGGTAAAACTGCTAGTAGCGCCTTTTCTGCAAGGGTTCCTGTAGAGATGAAGACAACCAAGCACTAACCACTTCAGACACCTTGCTTTTAAGATGTAGTACTTGGTATTAATTTGGTTCAGCAATTCAAACGGATGGCTCAAGCATACAAAAGCACCAAGTAACTACCATGGCCAACCTCGCGTCTGTTAAGCCCGGTCCTTTTACCAACTTCATTTATGCAAAATGGAGGAAAACTGTAGTGCAACATGAAACGTTTTGTTGAGGGTCCAACAATGGCATCTAGGCGTTGAGCATCTTGAGGTGCTCCAAGTGTTACAGTGCAAAGAACCTATGAAATACACACAAAGCAACATAGTTCAGATGAAAAACAGGGAATACATCAAATTTGTACCAACAGAGCATCGGTTGTTCTCTCTTTTTGTGTGGATGACCACCTACTATTGGTAAACAAAGATATAGGAGAACATATACTCACCTGAGTGTCCCCACGATTAAAAAGTGCTGATCCATGCAAAATGGGCAAGTGCCCAGCCTCACAATAAATAGGCCTCACTTCATCAAGATGTCTCCCGTCGAGTCTGTATCCTTCTGTAATAATCCTCTTACGCACTACCTGACATAATGAAATTATTCAAATTTTATCACCTTAGTTGATTTAGTGACAGGAAATACGTAAAATATCAAACAGACATCAATTTGCACACTTTTGCATCAACGGCTCGAACAACAGCCAACTGAGCTGCGAATGCAATAGTCCTATCCTAGAAGACCTATTGTTGTTGTATTGAAAAATATAAAGCATTGGTCCAGCCAAAATTCCTTCAAAACAGCTAAGTACACATACATATAAAAAGAAAATATGAACAAATAAAATCTTTTAACCATTGATTTTTTCATGTCGAAAAAAAAAAAAACTAGCAAAAAATTTAACTAGTTTTTCCAGCAGATAACTGACCTGTTTTCGCACTGTGTCTATTGCCTTTGGAAGAATTTTTATGATTTCCTCATCACCTTCCAATTCAAGCTGTTGCTTTACATCTTGCATGATATTCTCTAAGGCTTCTCCACGTTCAAACTAGATAGGCCAACAATGCAGATGTGCAACGAAGATCAGTACCCCAATACTTGAGCAAGGGAGCAAGAAAGAATCCATGAAATCAACTGTTCTTATTCAAACGACAACTCATGTACCTTTCCGTAAGAAGGATCAGTAAAGACGGCTTTAATATTGGCTTCTGCCAATGTACCAACTTTTTCCAATGTCTTTTGTGACAACATAGATAGTTGATACTCCTTTTTCTGTTTTCCAGCTTTTGCCGCTAGTCTGATTTGGGGTTCAAGGTACTTCACTGCCTGGAAAGCAGATTCCAGCATCCAATTACTCTCCATCTACCCATGGAAAAGACAAATAAGGAATGCTAACTATTTACCTCTGGATGAGCCATTCTCAATCCAGCTTCAAGATCTTTCTCTGTGATCTCACGAGCTTGAACGTCAATCATTAAAGTTTTCTCCTTTGTACATGCATACACTAAGTTGAGATCACTTAAGCTCAGCTGCATCACACCCAACAAATGCATCTAGCACATCAGATTAACCCCCAAAATCGTATAGTCACACTACCAGTAACCAAGTTAGAGAATGACCTCATCCATTGTGGGATTAACAATGAAGTGTCCATCGATCCTCCCAATTCGTATCATCCCAATGGGGCCTCCCCAAGGAATATCAGATAACATCAGTGCAGCAGATGTCGCATTAGCTGCCATCACATCCGGATCATGTCGTCCATCAGATGAAAGAACACTTGCCATCACCTGTCCACAAACAAAAAGAAGCACTAAAATTTCCAAACCAACAGGAGGAACACTAAAAAAAAATATATGAGCAATTAAGTCTCATGGCAACAATGAATACCTGAACCTCATGATAAAACCCATGAGGGAATAGAGGACGAATTGGTCGATCAATAAGACGGCCACATAAAAGCTCCCTTTCTTTTGGAGCACCTTCCCTTCTCATGAAGGTGGTGGGAATTAGACTTTGTGCGAACTGTTTCTCTTGATAATCAACCTAGAATTCACATCCATCACCACATTGAAAACTTCAGTGGACACTCCAGCTGACGCTGGTGCCAAGCTCGTGCAGAAAAAAAAAAAAAAACAAATAGAGCACCAAGTTGATGGAAGATAGAATTAGGACAGAGAACGTTACAGTGAGGGGCAGGAAATCGCGTAGGGCGTCGCCTTTGGAGGCGGCGACTGTGGAAAGAACTTTGGTTTCTCCGGTGCCTAATACGACAGCGCCATTAGCAAACCTGGCGATTTTGCCGGTTTCTAAAGTTATCAGGCTGGTGCCAATCTCGAATTCCTCCTTGAAAGAATCGAGGAGCTTGGTTCCGGCGACTGGGTGGTCGGGATCGGAGGGGGCAAAGCCGAGGCGGCCACTGCAGATGGTGCGGAAGCGGAGGTGGGGCCATGTTAGGAAAGGTGGGAGAGACTTGAGAAGAGGATTAGCTCTGGCTGCTGCGACGGCGGACATCAAACGAACAAGCGGTGTGGAGGAAAGGGAGGGAATGGAGGAACGGGAAACTGAACTGTGGAGTTTAGACGTAGAGCTCCGAGGGTTTAAGGAGCTTTCGCCTCTCGGCGCTGCAAATCGAAAGATGAGGGTTTAAGAGCTGTGATCTCCTACGTTCAGGTCGTACAACCTTGTGCTGTGTTTATTTCACACAAAAAAAAAATAACGGTTAATTATTATTTTCTATTATATTGAAATTTGGGTTTGAGTTTAGAGAATCGATGCTTAGGGTTTATTTATTAAAAGTTAGGGTATAGTATCATACCCTAAATTCGGTTTAATTCATGGTCTAGATAGAGATGTCTCTCTACGAGTACGTGGAGTACAGTATACTCCAAGAGCACACCAGTCCGATCCGTCACAATAATTTATTTTAAAATAAAATGAATTCTCAATTCATTTGGTACCAAACCGTCTACCTTGATTTTTTAAAAGAAATTTGTAAATTGTATCGGAGGTTGTAAGGGTTAGTGGTAGGGTATTTGGTTATGTAATCGTAGTTCAACCTTTTCGTACTATTAAAATCGACTATCCGCTTAGGCTCGTGAAGGAAGTTTTTTATCGGACCGCCTATACAGTTGGCAGTGGTATTTTTTATGGGCAACACTGGTATTTTTCTTATATTTGCTTAATATACATATTTTGACTCTCATTTCTTGATCATTTACCTTGGAAATGCCCTCTCTTTTGTCAATTTTACGCTAGATTGTGTTCTTTAACATATTTCAGGTGCTACAAAATGGAGGTGGATTGGGAGTAAGGTTCAGGCATTGGAGGTTGAAAAAGAAGCCAAAGGGGATCGGGAACAAAAGTCATGGTCGTGAAAGACTATCAGAGAGGCTCTAATCAAAAGTCATAGGCAAAACATGGAAAGTCACGACTGTGACTTTTCTTTATCATGTTCGTGACTTTCCCCTCATGCCCACTAATTGTTGCGTTGTGTTTTGAAAGTTACTGTCATAATTCTCAAAGTCATAGTTGTGACTTCTGACCGTGACTTTGCGGTTGGTTCAGGTATAAATAGGTTTTCTACGATTTCTGAAATGGAGAGCTAAGTTTGGACTTCAAATCAGAAAGAGGACGGATCCTAGAGAGTTGTTAGAGCAAAACTTGGGTAAACTTTTCACCATTGGAGCTCAAGGAATAAACTTAGAAGAGGAGTTTGAAGATCAAAGAAGATCATCATCATCATAAAGTCATTCTTCCTCTTTTTTGTGTTTTATTATCTCTATAGAGTAAACTTATTTTTCACTTGGGTATGAGGAACCCTAGCAATGGTTTGTTGATTTGATTTGTATGAGTACTCTGAATTATTAAACTCGATCATATCCAATATATGCATATTTCATGAATCATCTTTGCCTTGATAAAGTATTGTTGATTTCTATTTTAACCTATGAGAGAGAATACTCTATTACGTTGATTAGATCAATCATTGATTGGAAGTAGTGGATGGATTACATGAAATTGAGTTTACTCACTGCTTTGTATCGGACGAAAATTTAACAGAGGGAGTCGAGATTAAATTGCCTTGGCCAATTTTCTTAGTTGATAATAGAGTCCTTCTAAGCAATCAAGTAAAAAGGGTTTTAATTGTTTTAATCAAGATTCTGGCTAGTTAAAGACTCTCCGCATTATGAATGAGGAATGAAAGAAGTTATGATGCCATTATTCGAAATTTAACTAGTAGCTAGGGGTAATTATTATTTGAGTGAGCTTTCTCACTTTGAACTCGGTCAGTGTAATTATTTTGTTGTTCGAGCATTTGTAACCATTGCAAGTAATTGAACTTGGAACCTGAATTGGCTACATAATAAATTGAAGTTGAGTAATGGTTAATCTAGATACCCGAGGATATGATAATTTCATAATTAAAAGTCATTATAATGCAATCCTATCATTGGTACACTTGCCCTTGTTAGGAGTTTTAGCGAACCATTTCCTCATCAATAATGTACAATCAATCAATAGTTGTTGTAATTGGCAAGTTTGGAAACTTTCCTAGGTAAAAGTAGCACTCTATGGGTAGGTTTGATAGGTGTATTTCAAATACCTTATATTTGAAATACATGCATTTGAAATACTAGCATGTTTTTGATAAATTACAGTTTAGTACCCAAGTTTATTTTTCCTTATAATTGAGTACCTACACTTTTAAAATTTTACAAAAAGGTCCAGAATTTTTATGGTAATATTATGTTTCGGTACCTTAATATGTCGTGCCTTACACTATAGTACCTAAATTTTTAATATTTTACAAATAGGTCCTATTTTTTGTTAGGAGGTATTTCAAATCACTAGTTGTTGAAATGTATTTGAAGTTGACAAGTAATACACTAGCCATGTATTTGGAAATCACCCCATGAATTTCACACAAATCCAAATATCCAAACACACGCCAAAATAATTTGAGGGTGATTTGAGAAGCAAATATCGAATTGTTGGCATTCATCCATGGAGGAGGAAGTTCATGACCCTGAGAGCATAGTTAGTAAAATACGGTACGGGAAAGTTACGTAAAAAATACGTACGGGTATTTTACGTCGTTTTTAAGCTAAAGGTACGTTTAATAGTACGTTAATAGTAATAAATATATAAAAATAAATTATTTTAAAAATAAATAAATATATAAATAATAGCAAAGTTCACAATTTAATTCATTAAATACGGATATTAAACGTGTTATACGGGTTTTATACGTGTTTAGTACGGGAGCAATCCAATGAACGGAAAAAAATGAAACGACTTGACAATAATACGGATACGGAAGTTTTAAACGGATAAAGTACGTACGGGTACATATACGTGAATTAAACGGAGTATTTACTAACTAGGCCTGAAAGGGCAGAAACCACCTAACCTTGTGGCTAGAAACCGATGCCCGTCTATTTCATCTTAATGGTTTTAGATCTTTATGACTACTAGGATAATATATTCTGTACATGCACACACGAATAAGAGATTCTACCTTTATTGAGATCTTGTCAAAAGCATCAAATAATTTACCGAAGTTCAAATCATCATCATCATCATTGACAATATTGGGAGTAGAAGGAGGTTTTATTAGTAGGAATCTTTTTCAAATCAATCATTCGAATACATGGTCTCCGATCTAAGAGTTACCTTTCTTGTCGGGACATCAATCATAGCATAGCGCCAACAATGGCTAGGAATGCCTTACCCAGCCAGGATTAAAGTGTAAGAATTGGTCGAGAAGGTTAGTGCACCTACCCGGACTCAACTCCATGTATACTAGAGCGCAGCAATTTATGTACTGAAGCTACGCATGCATTCCGTTTATGTCTGAAGTCTGAAGACGGTGAAACCAGATCGAATATTAATAAGCGGAGTATAACCTGAGATTAAAATCCGAATAAAATCGCGACAAACAAATCTGGTACTTTCGCTATCAGTCATTGGATCTATACTTTAAGGAAAAGAAAAACTAGAATAGGAAAAGGTACAGCTTTATTCTGTAATCCTATACATACAAGGCTCTCAATGATACAACAACACTTCAACGCTAAAGGTATTCTCAGGTTTCGATGAACGAACGCAGAAAAGATCTTCCGTCTAATCCCCTTCTTAAGCTTACAATGGACAATGCAGAAAAGCTTCACCCTCAGGAATGACCAACTCCCAAAAACAGTTTGCTTTCCTTTCCATACTGCATTGACTTGAAAATACATAACAATGAGCAACCACATGATAAGATTAGTCGCTATGTTTCTAAGCTTACTATTGAAGAGGGATCTCACCTCTCGTGAATCGAAATGATTAACTCAATCGTTGTAAGTGCTGAGAGCCGCTACAACAGACCCTGTGGTCTCAAAAGTCGATGCAACGTCTGGATAATCTTTCCAAGATGTCGTGACCTTGAGAGACGGGTACAACCAACTCTTGACTGAATCCACGAAGGAGTTTGGATCATAATTAAGAATGGCTTCCCAATCCACCTGCAAGCCCTTGGGAATCTGTCCTGTGAACTCCATATTTGCAGCAAGAAGTAATCCCAGCAAAACGATGAATCCTACAGCAGCTGAACCTCTGGATAGCGGCATAAAATTGTACCTGTAATATTCAACTCGGACCGTTCAGCTGAAGAGCCACTGTCTAAATGGAAACTAGGTATTTCCACTTACCAGTAATATGTCATCCTTAGCATCGCAGCCCTAACATTCTCAAGGACATCAAAGTCGGTGGATCCATAATTTTCTCCACAGTAAGTATTGCACAAAGCCTGCAGGTTAGAAACACCGAGTTAACTACTGGTGTACTGCTTCATTCTGTACAAAAGGGCATGCAATAGCAGAATGTTAACCATAAAACTCTCTGCATTACTTACAGACAAGCCATAACATAATAAAGGGAGGCAGATCGATATCAAGAGCTAATTCAGTGTTCTTGGGATCATACAACACAGACAACTTGGTGACTTGCCCCTCTAATTTAATCCATTTGTCATTTTATAATATATATAAAAAAAAGGGGAGATCGTAAAACAAAATGCTGGAGGAAGAAACAGACTGGATAAACAAACTATATAAGTTTGTTGCTTCCTATGGATCTGCTGCTAATGTATTGCAAGGATGGAAAGCAGACAAAGCAGGGGTAACCAAACAACATAATACAGAAGATCAGCTGCCAGCGGATTGATTCGTAATGTTTTGAATTAGATTTTTTTATGGGAAATGTTTTGAATTATATCACTTATCTAGAAAGTATCATAAACACTTGTCCACCATATCAATATTACCAAATATTAGTATCATTATGATATGTTCTGGCAAAATAAAACTGACTAGTATAAAATATATATATATAAACAAGATATGGTTATTGATCAAAAGTGAACTGAAATTTCTGTGTTATAGTCTTGAGGTTTTGACCAACTTACATCCCATGCCATTGCCATTTCTGCATCAAAATCTTCCCACCTAGAAGGTGTGCAAGGGGTTTTGATAGCATAGTCAAACCCAAGCTCTCCCCTGCAAGATATGTTTCAGGTTTAAGAACCAAATGAGAGATGGATTAAAACAGCAGATAAGAAGGGATTAAGAAGATACAAAAAAGAAAAGGAATGATTATGATATTTACATTTTCACCAAGGCGATTCTTGTCCCCTCAAGTTGCTTCCTGCAATCAGTAACAGTAGCTTATGACTTATGAAGAGTGAAAACCTCATAACAGAGTGCTGGAACCTTGATTTCTACAATTTAAAGTGAAGGAAATTACCCCTCGAATGCAGTGCTGTTGCACCACGTAGCCAACCAGAAGTCTTCACCAACTGCTCTGTAAAGATCAGAACATGTTTCTGCAACCATAATCTATCCAGAAAAATAGGACAGTAATTACAAACTGATAAGATGAAAATAGTGGGCAAGCAGGTGTAATGAAGTGTTCTTAGAAAATGTTAACTAGGCAAAGACTAAATACTAAAATGGTCCACTACGAGGACTAAGTGGCCAGAACTTGAAATTTGTTTGCCTCTACTAGTTTCGCTCCTATATCAAATAATATGGATTAAATAAAGAACAAAAAATAGCATTCTCCTTAGCGTACAAAAGCCATAAGAGTGAAGAAGAAAAAAAACAGGAACATAAGCACTCACTTCATGCAGCTTCTCATCTTCGGATATGTCGATGACATTATCATTCTTACTGTAGACATATAGTTTTTTCTTCATCACATTCTTTGCAACCTGTAACGTCCTGCAGCATTACCAACGAATAAATAACTCAGAAGAAATTGAACTGAACTTATCAGATTTTAGATATTACTGGTACAATATTGAACAAGTTTTGCTCAAAAATGTAACTCAAGTAACTATCACCTTTCATAATTAGGGTAGTACCGAACAACTTTTGCTTGCCCTAGAATCATTGGAGTGTGAGAGCCAAAGCCAGAATTGAATTCCTCACTTTATTGCAAACATGAGCCCCAATCACATGAAAAGAAACACAAGGGAAAGGATTATGTTAGTCTTAACCTTTATGTAAATGCCTTAAACCTAGCACAGACCATTCAACCGCATCTTGACAATGCTATGTCAGAATCAGACACAACTTTGTAACAGAAACAGATGCTAATGTTGTTATGAGGTCAATGTAGTTCAGACGAGTTGAAACGAGTCAAACTGGCAGCAAGAAGAGCCACACCTTAGCTTGTTAATCCACACAACTGGATCACAGGGTTCAGAAATCTGTCTCCACCGAACAGCCAAGGAATAAAGATCATGCCATGATAACATGTAACGGGCGGATGACCTGTCCTCTGTAATGCTATACGAAGTTGATGTTTCCGAGCCACTGCTTGTGCTACAACCAGCACCACCCCTATTCTGACTGGCCACATTGATTCTTCTCCTTGGTCTTTTACCATTCTTGGATGAACTTTTGTTTGAATGTTTCCATTCTGCTTGTAAGGAACGCCATGCTTTTGACACCTTTTGTGCAACTTCAATAACAGCCAACCCAGCCATCCGATGCTGAGACAACAATAGATAGACTTGTAATTACTAATTAATAGAATCGCCTAGCTTAAGGCTGTCTTCTTTCTATATGATAAGCAGTGCTCATATTTAACTCTGTACATCCGGCTGGGTCTTGCCGGTATCAACAACGAGAAAAAAACAACCAAATGAAACAGAATGGTAACAAGTATGAGATCATGAAATAATTTAGTTGGATAAGTTATCAACTATAAGGAAGGACAAACTAAAGTCCACAACAGAAAACAAAGAACCACCTAATAATAGCATTGCAGCCCTAGCGGAGGTGTCCAAACTTAATCGGGAGGAGCAGGACGACTTAGAAAAAGAAAAAAAAACTGCTAAGCTATTTTACCAGATAACTCACCTGTCGCCTATTTGGAAGGAAGCCAGGGCATTCATACTGAATCTTCTTGCCAATTGAATCAGCAGCAGCCAGAAGTACTGCCTTCTGTTTTGTAATAGCAAAATCATGCTTCTTAAGCTTACCCCTCTTTAGAGACTCACGCAAAGGTGGCTGTCTGTAAACCTTTTCGCAGACGTTCTTTGGATGCAATCTTTTGCACCAGTATTCCTGCAATTTCAAGTGCATATTCCAGTGACCAGTGATCAAAGACTGAAAAGTATGAATGCCATGAAGTTGAATACTGTATGTAATAGCTGGAAACTCATGCATAAGATCCTTTAAATCGATGGAAGAAGTAAAAATCATCATTTCTTGTTATGAATTCATAAAAAACCTTAGTTACCTTGAACAGAGGGTCAATATCACCATCAACGTCAAACCAAGAGAATTCAGTATTGATTTTTGAGGCAGTATACAAAGCTATCTCCTTCTGCAGAGGTAAGGAGGGACAGGAGGAAACTTCAATACACCATGTGGCATTAACTAGGAAGTAGGAACGTTATTGGTTTACATCTTTGATGTTAACGTACATAACAAGTCAAAATTAGTACCTGCATGTTCGGAAAGTATACAAGATAGAACAAAAACAATTACGGGATACACGAAGCAATTTTGATCCCAAACTCAAGCGTCTATAAAATGAGTTGTAAAACATAGATTATGTGAATCACACTGTTAACAAGGTATAGAACAACAGAAACCTGATAGAAGGCCAAACATTGAAGCACAAACTTCTCCATGGAGTCTAGTTCCACATCTAACGTAGCATCATAGTCCTTCACCTGTGAAGGCAAAGGAGAGCAAACATCATGTACACAAGGTACAAAGGCAGGTAAGATGAACTTAAGAAAGTCAATTGTGAAGGCAACAAAACTTTCTTTGACACCAAAAACTTAATAAGGGTCAAAGGACATATCCTGTAATAACATTAAAAAACAAGGGAAGAAAGAAAGAAAGAAAGAAGTCAAACGAGTTCATTACCGCCTCTGCATATTCTCCAATAGCATGATAACAGGAAGCCCGTATATACAAGCACTCAATGTTTGAGCTCTCAATGGTCAGCCCAACAGACAAATCTTTGATAGCTTTCCTACAACGTTCAGAAGTAGATTCAGTAGGCTAAACTCCAAAACAACGATTGGTGTGTGATTTGTCCCACTAGAGATAGCATACAAGTTTATCATCAACGTGGGAACTGTGTAGTAACTATTATGAGCAATCAGCGGCTATGTTTTAAATCCCATAAAACTAGGAGAAAGCAGCATATGCCACACAATAACTCGACGCGAAAAGTGACATGCAGACAAGTACATCTGCACATAGACCAAGTAATTATTTCCCTCTTCATGTTTTACTTTTAGACAGACCTCTTACTTAAAATAGTTGTCATCTGGTTTAACATCTCCTGACATAGACATGACAACAGGAATTACCCTCCAAAAGACACCGAGCACCGATGTCCAACCTTTTCCCCTGAAACCCTTCTTGAATAGAGCTCCACAAAAGATCGTTCCAATTTGATATTATGAGGAAAAAAACTTATTTTCACTCCTTTCAGAATTAAGAACTATTTGGCCGAGCTTTAGCTTTTGCATTCGATCAACTATCCTACATACTAGGGCAAACCAGCAACAAAATGGGGAGTCAAACAGAGCCACGCATATAATTTCATAAGCAAGGGATTATGAATCACCAGACTAGTAGCGGGAACACAAGGCCAACTGATCTACTGAAGAATAACCCAATCATCAACCCAAATAATAATAATAATAATAACCCAATCTTACTAGTAGATAAATGTCTTTACACAAGGCCTCATCTCATTAGTTGCCAGACAACTACTATGTCCCTATTTCTCAGAATACAGAATATGAACTAATTCAGATAACTTATACAACCGATAAACCACTGATAGGGGAACAAATCCACCGTGTAGAAATTACCTGTGTTCACCCATTCCATGCATCAGCAGCCCTCGCAAATGATATCCTTTCGCAAACCTAAAGACAGAGTAAGCATAATTTAAGCATGAGAGACAGATACTGCTGAGATTACCAGTATTATCAACAAAGTCTAAATCAAAAGACCAAAGCAAGAGACAGAATCTAACACGAGAAGCTACTAATAACCCTTGTTAAGAAAGAACAAACTTGTTTGGTGGCATTACCTTGCATCTATTTGAAGAACTTGTTGAATGCAATCCAAAGCCTTTGTGGAGTTGGCTAAATCATGGTAGAACTGACAACAAAAGAGCAGCGACATGTCAAGAAAAAAACTTCATGACTTCTATGGAATGATCGAGGCCAAGCTAGGTCATCACTCTAAGTGCATGATCGAGTTCCAGTATTTAGTCAATGGAACAAGTACAAGCTAATCTGATGGCAAAAGCTTTAGCACATATTCATATTTCAGCATTCCAAAAATGCAGATATCAGAAGTACTGCTTTGTTTACCTGCGCCAAATGACCCCATGCCTCAAGGAAGCTACGATCAAGTTGAATTGATTTTAAATGTGCCTCCTCTCCTCTTTTATGTTCACCAATTGAAGACAATGCCAAACCCTGTTGAAATCCAATTGTATCAGTCAAAAGAACACAAGTACTGCTGGGGGGAAACTGAGTATACAAGATGCAAAGATCCTTCAAGGCTTACTAAATATGTATAGGCAGACTTATTTTCCACGTCAAGCTTCACACATGTTGAAAGGTCTTCAATGGCAGCATAAAAATCCTTGAACTTGAAATTTACAATACCTGCAACATTAGTTTATGCCGAGAATTTCTGCGTTAAGGAGCAAATGATTGATGCAACAAGTCACAATTTTTGGTGTCTGCAAGTACACATAACATGCATAACCACATTCCTACCCAGAATTGAGACAAAACAAGATGATTAACATAGGGAGGTTATTTGCATGCAATCCAACATCAAAATCTTCTTGTACTTTTGGCCAGTAAGACAGGTGACCAGAAGAAAAGGAGAAGCAGAAGATTCAGGGACATTTCCACGATGGTCAGGGGACAAAAGTGACTTAATAATGGATGAATATCCGTATGTTGTTTCCGAGTAAGTTACCTCTTTCATGCAATATGTCCGGTGAGTTCGGCTCAAACTCTAATGCCTTGGTCAAGTCTGCAATGGCCTGCGCAGGTATGCAACAGGAACTGAGACCATGTAACAGCACAGACTGGATACCTTTCCAAACAGAAATTTGAACTAGCAATGTCTACTGAATTAGACAAATCATGTAGATATTTAGATCTCATAACATCCAATATTCAATCCATAAATGACTAGCTGACAAGAATGACTAAATGTAAAATGTCTTCAACTTTTCATAACATGAAATTCAAACTCAAAAACTGAACATAGAGGAAGCCACTATTTATCATAGATGAAGCCACTGATTCATCTTTTCACTTTTTTGTAGCGAAAGAGTTAGTAAGCTGTTCTGACCTCTGCAGATTCCCCTAGTGCAGCTCGGGCCTGTCCCCTCCGCTTCCATGCTTCACCAGCTGATGGTTTTACTGCTATAGCCTAAAACAACATACAAAATAACTTAATGGTTGAAATGTACATACTAAATGCAGATCTTACTCTGCATAGAAAGGTTTTAATACCTTTGAAAAATCAGCAATAGCAGCTTCTAGTTCTCTCTGAAATGCATAAGATGTGCCTCTCCCTATGAGTGCTTCAGGATAATTAGGATCCTCTCTAAGTATCTGGTGAAGAAACATTAGGAAGGACAGGTTGAAGAAATTCAATAAGACTAAGAGAAGAAGTGAAATTCCTAATAAACAAAAAAAAAAAAAAACATGGTACAATCATCCTCCATACACTTTACCTGGTCGAAAATGCCTACAGCAGAAGAGTATTTCCCTTCATTAACCTGAAAATGAATAGATAGTAATTCAAGGCAGAATACTACTTCCAATTGGCATCACAAAGTGCACAACTTCTACAAATGGTACAATAATGAAAACGCTTACCTGTGCTATTCCCCTCGAAAGTCTAAAATCTACACTTATAGACTTGGTCTTTGAAATCCTAGTTACACAGAACTTTTTGTTACCCTTTGCTTCATCACTAGCTTCATTATGCACATCAGCCTTCTTACTTGACCTGCCTCGAATTTCACTTGTGCCTTCTGAGTTGCTAGAAATCATTGATGATCCACTGGAAAACTCAGACAAGCGACTCCTTGAATCACTGAAACTGTTAGTATCACTTTTTGGTTTGTGGACAACGTCAAGTGCTCCATTTGTCTGGCTTACAGGCTTTTTGCCACTTCCAGCATTATCGTTTAGCCTATTATTTGGATAAGAAGCCCCCTCAGATCTCCCACCAACATCAGTAACATCTCTTAGCTCATTACATGTTTGAGGGTGGTCACTCAATCTAATGGGGCTTGCATCAGCTTCACTTGCTTTGCCATTGAGAGACGGTCTTGATTCAGGTAAAGAATTCAGAGATCTCATGCCGCCCTTATTGGTTGTCCCGTTTTGCAATTTTGAATTGTCACCATACTTGCTGTCAGTCTCAGAAGCCTCCCTTGACCCATTGCATATATTGGAGATATCGTTTAATTTGTTTTGGTTCTTAAGAACATCCATTGACTTGCCATTTGTAAGCTGTCCAGAATCAGCAGTGTCAACAAATGATCTAGATTCAGTGCCATGGTTCTCTGAACTAATACTTTGATCCTGCTTTGCAAATCTAAGAAGTTCTTCTAGCTCTAGTAATTGTTTAAGATCTGCTGTTTGGTGTAGAGCATGCTCATAACCTAGTTGCCACGCTGCCAGAGCATCACTGGACCTGCCCAATGATGAAAAGGCACGACCTAGATAACAATGAGCACAAGTTCAGGAGAAAAGAGAAGCAACTTTTTATCATTCAATTGACTTATGAATCAGCTGTGAAGCATGGATATATAAGAGAACTTTGCACCTTAACATATACTGGATACAGGAGGATGCTGTGAAATCACATGAGCATGCAAAAGCAGATACATAACTTCTCATACCCCCAATCCCTGATCTAACTCTACTTTCTTATTCATGCAATATCTTAGCTTGCGAAGGCATGATCAGCATTAACTTTATAATACTCTTAGCACCCAGTTATTCTCACCATAATTAATGTCAACGCATAGTTTTATTAGGTTAAGAAGTTCCTTCAAGGAAAGGCAAGACTGAAACAGATCATTTCACCAATGTTAAGACGCTTCTGCCTCCTATTACTCATTAACCGTTAGATACGTGCCTGAGACTTGCAAGCCTTTTGCTCATCCAAGTTGATCACAGATACCGTGGTAAAATCGTCCATATATAACAACCAGGACTTAGGAATTCAATTAGAGGAACAATTCATCTATTTCCACCAGAACAATTAGTTTGTCACACTCGCATACCACTTGGATGGCCACATGAATAATTATGGTGACATTTCTGCCAACTAGGCTACACATTCCTTCAATATGTGATCGATACTCCACGAATACCACTAAGCAGCCAGAGGCAAGAATCCAAAACTCAGATGTAATTCAATTATTCTTCCGCAACCCTTTGATATTACACTGTCAGTACCATTCTGATTTCACGAAATTCTTTTCATGAAGTATCCGATACATATTCCTACAGATAGTGTTACAATCCTCCTCTCATCTAACTTGATCACCAATGCCATAGAAAGCAACCAATATAAGTAATTAAGAAACCACAAGCAAGAAGTCTAAGAACCTAGTTGCATTTCTCTCGTAAAACCATTTTCACACTCATCTATAAACTTCGATTTCAAAATCTTAGATCGTCACAACATCTATGCCACCTATCCAACGCATATCACCTAAAACACATCATTAAAGACTCGCAGCCGACCCCATGTCTAACCTGATCACCAACGTCATGTAGGAATCCTGAAAACCATTATGTTAGAAACAATCAAGAGACCACGCCTAAGAATCATACCAAGTGTATGATTCAACTATTCATGTGGAAGCAATTTGATAAGCTAGTCATAGCTCAGACCAGATAGGAAAAAATAACTAGACAAGGGCAACACTCTGTCATCCACCACCGTTCTCCATATGCCGACTCCAATAAACCAAATAATCAACAGCAGAACCAACACACTGGAGGCAGCAGTTATCCAAGTCAACGCTATGCAAATGGAATGGGGAGCAACTCATAGCTGCTCCTCACGAAAACACAAGAAGACAGATGAACAATGCACAAGAACAAACACCTTTCAGTATATAAGCTTGAAGAAGCGTAGGTTCGAGCTGGAGCGCCCTGTCACAGTCCTTAATCACATGCTTGTGAAGCTCCAATTGACTGTAACAAAAGGCTCTATTGCTGCAAAAACAAAAATCCCTCCGTCAAGGGGAAGAAGAAAAAAAACAATCGACGAATTGAATAACTAAACAGATCGAATTCGGGATAGAACTCGGCGGAAAGGAAGGAAGGAAGGAATCACGGACCAGATATCTTGAATGGAAGAGGACTGGGAGAGGAGAGAGTCGAGAACTCGAATCGCCTTGGACCAATCCCGGGAGGTACAAAGCTTGGCGAGCTCTACTCGCTCGGAGATCGCCGACGCCATAACCCGAGAAATTGAACCAAAATTGCTCAGCCAAGCGAACTCAGGCGAGCCGCAGCCTAGCTTGCGTGCACTCTGTGCTTCGACTATCCTTCGCTTTCTCGGTTTCCGCTCAGCTCTTCAATTTTTTTTTATCGCAATCTCTCGAACGGGGGCAAAGACTGAGAAACGGAGTCTGTGTTTTCCGTTTTAATTTTCTAACCCTCCCTGAGGCTGTAAGCGAAGGAAGGAAAGCGGAGGAGAGTGAAAGAGGAGTGAGGGGAAGAATGTGGCCGCAAGTTTGACGATGTTGGGTGGTCTGGTGGGGAAGCAGCGGGGCGGGCTGTGGCGCAAGATGGATGGTACGTGCGAAGGACACGTGTGGGCGGGAGTGGGAAAAGTGCTGTGGTTTGGATTGGTGGTTCGTTCCGTAGGTTTCCCGGCGGAGGAAACGCTGATTCTGAATTCTGATTAGCTTTCGGATCTCTTTTTTTTTTTTTTTCCAATTTTTAGGCGGCGGTTTTGATTATCCTTCTCTTTTCTGTGAGCGTTGGGTCGCCCTTGAATATTAGGTCACGGGACGGAGGCGGTCCGGGATTAATTGTTTGCCGTTACAGGCTGCCACTTTTTCCCCCTGTTAGAGTGTTAGATCAAGGTTGTCTAACCGGCGGTCCGGGTTTAATTGGTGTTCTTGCCCCTCCATGTACACTCTTTTCTCTCATTTTTTTAGTTCTCTTGTTGTTTAGGAATATGAACCCTTGTTTACAGTTTGAGTATGGGTCATGTAAAAGAATGATCGTAAATTTGGTTGATGTTTGATTAGCCAATTTCTTGCTTTAGTAAAAGTGATGGATTGATTTTTCTTGACCTAAGTGAGGTAACCATCCCCTTAAGTCAAGATTAGAACATACATAAAGTAGTGTGGAATTTAGATTTCATGACCATTGAGTCAATGTCCCATTTGCCTTTGGGCTTGTTCCTAAACGGAGGAATCTAAGCTTAGTGTTCTAGGTGATTTGTTGGTTTGCATGACCATTGAGTCTATAATTTAACTAGAAGTCTATCTAAGTGCATGACTGTACATGGGCGTTGGGTCGTGCTTGGGCCGGCACGGCACGGGCACGCTTCGGGCCCATTTATTTCGTGTCGTGCTTGGCCCGGCACGTCAGTTTTCGTGTCGTGCCATGCAAGCCCATTTGTTAATTTTGCTAGGCTCGGCCCAGGCCCGGGCACGGTTCGAATCGTGTCGTGCCTATTCGTGCTCGTGCCATGCTCGTATTCGTGTTTAATGAAAATGACGAAAACAAAAGAGAGAATGAAAAAGAAGGTGAAAATTGGACGGGGGAAGATAGTATTAATCGATAATGTTTGAGAAAAGTAACAAATAAGCGGGAAAAGAAAATTGGAAGTATAACGAGTGTGATTTGGCTTTGTTTAATTCTTTGTTCATTTTTACTTATGTTAGTAATTACATATATATCTTTATGACACTTCTAACAACAACAAATAATTATTTTTCTACTTGTGTTTTGTAATATTTGAACCTACAACTCTTATCATATTTATTTTCTATCAAATAAATATTATATTGGTACCATGTCCGTTCTTTTACTCAATAAAGTCTCGAAAATATTAGGCCCGACACGGCCCACTTATATATTTTTTTTTTCCGAACGTTGATGGGTCGTCTCATTAATACGAAACATGGTGTACATGGTTGAAACAACAATGAAAGGAAGGAAAAGGCCCATTGAAAAAGAAATCTAAACTAAGCTTTACATCGGCCCAACACCCAAACCAAGGCCCAAGGCCTGATCCAAACAAGAGGATCTCGAAAGCCTAATCTAGAAACCCTACATCAGTTGACCAAGCATTGCCTGGTGGCCACCGAAAGCATCCCCTATCTCCAAAAACAGGCCGCACCAACTCCTGCCAACATGAGACGTCCTTCGCCGGGGGAGAATCACCAGAAAGGACAACACATCGCCGACGAGAGGACAGCGGCCGCAAGAAAGGACATAGGGAACCAAACTCAGAACCTCTCCAAGATCTACCTGCAACAACAGACAAACCAGAGGAGTAACCCCTGAACAAGGACAGAACCGTGGCTCCTCAAACCCACAGATCTGAGCAAATCGGTCAAGAACCCACCACAATAATGCCTTCCCTGCTCTCAAGCTCCCCAAAAGTCTATCCTAGAACACAAAGGCCCATGCATCTCCCAAATCATCCCTAGCTATGGATGAAGAGAATGGAGGTAGATAGAAAAATCAGAGAGGAGAAAGCGAACCGAAAATCGGCACCCTCAAACACCTACCCGGAGATCATCCACACAAGATCTGGAAACCAGCAAGGTGGGAGCTAAATACATCTCAACAAGGAGGGAGAGAAGTCATCATCCATGGGAAGGAAGAAATCCAGAAAGGGGAGGAACAAGCATGAAACAACAAGGAAAAGGAAAAACAAAATCAAAGGGAAGAAGAGATCAACCTAATAAAAGAAAATAGAAAGGGACTTGATTTTTTTGAGGGCCACCGCCGGGTCCAGGGGAAACCAACGGCAGCCCCATGAGATTCAAAAACTTTGGTCTCTAGAGAGAAGGGAGAGAAAAGAAAAAGTTTATCACGATTTGTTTTACTGTCGAGTGCAACGGCACGGCCCACTTATATATCGTGTCGTGCCCGTGCTCGTGTTCGTGCCCATGAAGTTTAGGCCTGGCACGACCCATAAATTATTCGTGCTCGTGCCGGGCTAGCCTATTTATTTCGTGCCCGTGCTCGTGCCGTGCTCTAACCGTGTCGTGCTAGCCCGTGGACGGCACGGTCCGGTGCCCACGTACATGCATGACTAATTAATTAGGTGCTAGCTTGAGTGATTGCTTGCCCTTAGAAAATAGGGAAACCTTCATTTCTGGCATACGAATCTTGTTATGGTTGTGTTTGATTAGAGTGCCTAATGCTTCTAATTAGGATGTGGTTGTATGTGAGGAAATATTTCCTACCTAAGTTATATTGTCTAGGGTCCTAATTAGGGGTGGAAATCGGTACGGTATCGGTATCCCAATACCAAATACCGAAATTCCGAATGCCGAATTACACCCTAAAATCAATCACAATCTCAATCCCTAAATAATTTCGGTATCCCAATCCCAATCTCTAAATATATCGGTATCCCAATCGGTACCTCGGTATCCCAATCGGTATTATCGAATACAAAATTAATTATCTTTGTAATTAATAATTAAATATATAAATTAGATTTTATTGTATAATTTATGGCAAAGAGACTAAGCAAAAAATCTTGAGTTGCCTAGAGCTAACATCTAAAGTTCTTGTAATTGGTCATCTTTAATTTGACAAATTTGATGTTGAGAGACGACTAATACAGTAATACTAATGTGAAAATTGAAATAGTGATGTAATGATCTATGTATAATTAAATGACACTTTTGGTAGTTGAAGGTCGCGACGCGTAGTAGTGTATGAGATAGTCTAGTTGAGAGGATAAAATACACACTAGCTTATATTTCGGTATTGATCGGTATTTCGGTATACCGATCCCAATCGCGTAATCCCTAATACCGAATAACAATTGAAATTCAATCTCAATCCCAATCTCACGAAATAATATGTGTATTAGATAATACCAAATATAGACAAATTCGGTACGATATTCGGTATATCCCAAATACTGATACCAAATTTCCAGCCCTAGTCCTAATTGATGGACGAGGTGACCATCCCCTTCCAATTAGGAGCCCAACTAGTTAATGCTAGTGAGGTGAGTATCGAGCTATGACAAATGCAATTAGTGAAGTTATCTAGTTACGATGGCGAATGCGTGAACTGTGTGTTCCGGATGTGCGTCAACTCCTTTGTATTGCGATAACCAGGAAGTTTTGCATATAGATGATAATCCAGTCTTCCATGAAAGAACAAAACATGTGGAGATTGATTGTTCTTTGTGCGAGAAAGAGTTGCCAGCACAGAGATGAACCTTGCAAGATTTCGACCTTTCTTCAGCTGCAAACGTCTTCACCAAAGGCTTGGGAGTAGAGCAATTTACCTACTTATCTTCCAAGCTTGGCCTTTACGACATTCATGCATCCGCTTGAATAGAAGAGTTACGAGTTATAGACTGCGCATATTGTCCTTAATTTACATATGTATTTAGTTGGTGACTTTCCTGGTAATTCGACATTGTAAACCTAGGAGATATAAGATGGGTACAAGGAGTTAGAGATGGGTATATAACCTGAGCTAGGTAGTTGTGTGTTGTGTGTCGGTTAAATCCATACACCTAGTTAGGGATGACAATTTTGACCTAACCCGTTTTACACGACCTGTTTGGCCTATTTTGGGGCAGGTCCGACCCACCCCGTAGGCGGGACTGGGAAGGCATGGGTACTCTCATCGACCCACCCGCCCTGACCTGCCCCATTCTCAACCCATTCTTGCCTAAATTACATGTATTCTTAGTCAAATTACTTAGGATTTTTCTTTTATTACATCACAATTTAGCTATAATAAAGTTGTAAATTAGTGAAAACCTCAATTTCTCTAATAATTTAACTATATTTATCATAATATTTTTTATTTTTTGGTCTTATAATAAAATAACGAATATTTCTAATGATTTTCATATAAATTGCGTACCGATTGGGTCGACCTGTCCCGACTTGCGACCCATGATAAATTACCTGATCTGGACCCAACCTGCCACGGGGCGGGTCTGGGTACCAAGAAACTCGCCTCGAACCTGCCCCATTGCCATTCCTACCCCTAATGAAGTTTCAATCAAGAGCTGCAACTCTCTGTGAACTAGCCATGTTCACATTGAACAGGGAAACCACGTTAAATCATCGTGTTCTTACTTTTCGCATTTGGGTTTCTTCAATCCCTCTTTCCAAACACAAACCACCAACTCCATCCATCCATGAAATGACGTCTCTGAAATCCAACTTCATCCCATGAGCGCCCACAATAGGTATGAGAGAAGAAAGAAAGAGATGAGGCAGCGACGATTAATAATGGAATAATGAAGAAGATATGAAGGCAGTGGTGTTACTCTTTGAGAAGTGAGAGCAAGAGATGAAATCGGAACGATTGCTCTATGAGAAGGAATTGAGATGGATGGAGCACTTTAAGAAGAGAGAGGAGCAAAATAAGAGGTGTGATTGCATGATGGGCCAAAGGATTATGAAGGATTAATGGTTTCTTTACTTTATTGTTATTTGAAGTTACGATTTGATATTTAAGTGATTTCTAATTAATTCTAAAATAAATTATAATTCAATCACTTAAATTTTAAACTACTACAAGACATGCTTATCCCTTATTGAGTTGTTGATTTGTGACCCAGTCACTTGGTTGGGTCAATGGTTCAAACTCGATTAACAACCTTGTAATGAACCAAACCAAATTTTGTATATATATATATATGGTAGAAAATGGGACGCTACACTCTCTTGTGTCTGATACTTAAATTAAACGATTCTGGACAATGCCCAAAGTGTAATACAATAACTAGTAATTGAGTCCCGAATCCGATGTCTCAATGTTATGATAACCTATATGAAGAGAGTGAGCTATGTTGGCGAGATAGTCCATCGTCTAATTACATTCTCTATAAGTATGAGAGATGATCAACTCCCAGTCTTAATTGACAGTTTCCTGGAGCCTCCGATTGAGGTTCGAGTAGTGAGTATTTTCATGGATTCCTTTTTGGAGAAGATGTATAGCAGTGGTAGAATCCAACTTTAACATCACATTTTTGTAGCCTTCTCTCTAGGTGAGTTGCAAGCCAAGAAGGGCGCCTTGTAGTTCAACCCTCGTGATAGTGCATGTCCCCAAATTAGCTGCAAAACACCTAGGCTCTTGCTGAGATGATTAGTGACGAGACTACCAGTCGTTGCCTCCGAGTTTGGTTGAAAAACATATCCATCGACATTAACTTCACCCACCCTACAAGAGGTGCCTCCCAAGCAAGCTATGTACTGGACTTCTTTTGTTACATTCCCAACATCTTGGCGTTATTCTCTTTAGCTTGTAGAATCGTCTTGTTTCAATAGTGAATGCGAAATGAAAAACTAATAGCTTCCTCCCTTTTTCCTTCAAAAATCCATTCATTCCTTCTCTTCCATATGTACCAGATGGCAACACCAAAGAGCAGTCTTGAGTTTGGGTTCTGCAGATTAGCCGCAATCCATTCAGCAAAAGCAAGGTCGGGTGTCAGGTTATTCTCAATGATACCTACTTTTTGCCAAACTTGTATGGCGTATGGGCAATGTCGGAAGACATGCTCAGTAGTCTCCGACACCGATTTGAAGATTTCACAAGTATCTACTAAGTAGAGTTTTCGTCTCTTTCTTTTACGATTTTCATTAGGCGGTCGTATTATGTAAGCCAGAGATGGTGGTGTATTCTATTGGCCCAGTCCACTTCCATGCTTTTTTCCAAATCTCCTGGTGATGAAGAGAAGCGTCATCATTGTATTCCTATCTCCATTCCGCCATAGCTGCATAGACTGACTTCAAACTGAACAAGCCATTCTTCTCTAATCCCCAAACGGTGACATCTTCTCCTGCATCAAAGCTAGAGGTATCCCTACCTGCAATCGAGGCAAGGGCAACAATGCTATGATAACCTATATGAAGAGAGTGAGCTATGTTGACGAGATAGTCATTGCCTAATTACATTCTCTAAAAGTATGAGAGATGATCACCTCCCAGTCTTGTTTGATAGTTTCCTGGAGCCTCCGATTGAGGTTCGTGTAGTGAGAGTATTTTCATGGATTCCTTTTTGGAGAAAATGTATAACAGTGGTAGAATTCAACTTTAACATCACATTTTTGTGGCCTTCTCTCTAGGTGAGTTGCAAGCCAAGAAGGGTGCCTTGTAGTTCAACCCTCGTGATAGTGCATGTCCCCAAATTAGCTGCAAAAGCACCTAGACACTTGCCAAGATGATTACCGATGAGACTACCAGTCGTTGCCTCCGAGTTTGGTTGAAAAACAGATCCATCGACATTAACTTCACCCACCCTACAGAGGTGCCTCCCAAGCAAGCTCTGTACTGGACTTCTTTTGTTGCATTCCCAACATCTTGGCGTTATTCTCTTTAGCTTGTAGAATCGTCTTGTTTCATTAGTGAATGCGGAATGCAAGACTAATAGCTTCCTCCCTCTTTCCTTCAAAAATCCATTCATTCCTTCTCTTCCATATGTACCAGATGGCAACACCAAAGAGCACTCTTGAGTTTGGGTTCTGCAGATTAGCCGCAATCCATTCTGCAAAAGCAAGGTCAGGTGTCAGGTTATTCTCAATGATACCTACTTTTTGCCAAACCTGTATGGCTTATGGGCAATGTCGGAAGACATGCTCAGTAGTCTCCGGCACCGATTTGAAGATTTCACAAGTATCTACTAAGCAGAGCTTCCGTCTCTTTCTTTTACGATTTGTCATTAGGCAGTCGTATTATGTAAGCCAGTGATGGTGGCGTATTCTATTGGGCAGTCCGCTTCCATGCGTTTTTCCAAATCTCTTGGTGATGAAGAGAAGCGTCATCATTGTCTTTCTATCTCCATTCCGCCATAGCTGCATAGACTGACTTCAAACTGAACAAGCCATTCTTCTCTAATCCCCAAACGGTGACATCTTCTCCTGCATCAAAGCTAGAGGTATCCGTACCTGCAATCAAGGCAAGGGAAACATCGGTGATGTATGGGGCAAAGTTATCCCAGAGCCACTCACCTGAATTTAAGGCCATGTCCTCAACAGTAGCATCCCAGTCAAGATTGGAGCTTTCCATCAAAACATGATCCTTGAGAATCACTCCATCTGCAAGCCAGGAATCTATCCAGAATTTGACATTTCTGTCATTCCCTGTAAAGCACATTGTTTCATGATAGGCATTGCCTCTGCTAAGCCCTGCCACAATCTTGAAGTCCGGTGTCTACGCATGGACAGGTTACCATCGCCAATGTTCTCGACATATTTTCCCTGCAGAACTCTCACCCAAAGGTTGTTTTCGTTATTGAGGAAATGCCAACCAAGTTTCATCGTATACACCTTGTTGAGGATGCAGGTTGACCGCAGGCCAAGTCCACCCTCCTCCTTGAACTTGCAAACTTTATCCCAAGCCACCAAATGAGCTTTCTGCTTATCTGTATCTGCACTGCAGACAAAAGATCTGATTTTTTGTCAATGATATCACAGATAAAGCAAGGTAGGACAGAAGTTTACATAGTATAATTTGGAAGAGCATTTAACATCGAGAAGCGAGTGTGACCCTTCCTACCAAGGATGGGTTCTTAGTTTTCCAGTTTTCCAGTCTTTTGTTAATATTGTCGATGATGTACTTGTAAGTCTCTTTGGTCACTCTGCAATGGATCACCGGGACACCGAGATATCTCCCGATAGTGTTTGTACAAGGCATACCCCGAATATTAGTGATTCTTTCTTTGGTCACTCTACCATGTATATTTATTGTTTATGGTGATGTGTGTGGCTATATTAACTAGACTTCCTATATCAAAAGAAGACCTTTGACAACCCCCCCCCTGTTAAACTGGTTCTTCGACATTATGTCTAGGCATTTCCTTTTATAAACGATTTAGGAAAATTGATAATAAAACATCAATAACGTACAACCAAAAACTATTTTTATTGATATAAATAATATAGACTTCAAATGTTGACAAAATGTTTCAATTTTGACAACAACATGGTAAATCTCTTTAAATGTGCTCCATAATATCAGTAAGAAGTGGATGCTCCATACTTGACAACAATTTAATAAATTATTGAGAAATTTAAAGGTTATCAAATGTGTTCATTTTAATAGGTCATGAACTAGATCAAAATCATTATCAACAAGCCTATAATAAGTCATATCATTTTTTTCATCGGGTCTGGGTAGAGACATTCATATGTCAAAAAGATGGTTTAAGCTAGTCTTTAAGATGAACATGAAAAACACTTTCCTCTACGAACTAGTCCAGAAAACTTAAGGGAATTCATTTTCCATTTACATATAAGGTACTATGTTATTAGAGCTTATGACTGGAGGATTAGAGAGGGTTGCAGTATGCGTTAATCCGAAAAACTTTGCACTCTGGTTCTACACTCTTGAGGTGCATCTTGGTGATAATATGATTCATTTCAATGAACACCTAGTGGCTCATGGCTTTACTTAGGAATAGGGGGTTAATTAGGACACGACTTTTGCTTCGTGGTATTTTTTTAGGTACCTTCACCATCACAAATTTTAAGGAGGTTGTCTTATATACTTGGCAGGCACCCGACCTGACATTTTCGTATGTTTTTCAAGTTAGTCACTCCGTGGCTACACCTCAGGTTGATAACCTTTTTGTCATTACATTATTGTAATGATCGACATGGGTAATTAAGGGTTTCTCTTGTATATGAACAACGGGACATGGGTAATTAAGGGTTTCTCTTGTATGTGAACAACGGGTACATGGGGTATTATCTCTAGACAAATAAAACTAGTTTTGAGCACTCTAGGAAATCACATAAATTCGTTTGTCTTGCTCGTTTTCTCTGATCACGTACAAGCTATCAAACACATCTATTTCTATTCTATTGCACTTTTCTACTAATAGGAAGCCATTTTTGCAAACAAGAGTGGCTCACCTAGAGGTAGAAGATAAAAAGGCAGAAAGGTAACTTGTCATAAATGGTTTCCTAGTAACATCTACCTCCCACCCCAACTAACCCTCATGATTTTCTGATATCAGGGTTTCTTTCACTACACATATATAGAATAGTACTTCTCTCCCATTGATTTCTAGGCTTAATGCTCGCTCACCACATCGCAATCACACCCACATGTCATGCCCGTGTGGCCAACGATGCAACTACCCATTATTATTTTAGTAATTTGCCTCCTAAATCACTCCCTTGCATTCATTCCTGGGTGTCCATTTGGATTCGGTTTTTCAGATTTACTCGAAACCGACCCGATTATATACATTTTTGGTTTTTCCGGTTTGGGTTCGTTTCGGGTTTTTTTATTTGGGATTTGGTTTTGCTTATCGGTTTTTCGGGTTCTGGCTAAAAACCTCCAATGAATAGAACTCAGCCCATATTCTTAGACGTTCGGGTTTTCGGATTTCGGAGTTGCTTTAACCGAACCAGAACCCGAACCCGATAAGAAATTTTCGGGTTTCGGGTAACCGAAACCCACAAATCCTTATCAGATTCAGGTTCGGTTTCGGAATTTTTCGGGTTTCGGTTTGGGTAACCGAACCCGACCCGAACTGACACCCCTATTCATTTCCAAGAACAACTTAAACAATGGCTATAATGTTTTTTTTTAAGCGGAGAAGAGAGGAGATGCCTTTTACACGTACGATCGGTTCGGTGCTCCCATGATCCTCTCTTGTAGAGATTTCAATAGGGGCTGCCGTGCTTTGATGATAATAATAATAACTTAAATTCCTGAATTAAAATTACAAATTCCGTGGAAATAAAAATTAAACTATTTCCTTCTTTCTTCTTCATCTTCTTCATCTGCCTAAGTCCAGCTAACGGCTATCGGACTCCCAACGACGTGTTTCCCGTCCGACCACTCCAACCGCGCGAAACGATTTGTACTGATCGGCAGCGAACTCGCGGTAAACGTCACCGTATAGGATCGCTTCAGCACTGCCTGGCTGAAACTCAGCGTTTCGGGCTCCACCGTAATCTTAACTCCAGGGGTCTGATTCGGTGTAACCGACACCTTGTAAGTTCCCGCAGGACCGACGTTGGTCACCGTCCGCGTGTACTTGATCACCAAGTTCCCTCCGCCGTTGATCTGGGTCGTGTCGACGTTCACCGCGAACGAAGGGTAGTTGAGGTCGGTCACACTGTACCTCTTCTTGGGGTCGCACGTATAGTTCTTCCTCGCCACGCTCTTGATCTGCGTGTCCGTGTAGTTCAAGGCGCACAGGAAGCCCAGGTAATCCTCGGCCGTCAGATCGTATACCAGCCCCGGATTGAGCGCCGCCACGGGGTCCACGTGGCCGGCGCCGTGATCGAACGGCGTAGAGTCGTTTCCCGTTGCCACGTCTTGAAGCTTGCGCCCGTTCTTGTACGTGACGTAAGCAGTCGTCATCAGCGCTGACCGGATGGCGGCGGGGCTCCACTCCGGGTGCGCTCCCTTCAGGAGGGCGGCGAGGCCGCTGACGTGCGGGCAGGACATCGACGTGCCGGAGATGATGTTGAACTCGGTTCGCCGGGAATCGGTCGGTAACCCGGTTGGACCAACCGCGCCGGTCCAACCCGCTAAGATGTTGACGCCGGGCGCGATGACATCAGGTTTGAGGATCTCCGGGGTAATTGAGTTGGGGCCTCTGGAGCTGAAGGCCGCCACCACCGGCGCCGGCTCGACTCCCAGCTTCGTTCCCTCGAAGAAAATCGTCGCCGTCGGGTTCGGATCTGAGAGCAGATAACTCTTGATTGTCTCACCTGTCTTCTGGCCCACCGTGGACGCCGGCAGCAAGTGAGCATCGCCGACGAGTTCCTCGCCGTTGGCCTCCGTGTTGGCCAGAACCATCCCCAATCCGCCGGCGGCTTTCACCACGGCTCCTTTCTGGACTCTGGCATTCACTCCACGGTCACAGAACACGATCTTCCCCTTCACTTTCTCCGGAATCAGAGTGCCAATCATGCAAAGATTCCCATTGGTCGAGTTACTGACATTCCCGGCGTAGACGAACGGCAAGAGCTTCGCCGGCAACGCGGCGCCCTTGTAGAGCGAGACACCAGAGTAGTTCTTGCCATTGCCCAGACTGACAACAGCAGGGAAATCCCGATCCAATGTCCCCGCTCCGACGGTGGTAATCCACGGCGCCACATTCGACAAGCTGTAAGCAGTCGGCCCAGCATTTCCAGCGGAGCAAGAGACCAAGATCCCTTTCTCCATTGCCGAGAAAGCTCCAATCGCAACGCTGTCCCTGTAATAGTCAGAGGTCCCTCCGCCGAGCGACATGGACAGGACATTGACTCCATCCTCGATCGCCTTATCCATGGCGGCGAGGATATCGGAGCTGAAACATCCACCAACCCAGCATACCTTGTAAATCGCGACCCTAGCACGAGTCGCCATTCCCCTAGCAGTCCCGGTGGCGTACCCAAGGAGATTGGCTCCGTCGACGGCGGATCCGGCGGCAGTGGTGGAAGTATGAGTGCCGTGGCCGTCGTCGTCACGGGGAGATCTGGACTCCTTAGTCTCGTCGACAGGCCCCATGGTTGCCTCGTACCCCTTGGCGAAGAACCTCGCCCCAATCAACTTGCGATTGCAGTTGGCGGCGGTGAAATTAGTTCCGGACTCGCACTGCCCATTCCAGGTGCCCGGCAAGGGCCCGAATCCGGTGTCGTCGTAGCTCTTGCTCTCGGGCCAGGCACCGGTGTCGAGCACGCCGACGACGACCTCGCCGAGGACGTTGGCCTGGGGGAACAGGTCGGCGGCGCGATCGAGGCCGAGGAACTCAGGGGTGCGGGTGGTGTGGAGCTCGTATCGGGACTCGGGGATGACGGAGAGGATCCCTGGCTGGGATTGGAGCATCTTGGCTTGAGCGAGAGTCAGGCGAGTGGCGTAGCCATGGATGGCGTTTCGGTAAGTGTAGAGCATGTGGGCGGATTGGGAAACGGATTTGAGAGAGGATTCGTACCAAGTGGTGTGGAGGTCGAATCTGTCCGGCATCTGGGATGTGGCCATTTGAACTATGTAAGTCCTCCTCTGCTGCTTAGCCGCCGCCGCCGCCGGCGATACGTGGGAGAAACCCAGCAGGAGAGAAACGAGGAGGAGTAGCAGGAAACTACTACTACTCTGTTTCATCTTCGTCTCCATTATTGATCCTTCCTGGAGGGGATTTTGCAGAAGGGTAGAAGGTGGGATGGGAATTGAAGGCTTCTCTTCTCTGCTGTGAATGGAACAGCCAGAGCGCTACTAATAAAGACTTGAGGGAAGATGGGAGAGAAGAGAGAGGAATGGAGGAAAAAGGACGGTGGATGGTTGTCTGGTAGTGATGATGAATGATTAGTGCCGGAGGAGAGAGAGAGAGAGAGTGAGTGAGCTGGGCTGGGCAGCAGCTTTGGGTCACGTGGTTTGGAGTAAGCTTAGCTATTATCCATGGTTTACCCAGATTCTCTTCTCCTTCCTTCCTTCCGTCCTTCTGGGCAGTAACAGTAAGTGTTTCTTTCCTCTTTTTTTTCCTTTCGCAGGTGGGAATGGCCGCTGGAAATGGAGGTGGTGGTGGGGGAGGAGGAGGAGGAGGGGATAAAAAGAAACTGGAGAAACGTTTCGGAGGGTTCAGCGTGAAGGGATTAGGATCATCATTATCAAGATGGTGGTCAGTGGTCACGGGTGCTTTTCTGCACTTGTTGTTTTTCTCTCTTTCTATATTTCTTTGTTTGTTTTAATAGTGTGTGTTGTTTTTTTGTCATCTTCTTTTTGTGGCTTCTTTTTCCTTCAATTGGTGGGCGAGTGGGGTGGAGACCCAGCCAGATGTGGAGGTTTACCGGCCAACCAACCCGCTAATTGTTTCTTGAGGGCTTTTTTTTTTTTTTTTTTAACTTTCCCATCTTCTTGGTGAATGGTTTACTTGGATGATGGAACATAAGCTTGCTCACTCCATCACGCTTTCTCTTTTGGGAGGGAGAGTACAGAATAGCCGATGGTAGATCCAATTCTCTCTTGGGTTTTTCCTCATGTTTGTGTAACCAAAAGGTAGTAGAGCATCAACACCAACAAACACCAATGCAATTGTATGAGGTTTCTATTGTCGCCTTAATTTTTTTTCTCAATACAACTCATTAATGTAATTTCACCTACAAAATTCACTTACAGTTGCATATATAATTAAATATTATGTTTAAATTGTGGGGGAAAAATTATAATATAATATAATATAAAATAAAGAATCCCAGTTTTTTAGACTTTTTTACTTTCATTTCATATGCAATTACATTTATTGCAAACTTACAAATATGCAATTAGTAGCTATTGTACCTTCAACAATGTCTCTCCTTTAAATTGATTGCTTGTATTTTGAGTTCTCAAGTGGGGTTGAGGTGCAGAACGAGTGATAAGGAATATAATTTCTTTTATAGGTGTGATTGATACTACTCAAGGGTTTAAGCACCAATTGGTTAATGAATTGATCGAACACACGACCTTGCATGTGTATATCAACAACCCATCCATCTGGGCTATCTCTCTTTCAGTTAGATGAATACATAGGGGATATGGGATCTCCCGTCGGAGACCCATTTGGGTTGGAAAATTCCCAGACCGCTATTGATTGGGAAAATAGAGAGAAAGGATCTCATTAGAGCTAGAGTGAGAGAGTTTAAATAGAAGCTAAGGAGGAAGATTTTCACTCTTTGATTAAAATTCTTAAAGGATAGAAGAGCCTCTCAAGATGCATTCTATCCTTTTCTTTAATTTCTTCTTCCCTTCCTTCCATGGACCCAAACCCCCTTGTACTTGGGTAAGTAGAACCCTAGTTCAAATTTGAGATTGATTATGGATGAAATTGGTATGTATGAACCCTAATTACTTGTTATGGCTACTTGATGTTTGATTATGATAATATATTTCCCTAATTTGAGTGATTGAATGTCTTGTTCTTGACCTAAACTGCTGACCATTGAATTGAAGTCTCATTTTCCATTGGTATTGTCCCCAATTAAAGAATCTTAGCCTCAAGCTCTAGGTATTAGTTGGTTGCATGATCATTGAACCAAGTAGATACATAGAAGTGTATATCTAAGTGCATGATCATTGACTTAGGTACTAGCCTAAGAGATTCTTGCATCATTAAAGGATTAGAAAAGTACATGGAGGTTACATTCATTCAATTGATACCCCAAGTACCTCATCTCTATTGCGTTAGTCGTTAAATTGCAAGTTAGTTCTCTTGATTGTTAGAAGAAATTCACTAATAATATTTTGGGTGTTTGAAGGGTAGATTTGCACTATGAAGTACATCTTTACTTGAGTACAAGCAAACCTTAAGCGTGGGAGATTTGATGACACACATTTTATACATATTTAAGACACAATTTCTTAGGTGTTTGAATGTCATAATCATCATACTTATGTCATTTTGGATTGATTTCATGCTATTGATAGCACGAAGTTTACCAGTTTTAGGCCATTTTGTTCATAGGTTGCTCATTGTTACCAAACTATATGCCATGCTGTGTTTTCTTTCCTGATCTTATGTTCTAAATTTTTGAGGAAGGTGTGTAATAAGTTTCAAGTCAATCGAAATTCATTTGGGGGTGAAAATAAGACTCAAGGTCAGGTCACAATCAGAGTCACGATTGTGACTCAAATTATGACCAAGGTTCACGGCCATGAACGCAAGAAATGACTAGATTATAAGCCTTGCAATTAGCCTCGTGGTCACGAAGAACCATACCTCAATTCTAGAGTTCAAGCCGCGAGGTTAAGTTCACATGCGTGAATTTGAAGTTTCAACCTGTGAACCTGCTCACTGATAGAGCCAATCATGGTCCAAGCCATTAGTAGTGTCAGCTTTATGAAAGTTCATGGAATTTGGCCAAACTTCACACTGTGAACTCTATGCCATGAATTTTTACTTGCCCTATACGTACTAGGGGGACGAGGGAGGTAATTTCTTATCAAAATAGAGAGAAAGCGTTTCCTTAGACATAGAGTGAGTGAGAGTATAAAGAGGAGCTAATGAGGAAGGTTTGCACTCTTGGATGGAGGATTCTTGACGGATTGAAGGAGCACACGAAGATTGAAGAGCTCCCATGATGAATTCTCTCCTTCTTCTCTTTGTTTCTTCTTCCCTTTCATTCATGAGCTAAAATCCACCTTGTCCTTTGGTAAGTAGAACTCTAGCTCAAATATGTGATTGATATGAATGGAATTGGTATGTACAAACCATAATTACATGTTATGACAACTTGATGTTTTGATTATGCTAATATATTCCCTAGTTTAATTTATTGGTTTCTTTTTCCTTGACCTAAACTGGTCACCATCTTCTTAGGTTGAGATTAAAATCCAAATCAAGTAGCAAGGGATATTAATTTCATGACCTCTGAATCGAAGTCTCATTCTCCCCCAGGTTTTCCCCAGTTTAAGAATCTAAGCCTCAAGCTTTAGGTATTAGTTGATTGCATGAGCATTGAACCAAGTAGTTACCTATAAAGTGTATCTAAGTGCATGACCATTGGCCTAGGTACTAGCCTAATAGATTCTTGCATCATAAAAGGATTAGGGGAGTTCATGGAGGTTCCGTTCATTCAATTGCATGATAGCGCGAGGATGATACCAACCACAAGTACCTCATCTCTATTGAGTTAGTCGTTAAATTGCAAGTAAGTTCCATTGCTAACTTCTTGTTTGAAATATATATGGATCAGACAGGTACACTATTAGAGTATACTATACTTCAAAAAATTCTAGTGAGATATATCTATCTAGACCATGATTTTAACCGAGTTTGGGTATGATACTATATCCTAACATCTAACGGATAAAACCTCAGGCTCCGATTCTCTAAACTCAAACCCGAAGTTCAATTTAATAAAAAAAAAATAATTGCCAGTTGATATTGGTCGGACCTTATTGAAATACATCCAACGAACAGATCATTTGGAGTATACTCAGTCTTTACCCTGTATACTCTTAATATTTGAAGGCATATCGAGATACCATCATTTTGCAAAAAAGTTTATTTTAAAACTTAATTAAATTAGGACTTTGCTACGGTGACATGCATGTCACCGTAACTTGCACTTTTAGGTTGACCTCATATAGGATTAGGTCGACCTAATCTGGAATTTTAGGTCGACTTTATATATAATTAGGTCGGCCTAATATGCTGATTCAGTTTTGTGAGGTTCAACGACGCGATTGACCTTTTATAGCAAATGGTCAACCTCTTTGGGAAGCAAACATGATGAAAGGTCGACCCAAATACCTCATAGGCCGACCATTTTGATTAACTGAGGTCGACCACAAAGTACGAGGCCGACCGCGTGCACATTGTATCCTTATTTGATAAGGAATCCAACATCAGAAAGGTAATCGTAACTTATCTACCACTTAATTCGACCCATTCTCGTCCTAAATATCTATAAATACGAATATATGTCACCTTCACCGCCACCGAAACTCTGAATTAGGTTTTTGTTACGGTTAGAGCTTTTGTGAAGAAGATCCTTTGCGGTTGCTGCTGTACGTGATTCAAGAGGTCGACCACGTGGAAGTTATGAGTCCTTGTTATCATTATTTATGACGAATTTTGTTGGTTTGAAACGTAATTTGTACGAGCAAAAGAACCACCAACACTTGATTTTCATTTTACATCAAATGATGATGGATAAATGGATACAACACTTCTCTTCTATCTGGTCGACCTCTTTCTGTAAATGGTCGACCATTTTGTTAATGACTACCATCAAGTGGTTGACCTATATACCTTTACAGTCGACCATTTTGCTTCCGACGCCAATGAAAAGGGCGACCGATGTTTTATTATGGTCGACCAAAAATGACAACTTAAACTACAAATGGTCGACCGCTACATTTTAAAGGTCGACCTAAAAGTGCAGATTAGGTCGACCTAATCCTATATGAGGTCGACCTAAAAGTGCAAGTTAAGGCGACATGCATGTCACTATAAGTATACCCATTAAATTATTATATATCAACGTAATCACATTGTAATAACAAGAGAAGGTGCAGTCACTTGTTGTTCAGGATTTTGAAAAATCATGTTATTTTTCATAGCTGAACCTCACGTTCACCTGATTATAAAAAAAAATTGAATATATGAACACAATTTATTGATGAATTTTATTTTTGAAATGATCTTTTATGAATCTATGAACTTTGAAGATAATTTTAAGAATTTCGACTCCATTCATGTTAATGACATGGGGCCTTGACCACTTTGTACGTCGACACATCTCCGTGGATTTAAACCCCCCGAAGGACCACTCCTTACTCTTGGAACGGATACAATGCTAGTCATTGTTTTCTTGGTCATTTGGTAGCTGCGATTGTTTTTGTTGAGATTGTTACTATACATGTATTGGTTAGAATGCATCGTTTTATTATTTTTTTATCAGAAACAATGCATGGATTGTTTCTGTGATGTGACAGAAACTATCACTCAAAATGAGTGATTGTTATATCTCAACTTTTCGTTGTGATTGTTAAGATAATTGAGTTGAGATTGTTTTGTCTCAACTTTTAGCTGATGTGACATAAACAATCAGACATACCAAACACTGTATTCTACAATGCATCAAATTCGACAATACATGCATAATATTATACATGTATTCACAACAATACATCCATTTAACAATCGCAACTTCCAAACAACCCCTTAATAACTTTTTTCTGCTGTTCTACTTGTAAAAACTTAGTGTTACAAATTTATTGAACCATTCGATGGTGGAGAGACTTGAGAGTTGAGAGTGATGCCGCTGTAGATAATTACTGTCAAAGGGATTGACTGCGCCGTGGACGCGTAGATGGGTTCACGTGTCTCAGTGGGACCAAGGTCAGGCACCAGTTTGGGGATTAAACTAATATATATATGGATTGTCCAATTTATCTGACTCCTGAGTCCTGTTTCCGCAATTAGTCGCTCTGATCACCTATTTTAAACCATTATTATGTCTATAATGCTTTCCCACCTTAATCAATTTTCAGTGTTTACCTGGGAAAAAAAAGCTAGAGCAAAAATAATTAAAATTAAACAAAAGATATCCACTATGTTTCACGCCACGAAGCTCAATTTATTATTATTATTATTATTAACCAAGAAAGCTTCTAGATGATGATAACGTGGAATTAATTCGATTTGATGGCGGAGCTTAGTATAGTACCTGAGAGACTACAAGATTATAAGATTATGCGTTGAAAAAACACTGAAATTTTGTACAATAAAAGCTATTAGCGCCTTATTGGAAATTTTCCAGAAATAACACCTAAAAATTAAAAAATTCTAAAAATACCATCTATTTCCGAAAATTTTAAAAAATACCACCATTTTCCAAAACCGTGGTCCCATATGTCAGTTTAT